GCTTGACTTTGCTGACTGTTTGGCAGTTGCCTACCAAAACCACCGCCATCACATCCACTCCCACATCCATCGCTACCGCCACCTACACAGCCACCCCCCACCGACCCTGGTCCGCTCCGCACCGCTGCTCATAATTCAGGAAGTGTGCAGCACTCTTTGTCAGGCGACTTGCATTTTATAACAAGCTGAAGTAGCTTTCCGCCACATTGCGCTACCAACTTCGCTTCGTGTGTCCACAGAGGCAGCTTAATAAATGTCAAAAAGTAGCAGCACAAAAAAAGAGTTCACTGTACAGGCACAAGTGCCTCGCAAGGGCAGCAATTTAATTTTGAGTACTCTGCGAAATTAAATAAAAATGCTTTGCATTATTTACCAAATGCGTCATTTTAATATTTTAAATATAAACATCATTAAATATGCGCAAAAAAAAAAAAAAAAAACAAAACAATAAAGAAAAAAAGCACTTAGTATAGACTATACCACCAGGAGGTACCGAGTAATTGGGTCTGAAGTTAAACCGAGTAAAGATTGTCCACAAGAAATTGACTCTAACTGGTTGAGTTTTTAAGAGATATTTTTGCCAAATTTGATTTGTGTACTTACATATGTAAGCTTCATTCAAGTCCCTTCATCTGTATAATAAACATGTACAGTTTTGGCATACCCCATTTTGTTTAGCTCACAGGGTATGCACCGAAAAAAAACAACAAGCAAATTCACTGAAGCGTTGTCTGCTTTTAATGAGTGTGTAAATAGCATCTGTAAAAAAATAGGAAAAGTTCCACAAATAATATTAATGCATGCATACACTTTGATAATTAATATTAAAGTCAGTTTGTTTCGCTGTATCCGTGTATTGTTGTTCAATTAATCAGACATATTAATTGTGGTCACATTTGCTATCACGCGGCGCAAATTGTTAGTGATTAATTAAAATCTGTTCAGGAATAAAAAAAGTGAACAACAAAATATTATTAAATTTTATACATGAATGGCACTTATTTTTTTAAGTATTTGTGAAACCGCAAAATGTGTCAAAGCCATATTTAGATTAAAAGTAAAGAGCTGTTAAAATCGTGACAATTACCATAAAGTTCGGCTTGTGAATCTGGCACCTCATATATGTGACGCCAAGTTGAACCATAAAATTTCCTTCCTCTTTTCCCTTTAAAGAACTATTCAGTTAATCACAAAATAAAATGATTCAATCGAATCGTTTTCTGAGCAATCGTTTTTCAGGCTTAGTCTCTTCTGTACCCAGCTAATCCGGTTTTGGGTTCGGTACATGGCAAATATAAAATATTAGAAATTCGGTCTTAAATCTGTTCGTGTCAAGGCCATACCAACATTTTTTGTTGAATTATAAAGCTATGAATTGCCCCAACCTCGTCAGAGTTAAGCCGATTGTCATGATTGATGACATTATGCTAATGGCTTAATACATTATTGCAATATTTGTTGATGTTTAACATAATTGTGAAATAGCATTGTATTTATATAGTATTAACTATATTTAAGCCTTCGAAAGTTGGTTCATAATGCTGCTAAATACCAAACGATATTGCAGATTAAAAAAAAAGTCACCATTACATTTGTTAATGTGCGTTGTGTTGATTTTATTTACGCATTTTCCTTGCGTGCCACACATTAAACAATTAGCTGCAAATGAAGCCGGACAAACAGTTGCAATTAGTGCTCACAAATTGCACTTAATTATATAATAAATTCAATTGACAGCTGCGCTTCTTTACAATATTTTCACATACCATTTCCCCCATTTTCCATTTCCACTAGCCTCATTAAAATGTCTACTGTTTTTTCATGCATAATAGCACGCTTATTTATGAGTTATACGTTATCTTTATTTATGCACTTATTTGCGGTTAATTTTAAATTTTATTCTGTTTACGCTTTTTTTTATTATTTCCGTCTTATTTATTGTGGCGAAATAATTATCGTTTTTGCTTCAACAAGTGCGTTTGGCTAATTGGCTTTTGTAGGCTTATCTGATTGCAAGTTGGTATTGAAATTTATGGCTGCCCGACGTTAATTATAAAGCCACGCCTCCGTGCTTGAGCCCGTGAGCTCGATTCGTGGCTTGCCTTCAATTTCGTTTTATGCTCTGAAAAATCACAACGCAAATTCAAAGAAAGTCCCCCACAAAGTTTTATTTGCCGCAGGCAGGGAAAAAGAAAAACAAAAAGGAAAAAAATTTAGCGAATTTAATCAAAAGTGTGTAGAGAAATGTTACGCAAACAATTTCATCAGGAATTCTCTCTCATACTTTATTCTTTTCATCCAAATATTACAAATAGATTTGAATATCTATACGTATTTATCAGTCACAGTAACGGAAACAAGTTCTTTATTTTTTTAGGGTAGAGTGAAATGTTTTTATATTTTTTTCGAGGGGCTGCAGATGAAACTTTGCAAAAAAGTTCATTGTTATGCGGATTTGTTAAAAATCGAACATATTTTTCTTCTCTTCCTGAAATGGAAGCGCACAAGAGAGCAACAATGGCAGGTAAAGTCCATGGCAGACTGAAATAAATATTTACATAGATGCGCAGATTCGGATTTTGCATATTTCCAGCCGATTTTTATTTGTTATCCAGAGTCGACAATGTGCCCATTGAAATTTGCATGCAAATTTGTTTCTTTTGATAGCTGGTAGCCTAATCAATCGCTGATATATCCATATGACGCATGAATAGAATTATGCATCAAGGCATTACGCATACGCCATGTTTGACCAGACACACACGCACAGGCAGAGAACTGACGTCAGGCAAGTTGTTGGCATATTTTGTATTTAGCTGTATTTAGCAGCTTACCATGGCATATTAATTAACTTTTATGCGAGACACGCACACACACATACAGCAATAACCACACACTACAAACAACCCCAGAGCCAAGTGGCGTATGTGTAATATTTCATTTAGGACCTTGGCAGCACGGCCGTGGCAGCAGCCCTCTTTATCTGTGCTCCTTTGGGTCTAAGAGATTTATTGCCTGCTTCAAAGATAAAGTCATTATTATGGCATTATAAAAGATGGTAAGCACACCCCGCAGCGTTTAACGATATGAATCTTTGATGCATGTAATTGCCGTCTACCGACCCTTATATGATCTTATCATTGATTTTCCAGCTGCTGATGCTGATGCTGCTGCTGCTGCTGCTGTTTGCTCTTACAATTATGTTAATTCTTGGACGCAGTTTTGTCGCTTGTCTCGCACTAATTAAAATTTCATTAACCACAAATGTGACGCGCATTTCGACAGTCATGTTGGAATCTACGTGCAGCTGCCTTAGCTTTCACATGTCTGTAAACAAGTACATTGTACATTAATTATGCATGCAATCCCAAATTGACAGCTGGAACGCCTACCAAGGCAACCGGCCAAATTAAAGCAAATAATTCTCAGCATAATCAATAACGTTGGGGCGACTTTGCGCGACACGTGTAAAACGAGAGCGAAATTCGATTCGGCACCAACAAATATTTGACCTGAAATGTTTTAGCCATGTGCCCTTTGCCCTCTGCACTGGTAGCGGCCATTTGGCAGGCAGTCAAAGTGCCAGCCCAGTGAAGCTGGCGAAGAAATCATGCAAGCCATAAACAGCCATGGCCGCTGCATGGCGCCTACACAGCGCGACAAAATGGCCGACAAAATGGCGTCGGCGACAGCGTCCAACATTGTTGAAGGTGTGCTTTAAAGCCGCTTGGCCAGCTCTTCAAGAGATTAATAGCTACAACTGGCAATTGACACGCGATAACTTAATTTAAGGCAGTGCACCAAGTCAATTTAGTTGGCCAAGCGCTTTTGACACCTAAAGCAAATATGTCGAATGTAATTACTGTGAATAAACCAGTTAAGTACCGAAACTCTTCAAATAAGCAAAATACTTGCTGCAGGTCTGTCGATATCGAAGGTAGATGCTGTCATTTATTTCATAAGGCTCTCCTTTTAAAATTATAATTTGTATAATATTTGTATTATTATTAATGTTATTATTATTCTGATATTTATTATTATAGTTATTTCGATTATTTATATATATTATTATACTAATCTAATATCATTATGTTTATTATTCAATATTTTAGTTTTAATCTTTTTATTAATTACAGTTAGTTTGAATATAAATCCATATTGAAATTTTTATGGGCTTTGTTGTCCAATCTGTTCAGGCAGGGCATGCGCTCTTCGGTGTGCATCGCTGTGTGCACTGACTTCTAGCGTCGTGTTGCGCCTTTGATTGAATTTCCTGACTGCAGCATATGTTGCACATTTGTACATATATGTTGCCAGTTCGTGGCATGAAGTTTATTGAAATCGATCGACTTCCACTTGGACTTTTGCACGATGTGCAATTGATATTTGCATATAAGTAAAATGCGCCAGCGAATGCCTGAGATTTATGTTAATTTATTGAATTTCATTTGATTTCTTCTGCCTTTTTACAATGTGTAAGTGTGCTGAAATCTTGCGAATGCGAAAGCAAATTCAATCAAGTTTATGCATAAATTACCCGACAGAAAGCCTGGAAAAGGTAAATTTCAAGAAAGACGCATCATAATAACAACATCATAACAACAACAAGTTGCTGCCTTCGCCTACTTTATCTTTATAATGGCAAAAGTTTCAAGTTGAAAGCCCTGGTCCTTTTTATACCTTTCTGTTACATAGTATATATAAGTATATAGGTTTATGCCGGACATGGCTGCCGCTGGGCAGGTCGTTAAAATGGCTGCTCAAAGGGGCCGCCCGCCGCTTGTTGTTCATTATGTAATTGTGGCGCGTGCAGGTTAAAGAGCCAACATGCAGCTCTTTGTGGGCTGTTATTTGAATAATTTATATGCTAATTTAATTATTGTACAATTTGCACAGTTTATTGTAGCTCAACTCAAATGTAGTCGCATTGCTGAACGCCGAATTTTAAATGTGTTTATTTTAAATTTTATATTTATATTATATCTTATTTTTGATCTTGTTTAGTTGGAGCTCTTTTTTAGGCAATTCTGCAAGTGCCTCAGCTCCATTTGCTGCACAAAATCCGAGATGACGGTGCAGAGCACCACCTGCAGCAGCATTTTGCAGCTTCTAATAATGCCAACGAATTGTATTACAGCCGTATTCGCATTCGGTTTCCAAGCCATAAAGCTGATAGATTTTGGACGATAATCTTCGAAACGCACTCGGGTGCTGACCTGCAGGTTGATAGAGATATATGTTACAGGGACAAGTCGGTTAATATATCAAATATTGTACACCTACCAAAAAGCTGATGATGTCCTTGGTAGTTCCGCCACGCTGAAGTCTTGCTCTAGAAGTCGCAGATTTGCTGGGAAACTCTATTTTCCAGATGTTGTTAAACAATTTTTTATGCTCTCGCAGCTGTATCTTTGCCGCACATAGCAGAGGCAATAATATTGCCACTTGCCATGCCACTTGCAGTGCTGACGAGGTCAGCAGCTGGCCACGAGTGGGTAGCGCTTCCATGCCCATCCACTCGGCTTCATCCTCAATGTCGTCCTGACTCTTTTGGCTCTGCAACAACACGTTTTCATCGTAGCTGAATTCGCTCACAAAGATGCCACATTTGAAACACAATACAATGAAGTACCAACAAAATGTGGCCCTAAAGTAGTAGGCAGCCAAATGTTGCATTCGTTTAAGCAAAGGCTGCACGTGCAACAACTGACGCAGTAGCTTAAGATCATGCGGCAACTGCAATTGCTGCAATACCTGATTTAGCGATTGCAGCAATGCTGCATGCAACAGATGCTGAAAGAGGTGAAAACTCAACAGCAGAGCCAAAAGCAGATGAACTGCACCCATGGCATATTTGACGATTATATAGACGCTATCATATGCCGGCGGCCTATCCAGCCAGATGAGCTTCCAGGTCAGCAGCAGCAGCAAGAGAAACTGCTGAGCGCCCAGCAAGAACAGCACCCAAGAGCATTTGGGCACAAAACGCTCACGTAGCAAGGAAGTTAGATGCTTAAAGATCAATTGGGCCTGATCCACCATATACCAAAGCTGAAGCCTGCAGGTCAAACATCTGATGATTATCCACACATACGCCACATTGTGGCAGATTTGGCTGATGCAATCCAAGACATCTAATTCGGGTTGCGTGCCGGGTTCAAGCTCGTTCAGGTTGGCGTTGTGGGTCTCCAAGTCCCAGCGCAGATATAAATGCAGAAAGTTAAGTAGCACGAGCAGATAGCTGGGGAAGTAGGCAAATAGACAACAGCAGCCAAAGTCCAGACGATAGCGCTGCTGAGCTCTATCAAAGCGTATCTTCAGAAAGCCCACACAATTCAGGACGAAGCACTGAAATTTCAGCAGTTGATACAGCAACTCAAAGCGCCGCATGTTGATAATGAACTGAATCGAAAATATTATTGACTACATATTCATTTATTGAGAGCATTTTATGAATAGATGGCTAATTAACAGACAATTTACTCTAATTCATCGTACATATACCAGCGATAGACCTGGCTAATTGTTTGCGTCACATTAATATCGAAATTACCTTGCGAATAGCTGTTGTAAAAGTTGATATGCATGTGTGTGTGCTGCCATAAATACAGCCAAAGGGATAGCAACACCAGGCAGCCCACTTTGGTGAAGCTGTCGAGGAGCATGGGCAGTGTCAGCTGTAGCTGATGGGTACTCAGACCCAGGATGGCCAGCGGCAGGGGTTTTTGGCGTAGATGTGTGACCGGTAAATTGCTGGAAAACTGTGAAAAACATTTGATTAAGACATGGACACGGCACAACCGTCACACTGACCAACATGCTAATGACATCGCGTTTGTGCTGTGGCCTGGCGAAGGGTCGCAGTATGGGCAGGCCAAACGGCATGGGCAGCGTTTGGTTGCGCAGCAGGCACCAGGACTTCAATTTAAAGTACTCCAAGCGATCCGTCAGCTGCAGATAATTGCCATAGAATTGGCCACGCTGCTTCTGCAGATCATACGAGCTGATCAGCAGCGTTATAAATGATATCAGCAGCAGCAACAGATGCACCAGACGCAGGCGATCGATGTTGAGCACATTGGAGGGTTGCCAGTCTAGAAGCAGTTGGTTGAAGCGCAACACAATCAATGCCACAAAGCTGAGCAGATGCAGAGCAAAGTAGCGTATAATGTGCCAATGCACGCTCCTAATGCTCACCTGCTCCCGCAGTATGGTGCGCAAAATACCCACGCGGGAGCTGGTCATGTGCTGCTGCAGAAACACGTTCAGCGCCCGGTAGATGCTGGCCAGCCAGATGAGATAGTTGCCCAAAAAGAGCAGCTGCATGTGATAGATGAAACCGACGCCAGCCATGAAGCACGACTGATAGCTGTAGTACATGTGGCACTGCCAGGCAAACAGCAAAAGCAGCTCGACGGGCAGCAGCAGTGTCAGCACACATTCCCGCCATAGGGGCACACACATCCTGTCGCCCAGCACACGCTGCAGTGCGCTATGTATTTGGGCGCAGGCATTCAGCAGCTTGGTCAGATGCTGGCGCAGACGTTGAAAGTAGATGTAGAGTGGCACGAAGAGAAGGAACAGCAGCTGATCGTAGATCCAGCACTGGCTTAGCCATAGATACGCCAGTGAGGCAATCATATTCACCACGCTCATGATCTGCACATAGAGCTGCTCGTCCCACACAAACTGGCCATCCGGCGCATAGCCCACATTGTAGTAGCCCAGATAGATGCCTAATCTGGCAGTCACACGCCACATGCACAGCAAGTGGCACAGGCAGAAACCTTTGACCGTTGTATGCGTACGCATTGCTGCCAGTTGTTTGCAACACTGAGTGCCACAATAGTGTTTCCGCATGTTAATTAGCTTTCCCATTGAATGGTAAGTGTGACATATATGGATATGTATGTATACTTATAGAGAATATATGCGAGAGCAAGCGTGGCTGAAAGGACACTTGAACTATAACGACAAGCAATATTTCATGCTCTGTTTATATTGTGGGGGGGGAGACCTTTAATAGTTAACACTCTGATATGGGAATATGAAATTGAGAGAGCACTTAAAATCGCATAAAGACACAAAAAAAAAAAAAAAAAAAATAATAATAACAAGTTATATGCGGCGTGTCGTACTTTAAATACCCTAGCAAGTAAGCTGCACATTCATTGTTCATGGTTCAAACAAATGCCTGGCCAGAGGGTTCGCTTCGGGAACCTGGCTTTTCACATCTGTTAACTGAGATTTTGCCAAAGGTTAAATGTTATTTAATTAGATAATTGAAATGATCGTTAAACGCTGTTTCAAAATTTCGCAATACTATTTTCCTTCAACCAAACCTATTGTTTGAAAAGATATCGTTTCGGCTTACGTTAATAGACAAATGAAATTTTTTTAAGCCATTTGGAAGTGTTAAGTTTATCTAAAAGAACATCTTTCTGAAAGCAGGAAACGGGTAGTGTATAAATATATTTGTCGAATTTCAGTCGTTCCGAGTGCAGCACATGCCGCAGCCAGAAATATTATACCCACTGCAATGCAAAGCATACAAAAAAACAAACTCCATGACACAGTGCGCAATTTTAATTCATATCTTGGCAGCATTTTAAGCGCCAGCCCTCAGATGCAGCTTCATGGTGGAAATGATTTAACACCCCACGTAAGCAGCTGCATGGGGTACGCTTTATATAGTGTGTTATGGGGCATGTACTAGTGCCCGTATCTCTGTAAAAGTGTGCGATAAAAGTCGCCCCATAACAATGACAAAAAACTGCATGTTTTTATTACAAATTGCAATTGTGAGAATTTTATACATGGCCGCGGCCACATTGCCATCGTCGCATCGTGTCACATTCCAGAAGCTTCCACCTGCAAAAAAAAAAAAAAAAAATTGGAGGCAGCGCCTGTGATAGTGTCGCCACAAATAAACTTCCGCACAAAAATTGGGCTGCATTTCCGGTGGGCTGCTCGAATGTTTTTATTTCCGCTTTTTGCGTGCTGTGCATAAGGCAAATGAATTCATTTTTACCCATTTTAAATTTCTTTTTCAATTTAAATGGCCCGATGGCTGACAGCGAAAAAAATTTCGCGCAGTAGACATTTCTTTTTAGTCGATTTGGCTGCTATAAATTTTTGCATGTTTTCATTAGTTGTCAGCGCTGCTTTTGATGATTTATGCATGTTTTTTGGATATGTCCCCTTTACATGCACACAGGCATTCCGAAGAAAGTAAAAATAACAAACCTATTAAAAAAAATGTAGAAGCGTATGAAAAAAGTATAGACCTGCGAGAATGTTGTCACTTTAAATATATCAAATAAAATAAATAAATAAATTATAATGTGATTGATTTGTTTATTAATAATATTTTTATAATTGAAAAGAACACATGAATAATACTCGGCTAAATAACCCCTTGCCATTTTGGCCGATTTTTGTCAAAATTTAGATTTTAATTTTGTTGATGTCAATCGATAGTAGCCTTACGAGTCCCAAATGGTATAAAATTCCAAAATAGGACATTATTTAGCCAAGATATCAAAAAAAAAAAAAAAAATCATCAAGAAAGGTTGACTTTACAAACGACTCGTTTTTGGGTCCACAACATTTATTAACCCATCGATTTTTAATTTGTTTGAATGCCAATTGATAGTATGGATCCGTACGAATTCAAAAAGGTAGAATATTTCACAATCAGACGTTATTTATCCGAGATATACAAAAGTAATCATCAAAAAAGGTTTGATTTTCGAACCGACCCCGATTTTGATCAAAAAGGTGCCATTTTTACCCGATTTGGTTCAAAGTTTAGATTTTCATTGTTTTGGTGTCGATCGATAGTACTGATTCTTATTATTTTGCCAAGATATTTCAAAAAACATCAAGGTTGACTAATGTCAACAAACAAATAGTCAAAATCAAAACTTTGTTGATGATATTTTTAATATCTTGGGTAAACATTATCTGATTTTAAAATGTTATACTTTCTTAATAGGTAAGGAAGGTAGGCCTTCTATCGAATGGGGGTCGGTTCGAAAATCAAACCTTTTTTGATGATTTTTTGGAATATCTCGGCCAAATAACGTCCGATTTTGGAATGATATACCATTTTTGACTCGTAAGGTTCAATACTATCGATTGGCGTTAAAAAATTGAAAATCTAAATTTTGACCAAAATCGACCAAAACAGCAAGGGGTTACATCACGTTTTTTCTCAAAATCGGGGTCGGTTCGAAAATCAAAACTTTTTTGATAGTTTTTTTGGAATATCTCGGGTAAATATCGTCTGATTTTAGAATGTTATACCTTTTTCAATTCGTAAGGATCCCTACTTTCAATTTGCTTTCAAACAAATCAAAAATCGGTGGCTTAAAAAAAGTTATTGACCAAAAATCGATTCGTTTGTAAAGTCAACCTTTTCTGATGATTTTATTGAATATCTCGGCCAAATAACGTCCGATTTTGGAATGATATACCATTTTTGACTCGTAAGGTTCAATACTATCGATTGGCGTTCAAAAATTGAAAATCTAAATTTTGACCAAAATCGACCAAAAAAGCAAGGGGTTACATCACGTTTTTTCTCAAAATCTGGGTCGGTTCGAAAATCAAAACTTTTTTGAAAGTTTTTTTGGAATATCTCGGGTAAATTTCGTCTGATTTTAAAATGTTATACTTTCTTAATAGGTAAGGAAGGTAGGCCTTCTATCGAATGGCAATAATTGATTTAAGAATCGGGGATTGTATAAAAAATCTAGACAAAAACCGGTTAATGTATTATGACAACATTTTGTTGATGAGATTTTTTTGAATATCTCTGTGAAATCTATCTCATTATGGAATGATATAATTTTGATTTTGATGTTGTAACGAGTACTATCGATTGACAATGGGAAAAAAGTAAAATCTGAATTTTTTTCCTAATTTGAAAGAGAAAAAGACGGGATTTCAAAACGTATTTTGTTAAAAACGAGATTGGCTCAATACTCCTTTGATATTTTTTTTTTTATATCTTGGAAAAATTTCGTTTGATTTTATAATCTTATAGCTTTTTTAAGTTTAAATTTAAACTTATCAATCGGATTTTATTATACTCATTCGAATTCCTATGGAGAAGTACTGTCGATTGGCATTCAACATCAAATTTTCAATATTAACCGAACTTTATTAAAATAACTTCAAACGCTATAACACATACCTTCAAAAATGTTCGTAATTGCTAAGAACCACACAAAATGTGCGCGTTTCGATGAAAAACTGAAATCTCCCCAACTTCTCGCTGCTTGTGTATCAAGGGTATGGACAGCTTTTCGAGCTGCTAACGATGTAGCTGCTGGTTATACTGATATGGAAAGCCTTTGAGTTCTGTTTCTGGTGTTACTTGCTCCTGCTGCTGCTCCTGTTGATACTTTTGCTCCAGCTGCTCCTCTTGTGGCTGCTGTTAATGCTGATGGCTTTAATGATTGTTTGTCAAACATGCAGGGTGCAGGACGGCTTCCTGGCGTCCCATGGCTACTGCTGTGGGCCAGGGGCTTCTTATTGAATTCCAGCGGCGCCTGCCTTGTCCTTTTGCCGACATGCACAGGATTTTAAAATGCCACATAAAAGCGCACCGAACGCTGCGACATGAATTCCAAGTTAAAATGACAAAGCAAATGCCGAGAAAGCAGCAGCTGCAAAGAAAAAAAATAGATGTAATGGCAAGTGAGCCGCTTAAGGTTTGACAGTTTTGGGTTATGCTGCGATGAACCAATGAACATGCCAAAATACTCACGTGCCTGGGCATGCAAATCCTCTAATGGCTGCTGCTGCTGCTTCTGGAACAGGGCATAAGCAGTGATTGAGACTTGAACAAATTAATCGTCAATCGCCGTGCCATCAGCCTGGAAAGGAGCAAACTTTGACCTGAAAATTCCCAGCTTGAAAATAAATTAGTTTGCTGCGTGGGTGACGGTGACGCAAATCTGAGGTGGGTTTGACAGCGGTTCCACAGAGGGAGCTGAAGACGCGGTGCTTGAGTGAACTGAAAGGGTGTCTTGCCAAAATTGTGATGGTCAAAGCGTTAGAAATGTTAAATATTTAAACTGAGAAACTTATCGATTTTGGTCGAGGCATTTGGTGGTGAATGCGCGTGTTCAATTGGCGCTAATTGAAGTGGTTGCCTCCTCGATGTATGCAGCCATCAATTACTCGTACTTCACAAATGCTTTTTCGCGTTAAAAGCATTTACACAGTCCGTCATCACATTAGCGTCAAAGCGCCCCGCAAATTGTTATTGTTTTATATGCCCTTACCAAAAGGATACCTAAACCTTGTCAATGTGTTGGCACGTGTTATAATTACGAGGGCCATAAACGTTGTCTAAATTTATACTTATGTTCTGCAGTAGTCATGCTTGTTACTAATAAAATTTAAATAAAAATAAATAAATATAATATGAAATTAATAATTTAGTAATTTTTTGTATTACTATAAAGTAAATAAGAAAAGCAGCGTATTTAGGCTTCTACCAATCATTAGATATTTTGCTGCCCCATTTGTTCTTCAGTTTCAGGGGGTCAATTGCGGCAACCGCCTGACCTGCCTTCTGCAGTTGCTGACATGTCGCAGCACTCGCTGCTCTGTTGCTGCCACCTTTTCGGTTACTTTGGGGCACAGACGGTTGTGTGTGAGCTGTTCGCGCTGTGCAACATCTACTACAATGAGGCCACGGCAAGATTTGCTCTGGCCCAGCAAACACTTATCTACTGGATGTTTGGCCTCAATCTAGTCGCGTGGATTTTGGTGGTTTGTAATGCTGGCGCTGATAGCCGAATTGACGTCTACGCTAACTTTATATACGCAATGCCCTGCATTCTTTACATGTGCACGCGCCAGTGGTTGATGGTCACGCTCAATGAGATGGTTGGCGTGCAACGCCAGCTGGGTAGCTGGCTCTGTGTTAGGGTGGTGTGTGCTTATATCTGGTCTCTGCTCGTATCCGTGCAGCTAGGGTGGATCATCTACTGGCAGCTACAGCTTTATGATTACCTAAAGCTGCTGTGTGTAGCATTCTGGGTGGTCTGCTGTTATCTGCAGCTGCTGCTGCACTTCAATTGCTTCATTTGGTTGCACTGCATCTATGTGGCCATAAATCGGATGCTGGCTGCGCCCTTCAGCTGCCATCGGCGATTTAAGCTGCTGCACAGGGTGCTTCAAGTGGAGCCAACGTTGCAAAAAATACAACGACACATGACACACTATTTCGGCGTTTATCTGCTGTCGCTTTTTGCGCTGATGTTGCGCAAGTTGCACTTGTCTTTTAAAAAGGAGGTGGATCTGCGGGGCAGGGTTATCTTACGTTTGCAGCTGATACAGCTCAGATATGGGGCAAATCTTTTAAGCCTGATCATCACATTGCTGTTGGCTCGACGGCACTTTCGCAAGGAGCGTATCAAATTCGAGTCGAGACTGTGGCAGCTGGTGCAGCAGCCGCAACTTTTTTTGCCACAGCTGCGCCAGTGTCGCAAGGGTCGCAGAAGACGTATCCACCAATTTTGGATGTGGTGGATCTAATGGTAAGAATTGTCGCCGTGAGTACAATTAACAAAACTCTTAAACTATGTGCTTTATCTATTTTGCAGCTTTACACTGGCAATCGACCTGAACAACTTCGTCACAAGCAGGCGTTGCCAGCTGCTTTATTGCCAAGTAAGCGCCACAGCTCTGGGCCAACTACTTGGCTGGTTGCTGTTCGGCTTGTCCACAATGCTGCCAAAGGGCGTGGTTGGACACTAAGCTGGGAGTTTGACGGAAACATTAAGCAAATGTGGGAGTCCAGCAAACCAAGCAGCTGGTGGTTTGATTGAATCGACTTTAAAGTAGGATATATGTTTGTGCATAAAATCAATAAATAACTGAGAAACTTGCTTGCTGAGCAAACAGCAGTTGGCATTCGAAATTCGCTATGCAAAGCACGTTTGCCATTCTCCATAAAAAAAGGACTGCAGAACCAATAAGTAAAAAGAAAAGACCCAAAAATCAACTAAATCAAACACCCACACAGCTGCTTGCTGTGAGTTATGTGCAGCTGGTAAAAATCTATTAAATCTCTTGAACTATGCGGGAGCGATGAGTGCTGCCAACCTAATTAGCTGCTGTCCCATAGGCCATAGCCGTGCAGCGTGGCGTATGATTAACACGACTAATGAACGCCTTTCTCGCTCAGCTGTAAATGATTGAATTAAAACTCATTCGGTCTCGACTAAGCATAATCAATTCAATTATGCCGATGCCCCGCCCCCTACCACTAAATAAAAACACAGCTCAGTTCATTGCGCATGAGAAAAACTATTTGCATGCTTCAAATTTCATCTTTGAGTTCATACAAAACTATTTCCTTGCAGCATGAGCAGTTGAGTGGAAAATAATTTCGATTAGATGCATTAAGGGATGCGCTGCTGACACGCCCACTTGCTGAACACCCCAGCTAGCCTCATGCCAGCAATATTGTTAGGCCACACCCCCCAAAAAAACGGAGCATAATTGATGTGGACAGGTGCTTGTGTGTGCGTGGCAAACTCTCTGCCTGTTGTTGCAACTGCAGCTTCCCATAATATGCCAAGCCATTTCCTAAAAACTGAAGCACTTACCATTTAGCATGCAGCTCCATACATTCCCACAATGGTTCCCGATTGACTGTAGCCACATATGCATGTAAGGGTATCTGGAGTGCATAGTGTGAAGTGCAGCCAGTTTACGTATTGCAATTTGTGCAAAATGTAAATTTCCTCACTGATGACAGCCGCAATTTTGTACACCATTGTTGTAGGACAGTGTTATTGTTGTTGTTGTTGTTGCTGTTGTCCCTCTTGTTTGTATACGTCCTTTGTTCGGGCTTAGATGTGTGCACACAAGCAGACAGTGCTAGTCAGTTTAGTGTGACCCAGTGTAATCTTATGAACGGTTCGAAAAAACCCGAAATGTCAATGTTTATTTTTAATGAATACGGGGAAGCGAACCCTAGCCAGTGCTGACCAAAAACAACTGATAATCGAGATCTGTTTCTATGCACATGAACAGCGCTGTTGCAAGTCTTCAAGCACGTAACAATAAACAAAGCAGCAGTCGAGCTAAACAGAATATTCTCACTGGCACGACAATGTCACTTTTTCTCACTCTCCCTCGTTCGCTCTCGATGTCTCTTTCGCTTTGATTAACAATGATGTGCATTATTTTTGCAAATAAACTTGGCCAGGCCACATACGCTAAGGCCGTGCAACGCAGACCGGGTGACAGAAGAAGTGAAAAAGATTTTTTTTGTTTTTGCGCAGACATTTTCCATTTCCATGCTGGGCAATTTGGCTCAAGTTGCATTTATTGATTTATGACAATGACAGCATAAAGCTTCAATCATTGTCAGTAGCAAGAGTTTGAGTATTCGCAACAGCCACATACACACTCGCTGCACATTCCACATGGTTGTCATAATTGCGCATTTGGTTGCAAGGTCTTGGCTGCGAGTGCTCGGATTCACATTCACATTCACAATGCTCGCACACACGTAACTGGTGAACGGAAGCTTTTAAACAAACAGGAAATGCTATGAGCAGCTTTGGGGCAGCACAGGATCCAGCTAGAACAATACAAGCACTTGCAAGTCCGGCTTGGAGGCAGCTTTGGCCGTAGCCGTAGTGAAAACAAAACATTTGTTATGCAAAGCCTTTGATGTTGTCCTTGGGCGCACTGAGTGCAGGATGCAGCCAACAACTTGTCAATGACAAAATCATTTACCCCACTAAAAACTGCCATGAAGCAATGGAAAAACATTTTCCCTTGCCATACTTAACTTCGAATGTTGTTAAAGTTATACGGTTTGAGCCGCTGCCAAATGGGTCAACAGCGACTGTAGCAACAACTTTATTGTGTACATAAAACTTTGGCGGCTTAGGACAGAGAAATACACACACACACACACACACACACACACACACACACACACACACCTAAACACACAAAATAATTAAGGTCCTTCAAACCTATTGACTTTTTTCGCTCCTGCGTTACGAAAAGTTTGTGTGGTGTTCAAAAATGCTGTGCGCAGAGAAGATAATAATTAGGCGCAAAAGGAAACGACAAAGGCCAGGAAGTGACCAACAAGAAAAGAAAAAAACAAAAAACAAAAAACAAAAAGGGACGCTCGATAAATAAATATGCAAGGCTGCAAGGATAGCGAGTCCTTTAATGCCCACAACATTTTGAAATAAGCGAGTGCACGCGCACTTAGCAGGCAATTGCGAGATAATTTAATTAGGTGGCGCTCGCAGCTACCAGGCAGGCAGACAGGCTGGAGGCTAGGCAGGCACAAGGATAACAGGATAATGATAACAAAACAAGCAAGCCAAAAGGCTTACCAGGCCCGTTACCAGTGCAGTCAGCGGCTGGGGCAATAAAAGGTGCCCTAGAACACAGATAAAATGTGCTGTAAATTAAATGAAAAATGGCGCCGGACAACGTTGGCCATTATAAAGTATGTAGCTGACCGATACCAGCAATATCGGCAGGCTTATATAAATTGCAGCAGCCAGACTTAATTGAGTTGCCCCCAAAACGCCGGCAGCTAACCAAAACCCAGTTAGTTCAGCTCTCTTTCTCTCTACAGTTCACTCACTTTAGGTTCGTTTGTGTGTGTGAGTAAAATGGCGAACGGAAGTGCAAAACTTGTCGCCGGATGTGGACAGCACAGGTAACAGCTGTCCTGCAGGCAATGGCCAAAGCTGCTCGAATTGAACATAATTAGCTCGCTAATTATTCAAGCAGCAATTAAATCGACCAAAAAGGATAATGGATAATTCAAGTTTCGGCTGCTTATTAATCGCAACTGCCTGCGAACTTGAAAATCAAACAAATTGTCAATTTAAATTTAATTCTAAGGTTACATCAATGATAGTCTTTAAGCTGTACCGAGTTGACTTCAATCTTAAATTGGTTAAGAAATGCTTTAACAGCTCTGTTGCAGTAAATCATAGTGTAGTATATAGTATAGCTAAGTATTTCATAGTATGCTTTGGCATATTATATAGTATATCAGAAAGGTCCTTGCACAATTGCACAGCTTGATTATACTCTCTTTCTAAATGATCCTAGCTAAATTGTGGCAGGTATAGCTACAGACTATCTGACATCACCCGCTTGCCTCCCAAGCGACAAGCTGGGCTGCAGTCAATGGGCGACTGGCAACTTGCAACGTGGCTGCAACGTTGTGGGTAAGCATGCATGTCAAGCACATTGCCACACTGTAAAGTTTGTTGTCCCAGTTGCAGTTGCACTTGCAAGTTGCATTGCTCGCTGTCAGCTGCACGTGTTAACGTGTGTGTGTGTGCGCGGGTGTGGGGGTTTTGTCGCCCCAAGCAGCGCCTTGGTGGCCTCGTTTCAGTTTCTTATGCAATAATTAAGTGAGTGCCAAGTAGAGTCAAGCGTGAAGCGCAACGCGTTGCCATTTTCTCATTTTCTATCAAATTCATGCGTAACGTAATTGGAAGGGGACGCAACCAGCCTGCAATTGTTAGTGTGTGCCTGTGAATGTGTGTGAATTATTTTGGGGAACGCCTGTGTAAGCCCCGCACGCATGAGGAATCAAAAGCAGCTGCAGGCCGCTACCCTTAAGTGCCACAAGTGGCTGGGAAAAAATAGCGCAAGAAAATTTAAAAATTAACTACAATATCTGACAACAAGAATACTTACATCAAAGTTGACACTACTTGTCAATCGAAGCTGTGGGCAAATACGACAGCGCTGTAAAGTGTGCTACGATAAGTTCGAGGGAATTCCAGTGAAACAAGAGAGCGAGAATGCAAGTCCGTATTCGTAAAGGAACTGCAGGTGCAATATTTAAGAAGATCAAAATTCACTGAGGTCTGACTGAAATGTGTGACATTTGACTAAAGCTACCTTTTATTATATAAGACTGGAAAACGTTAAAAATATATAAATCTAAAAGTATTTAATCTCAAGGCGTTAGTCAATAGTTGACCACCACAATAGCCACAAATTATTTACATATATCCAACTGGACCACTTTAAGCAATATATATTGCTTGTCGCACTCGAAGTTTTCATAACAAGGACACGTAAACAGTCACAACACGCATTCACTTAGATGGCCATCAAAATGCGAGCACTTGAAATCAAATTTAAACATCTATACTCTACATGCCCGGTGTATGGGCATGTGTGTGCTTGAGTACTTTCTTTCTGGACTGACATGTGTGTGTGTGTAGTTATGTTGCTACGACACGTACTTCCGCTCATAAGCCAAAGGCGAGCATGGCAAGGGCGCAAAAATATTTTTAACATTGTAACGAGATAATATTTTACCAACATACGATATTCGTGCCAGTCGCTGGTTTTGCGCCTCTGCTAAATGATATTACCTGTAGCAACATCAACATGACAGGCAGCTCGAGCAGCCACGACAACGACAGCGACAACGACGTGCCCAACTAACGGAAACCGGATGTGCTGGCTTGGCAGTTGTGAAGTGATGTTTAGGCCAGGCCAACGACTATAGCGACTACACTCGTTTGCTGGCAACATGCGCTCCACGACCAAACTTGCCCATAGGCATCATCGAGTGCCACTTTTTATGTCTTGCTGCTCCTGCTGCCGCTGCTGTTGCTGCTAGCAGAACCCGTGGTCCTGTCTCTGCAAGTGCGCGCACAAGTCAACTGTTCTATGTGTATGTGTAGTTGATAGGGCCCACAGGCGGCACACACATATCCACGCATTTTCTATCTACCCGGACTGCGAGGTGGCAGCAGCTGCCTATAACTTGTGGCGGTATAAATCGCTGCTTTTGCTACAATTTGCTGCACGCCCAACCTTGTGTTCCGTGTGTAACTATATAGAGGAACAATAATGCCACACTGGCGATTTGCTATGCTGCAAAAACATTTGAACATCTCTGAAACGACAGCACGCATACGGCACGCTGGCCGTCTGGCAGTGCATTCTAAGCAGCTTACCCATGCCATGGTACGATTATAATTTTGCCATCGAATGCTCGATAAGCACATAAACAGCCTGAGTACTCACACTCCCACTTGCATTCCTACTCCCACTGTGAACAGTGTTGCAAATGGTAGCTGGAGCTGCTGAGCTGCAACAAGAATGCAGCTGAATTCAGCTTTGTTTGCTGTTGCATGCTTATCTTGGCCGATATGCCCAACACGTTTGTACATTGCCCATACACACACACGCACGCACACACACAAAGTCATAACAACTTCATTTTCAACTGAATATTCCGCTTGCCAAACGATTTCCTGGTAAACCAAGTATCAACTTTTTTGTTCGCTCTCTCAAGTTGCCCAAAATTTAAGCGAGGGTCGCTTTGTCCTTTTACCTGCTGCTGCTGCTGTTGCTTGGGCAGCTTCATAGTTATTTGCATATTTGCGTTGCAATTTTCGTTACAGCTTGTAAATTTGCGTTTATATGCAAGGTGAAAATCTGTTTAACGTACCCCAGCCACCGTCCTGTCAAATGGGGGTCATTAAGATGCATTTATGCAATGGCCAAATGGAACTAACTTGCACCAAATTAAGTCAACGGCGTGTAAAGTAGCTAAAAGCTGACATTTAACCGCTAGTTGAGAAGAGAAATTGTTTAATAAAACTAAGTAAATAATGTCTATTATTAGCTACAAATCATAAAGTCAAATCATAAAAAAACGGCCACTATTGGGACATAAGCTTAAAGTTCTAATTAATTTCAAGCCTCAATGAATACTTTGCATAGAACTACCCATTTTTGTGTACTCAATCGATATATAGACTTAATTCAATTGCTGGAAAATCGTCCTCGTTCGAATCCAATTTGTGAATGCTTCGTCAATCTAGCTAAGTTTATGTGCCGTCCAAAATATGCTCGTGAATGTCAAGAGCTGTATAATGAGAGCTAATCAGTCAAACTGCCAAATCAAAGTTTGTGTGTGTAAAATGTGCAAATGGCGTTCTGGTTTTAGTCAGCGCATAACTTTTATGAGAACATTATAAAATAAACTGGAATGAGAGAAGGACCCAAAAAGTCCATAAAACAAACATCAGCTGGCAGCACCTAGTTGGGCTGTAAAACTTCCAGCAGAGCGAAGCGAAATACAGAAATTTCAGTTCATTGCTTGACGTTGTTGTTGATATTTCAAATTGGCAAACAATACACCAAAAGATACCATAAAATTGGTACGAGAGCAAGGGAAGAAAACACACACAAATAACTATAAAGTTTTGTCTTGAAAATGAATTAATTTATGCGTGGCAAGTGCGGCGTATGCGCAATGTCGAATTCAGTGTTTCGGTGTTGCTAATAAATTATGAAACTATTTGTGTTGTTAGAGACGTGCTAATAACTATATTCATCGCAAGCTAATGCTCTTGACACCACACATAGACACCTAAATGACATTACGTATACGCCACGTCGAGCACATTTTGGTAAAATGCCAATTGACTTTAATTGCGCTGCCTTAAAAAGTCATGCATGCTCATAGAAGTTGGCAAATGCTACTGTGTATCTGTGCATGTGTGTGTGTGGGGGAAACATGACACTCCAATGAAATGTCGTGCTAGCAGCAGCGACAGTCGGAGAGCAGCAATAGTAGCAGCAGCAGCTGTAGGAGCAGCAGTTTCATTAGTTTTTGGTTGGAAGCCACTGAATGTCCTTGCACTGCATTGAATTGCTGTCCTGCTTCGCTGTACGAAATTTAATTTTTGAATGGGGCCTAAGGAGGGTGTTGAAGGGGAAGATTATATGTGCTGTTAATTTGTACCAAAATGTCTCTATTAAATTGTAAAGTGCAAAAGTATTTTTACTGACTGCTCCGATCTGTTAAACGTTATGAATTGGCCTGAAAAAATGGTAAAATGCGTGTAAAATGCTTGTTTCGGATGTCGGTGCAGTCAAAGGAAAGGATAAGTCTGAAAGGACATTGCATACATATCAGCAGGCAGCTGGCAGCATACTGCTCTGCTGCTGTAGCTGTTGCTGCCCGAAGGACATGCCGACAGCGTGTGCAATCTGGCAATAAATATTTTATATTTACAGTATGCTTTCGTATGCGTGAAGGGTATATCGAGGCGAAGCATTATTTTAAGATGCAAAATAAATAAAAGGCTACCATATGACCAAAATACTTACATTAAAACATATTAAACCAAAGATAACTAAAGGCTACTTAAGTTCTATAATAATTTTCATGCTTAATATAAACAAGAGAGCATTAACAGAACTAACAAAATGTTTTCTTTACTTTGCTGAAGACCTGCAGATGTGTGTACATTTAAGTTTACCAATAGCTTCACCCAATCGCCTGCCGCTGGCTACAGTAATCGGCCATGCTGCAGGCCGGAGGTTGCGTCTTTTCTGTCTTCATGGCGCTGCATTTTGGGTGTAATGGGCGTGGCTCATTGCTCCGGGCAGGGCTGTGTTGGGCAATTATACATACATTTTGGCTTGTCATTTTGGTGCTATTTGGGGACCGTTCTGCGCCGTAAATAACTGCAGATACTTTTATAATTCGACCCACTTTTATAAAGCATCAGATAATCTGCGGCCCAGCGACTCTTTCGGGTGCTTATTTCTGGGCAATAAACATGAATGGAAATTAACATTTAATGACACGATCTTTCTTGTGGCAACAACGAAAACAAGCCTTTATATAAAAACATATATCATTCTTGTTACCAGAAGTATACTAAAAGTGCGTACTGTAATCTAAGAAACTAATTTGGTCGTTGTATGATTTTTATGTATATCCGGCTTCTTATCCTCTAACTATCTTGTCTTATTTTCAGAAGACCTCGATAGGAGAGTTCAAATCTAAGCAAGAACTCGAATATCTTACCATCTCACTCGAAGATTTTAGTGAGCGGAGCTATTTAAAACAGTTGGATAGTTAGTGAATAATTTATAATTGAATCATATTCCATATTCCAATAACAAAAATTCATTAAATTTGCTTTTCTCAGACATTTTTCCTAAGCCATTCTTGGAAAATTGAAAACTTGAAACCAATTAAGACTTCTGTCTTTGATTCGCTAATTTGGTTCATATCAGTGCTAACATCTAATTGCTTTGAGCTGCCGTACAAGTTGATAATTCAATTTATTTGACACACAACCGAGAAATGACAAAACCTGCATTTGGGCATGCCTGAAATCTAGGAATGTGGCTTTCCCATGTTCTTATCGTTTATTATTTTGGGAACTAATTAGGCAAACTTTTGGCTGTCTTTTTGTTTTATTTCCTACGTCTTTGGCTTAGGTCTTGGGCAGGCTGTATCACGTTTGACGAGCCGTGTCAAGGAAGAAGTGCTGCCTCAATTTTCTACGTGCACACCATAAAGTTTATGTGTAATTTTGTTTTTACAAGCAATGCTCCGAACTTGCCGAATGCCATTACAAGTTTACAATTGTGTTAGGCCGACTTTCTGGCCAAGTTTGGAGTGGCATTAATAAACCATAACAAATGGGCATACGAGCCTTGCGACAGACAGCACCAGAAGCACTTGGAGGGCTTAAAGGCAACACAACACACAAGAAAATTGTTGCAATTCTGAAAATTTAAGTTGAAAAATATGTGTGTGAAAAGTCAGCTAAGCTGGCAGCTTGAATCTAGCGCAAATAAAATCGGAGAAAAACGAAACAAGCAAAAATCGAATAAAGCGCAAACAAGTAAATGAAATTTCCGCTTCTGTGCCGGTTTATTGGAAGCCCTCGAAAGAAGCGACACGGACTCTCCAAAGGACCAGGCCTGGTGGCCAGGACCAAGACCAAGACCAGGTCCCAGAACGACTGGCCGATCGTTTAATGCTGCCTGTCTGCCAGTCGGTATCAATAGCATTTGTAGGTGTTGTTATAGGTAGGTTTATTTAGTTGTTGTTGCTGTGCAGAGAGGCAGCCATGTGAATAGTGAACTGTTCGTTAGCTTGTGCGCAATTTAAAATGCCGGAAATATGTTTAGCTTTATGAATCCATTTTCAGCTTACTTTATGCTGTTTAGCCAGTCTTCAGTTGGTGTCCACTGTGGCCGCAAGCAGCTTAGTGTAAATTACAGTTGTGCCCGCAGCAAAAAGTTATTTGCCAACGGCCAAAGTAACTACCACATAGAACATTTTAGATAATATCTTTTGATTAGTGGCAGCCGCAAAAACTTTAATTAAATTCGCACACAATTCTCTCTGAAAACTTTATGCTGCATTTGCCCATGTCACCAGATAAGTTCAACGACGCGTAACCGTAGCCCTAGTGTTGGTATCTCTCAGCCACTGACTGTCCCATGCCCTCTGTCCCCATTTCAGATGCTTCTCTTGGGTCCTGCACACGCATGTCAGCATGGCCAGCTCGAAGCTGCCATTGTTTGGCTGTCGACTTTAAGTTTTAGAATAAAAACTTAATAGAAAACTTTGCTGTGCAAACTTACCGTTAACTTCGACTTTCTCTCTTTTTAGACTCGACTAAAACTAACTAATGAATTAATTAGTTGATTTTTCGTGCTCAACTGCGCAAAAGTTGCGCTTGCACCAAGAATGAACCACTTTAAGTTGTTCGTTAAAAATTTATTCATATTTATTTTATTTTCTTTGTTTTTCATTTAGTTTTGTTTCTTTAAAGTCATGTTGGGCTCTTCCTCAATATAAGTATAGTTATGTAACCCTCTGGATGCCATAAATTTGCTCACAGCGAGCACACGGCAAAGGCAAGGGCCAGTCAGCGCGACGCGCAACGCAACACTCACACACATACACACACCCACAGACAGACATGCACACACATACACAACATACTCGTAACTCATATCGAATTGCACCATTTGTTGTTTGTCTCCCTAGAGGATATTGAGTCACTTGTGTTGTGTTGTAACGGTTCTTGTTGTTCTTGTGTGTTCTTGTTGGTTGTTGTGGTTGTTATTGTTGTTGTTGTTGTTGTCGATACTGCTGGTTGTTGGGTGTTGGCGCGTTGGCTGCCCGTTGCCCGATGCGCGATGTGTCGTGGCACAAATGTCATGGCATTTTATCGTTTGACGCTTTCGAATTTGATAAATTTATCACAGCTTACAAAAATAAAGCGAAGGAAATTATACGAATTTATGCAAATTAAAAATATAAATTTCTTTCATAGATTATGTAATGGGCCAGTGCCGTCACAATCTAACAGCCACGTCCACGCACTCAAAACATTAAGTTTGTCTTCGCTCGCCCTTTTCTGATTGAGTTTCGTGGACATCGTTGTCGCTGGACGCAAATCCGAACATTACATTCTCTTTACATGGATACATTAAAAGTAATAAAAAGCTAATAAAAATCAAGAATTCATTAAAATACAATTGAAATATGCTTAACCTAACCTAAATTTCATTCGTTTTGTCATGGCTATTTGCTTGAGTTTTTGTTATTATTTGTGGTTTTTGTTTTTGTCTACTTTGAGCTCTTCTTCTTCTTGGGCATTTGAGCCCAGAGGCGGAAGAAGTACTCATCGCGTTGAAGCAGCCGGCCGCGGGCATACGAGTGTATATCCGCATCCATATTATGATCCCGCAGCCACGATGATGTGTTGCATGTGCTCATCTCCGTGCGTGGCTCGTCGGGCAGGCTGGCATGACCTGCATAGAGAATGTATTAGCATTGTGGAAAATATTAAACAATAATTGCGTCTACATACCGGCAGTCATGACTTTGTATGGCTCCTCTGACTCGAGAGGTTCACTCAGACCAATCTCGTTCTTAGCGAATATACGTATCATATACTCGTGATTCTCTTGCAAGTCTCTTATTTGGAATTTCTGCACACCCGCTGGCACCCGACCAACCTCAATCCACATGGACTTCTTCATGTCACGTATGGCTATGTGATAGCCGAGCAGTGGCGCACCTCCATCTGACTCGGGTATACCCCATTCGAATACGTGGGCATTGGCAGCAATAACTCGCGCCTCCAGTGGAGCAGTTGGCGGCGATGGTACGGCTAGTTAAAAAATGATGAAGAATTAGAAATTATATAAGACGTTGCCCACGTTCAACTTACTTGCATGTGTCTTTAGCGATATGCTTTCTGTGACGGCTGGTGCACCTAATCCAACCTCATTCTCCGCTGACACACGGAACCAATACTCGCACTTATCTTTCAAATTGTCTATGGTGTAGTGCAGTTGATGTGCATCCAAAGTTATAACCTTAGACCAGCTTGTTGATGTTGAGGAACGTTTCTCCACGCAATAGCCTATATTTATAATTTGTATATTAATATAATGTTAACTAATAAGTAAATTCTTTTCCTTATGGAGTAGTATTATTATAGAGTATTATTATATTATTATTGGAGTATTATTATTGTTATTATTTTTACCTGTAATTTCTGAACCACCGTTTCTGGCTGGCACCTCCCAATCGAGAGTTACGCTGCGACTTGTTACATCTGGTGCTCTCAGGTTTTGAGGTGGCGATGGCGGCGCTAAAATGGAGCGTTTAACAATTATAATTATTAAAAATTGTTAACAAGACTTATGTCATTCGATGACGTCTACAACGTACCCATGTTTTCATAATTAGTCGCTGCTTAGTTATAAATTTTTTCATGGCGCAAGAGAAGCATTAGTGGGCGTTAAGAGAGAAAGCAATGTGCAGAGCAGTAAGCAATAAGCAATTATCATTCTGAGTATTTCTTGTCACTTACTTATCTTGCGACCAACAACAATCTTTTCTGTTGTCTCGAACGCGTCGCTGGTGCCAACCTCATTTCGAGCGTAGATCCGGAACAGATAGCCCTTGTTCTTCACAACTTTTTCAACTTGAATGTTTGTTACCGTGCCCGCTGTAGTGCCCACAGAGCGATAAACGGTTTCAGTCTCTTCCCTTATTTCCACAATGTATTCAATTATCTTGGAACCACCATCACTCTCCGATGGCTCCCAGGATAATGTAAATGAAGTATCATTCATGCCAGACACCGAGGTAGGATCACGTGGTGGAGTTGGTTTTTCTACAAGTCAAAAGGAGATGATATTCTTAACTATCACATATAACATATGGTATTATTTGCTTATACATACCAAACCTCTTTGTTATGGTCACAGTCTCACTCTCCGTTGGCTCCGATTCACCTATGGGGTTAATAGCCACCACTCGGAACATGTACTGCGCATTCATGGAAAGTTTTTGAATGGCGTACGAGTTGATGTCCTTGTCGAAATCTGAAACCTTCATCCAGACATTGTTCTGTACATCGCATTTCTCTAGCGTATACTGCTTAATGTCCATGCCGCCATCGTCGATAGGTGGCGTCCATTCCAAGGTAATAGAATCCTTTTTAATGTCTTTAATCTCCAGGGACTGTGGCCTGCTTGGCTTGTCAATCACTTGAACCGTGCACTCTGCATAGCTAGTTCCCGATTCATTTGTTGCCGTCACCTTGTAGCGTCCAGAGTGTTCGCGTGTTACCTTCTTAAGGGTGTATGTGGAGCTTGTCTCTGTGGTCTCAATGGTGATTTCCTTGGTGGTTGATTTCTGTTCGACAGTCTCCTTGTGCCAGGTCACAGTTGGCTTTGGATAGCCACGAACTGTTGCTGGAATGGTGAGAGTGCTGCCAGTGCGCAGTTTTTGGGACAAGTACTTCTCCTCAATTTCTACGACTGGCTTCTGCTGCAGTTTTAGTCTACACGATGTCTCCACGGAGCCCTTTTCATTCGTAGCCACGCATGTGTATGTGGCTTCAGTCTCAATAGTTGTCTTTTCAATGGTATATTTGGCAACACGATTCTCGTAGCGCAAACTACTCGACTCGAAGACTTGGCCATTCTTTTTCCATGTGACACTTGGCTCTGGAATGCCGCCAAACACACAGGACAATGTCACCTCCTTATTCAGATCACTGACAATATCCTGCAAAGGCTCACGTACGCTGGGTGCTTCGGTTTCAACCTTAGGCATCAGGCGTATGGGCGACGAGATGGGTGAGGGCGGTGATGGGCCAACTTCGTTGACTGCAATCGCACGGAATACGTATTCTGTATCGATCTTCAGCTTGCTGATGGTATAAGTTGTATCTTTAATCTTGCGTATCTCAGTCCATCTATAAAAGGAGATATGTTAGTTTTATTTAAAGTTATTAAATTCATGCATATTACTCACTTTTCCTGCTTTACATCCTGATACTCCAGAATGTATTCAATAATTTCAGATTTGCCATCATCCTCCGGGGCCTTCCAATAAAGTGTAATCGAATCGTGCATCACCTCCAAAGGCTGTGGTGTGCCTGGCGCCGTGGGTTTGCCTAAAGTTTTGACAGAAGTCTAAATTTCCGCGTCGCTTCATTTATAATTAATTTTTTATACTTACGCATAATGACCAAATGTAGGCTGGCTTCTGCCTCACCCACAGGATTTACAAGCTTAACCGTGTACTCGCCCTCGTCATCGTCGACAACCTTCTTGATGGTAAGAGTTGCGGATTGTTCATCTATAGTAGGAATAGTACGCTTTGACTTGGGAATGACAATCTTGCGCGTCGTCCACTCAGCTTCGGGTGTGGGCGTGCCTGTGTATTTGACAGTGAAGGTAGCGTCTTCGTTCTCCTTCACTTTGATGGTTTGATCCTTGTCAGAGGTAATCACGGGCGGCAGTTTAAGCTCCTCAACGCAAAGCTTACTGCTGCTGGTGACGTTTTCGGCAACGCAACTGATTTCACCCGCATCATCGTCGCTAGCATCATGAATGACCAGACGCCTAACAGTGCCCTCAACGAAGACCTCATGCTTCGTATTCGGCTTGATGGGCTTGCCCTTCTTGTACCAGGTAACCTCCACATCGGGCTGAGAGAGCTCGACTGTGAATTCAGCATCTGTGGTCTTGGTAGCCAGCGTGACGTCGGGCAACCGAAGCACAAAGTCTACTAATGGCTCCTCAACTGTCAGCTTCGCCTTGGATGTTTGCTCTCCAACCTGAATGGAATACTCGCCTACATCTTCAGGCTTGGCCTTCAAAATACGCAGTGATTGCTTTTTACCATCAATCGCTAGCTGTATGCGCTCAGTGAACTTGATTTCTTTGCCTTCCTTGAACCATTTTACCAGTGCATCGCCCTTGCTCAGCTCAATGTTGAACGTGGCATTTTCACCCTTTGTGACGTTGACGTCCTTCAAGGGTTTTATGATCTCTGGTGGCAGTTCAATGACAGTAAGTTCTGCGCTGCACTCCTGGCCTTCCAGCTTGCACGTGTACTCGCCCTCATCATGAATTGTTGTATCGCGTATAACTAAGCGCCTCGATTTGCCATCCTTGATGAACTCACAGTTTTTGTGTTCTGGTGTGATTTTTTCGCCATCCTTGTACCAGGTGACTTCTACAGCTTCTGTTGTCAGCTCGACATCCAGAATGGCTGTGTCCTTTTCGGTTACCTCATAGTCTTCTAGCACTTTTAGGAAGTCTGGCTTACGCTGCAGCACCTCCACAGTTGATTGCGTCTCTTGCTTCTTTACCTTGCATACGTATGTACCGGAGTCACGTAGATTTGTGTTCCTAATGACCAGCTTGTGCGTCTTGCCATCCTCAACGACAACGCGATGGTCCATGCCGCTCAGCTCCTTGCCATTGAAGAACCATTTGGTTGAGACCACATGAGAGGTTTCACATTCCAATGTCAGGGACTGCACCTCCTCAATAGTAATGGTCTTTTTCAGCTTCTTGGTAAAGGTCACCTCATCGACCTCAACAATCACACGTGCACCGTGTGATGTTTTGCCTATGGGATTGCTGGCAATACACTTGTAGTCACCCGAATCAGTTTCTGGATTGGCATTCTGTATAATGAGCTCAATATTTTCGCCATCATAAATCTGTTGTACTCGCTCGCTGGCATACAATGGGTTATTGTTGAACAGCCATTGTACCTCAGGAACTGGATTGCCCGAAACCTTGGCAGGTAAGCGAATCTCGCTCTTTTGCGGCACCGATTGCTCCTCGAAACGCTCCACAAATAATGGAGGCTCTGCATTACCACTGGTGGGTTCTAGATGGGAAAAGAATTAGTTTTGTAATGCTATTAAGTCAGAACAGAAAATGTGTGTTTCTCAATAAACATTGAACACGTAACGTACCTTCAATTGTAAGATAAGCAGTGGTTTCCACAGTGCCCAATGGATTAACAGCCTTGACTGTATATTCACCCTTCTCCGACTTCTTTGGTGTAATCAGTGTTAGAGTATGTAAGTCTTTTTCTGATTTGGCGTTCTTAATGGGCTTGCCATCCTTGTACCAGGTTACCTTTGGCACAGGATTACCAACAATTTGTGTCGAAAGCACAACGCTTTCACCCTCACGTATCACCATATTACGTAAAGGTTCCAAAATTTGAGGAGCTTCTTTGTCCGAGGTTCGTACCTTCAATGTGATGGGCAAACGAGCTTCGCCCTCGCGATTTGTGGCTATAACTTCGTATGTACCCTCTTGAGATTTTTTAACTTTCGTAATATGCACAACGCTGCAATACATGTGCATATCCGATTCGGTAACAATCCGAATATTTTTAATCTCTTCCTCATCAATGTCTTCACCATTGAAGGTCCAAACGATCTCAGGCTCGGGCACCGCAACAAGACGGCATTCCAAGATTACATTGGTACCTTCATCAACATATTGGGCCTTTGGCTTACGCGAAAATGTTGGCGGTATACCCTCAAGTATATCAGCCAAGGAAGATTCACGGGACATGCTCCTGCGCGAAAGTGCCGTGGCATCTGAGCCATGATCCGATAACGGACTCTCGACAATCAATTCGGTTGTACTAGAAGTGAAACCAGCGGCATTCTTGGCCACGCAAGTGAATTTGCCAGCGTCTTCTGGGAAGACTTCACGAATTATCAATGTGGCTACATTGTCATCATCGTAGAACATTTGGAAGTCCTGTGAGGGTTTTATGATGGCTGTTTCGCGGAACCAAGCGATCTGTGGTCTCGGATTACCTTCGACCTTGCATTCGAACTGCACTGTATAACCATCAGGAGTGTGTATTGGCTGTAACTTTTCAATGAATCGCGGTGCTATCGGTTTGTCTTGAGGTCCAGGTCCTTAATAAACGCCAAACACAAGACATTAAGAAGAAGTGTTAATAACATGACAGGACAATGCCAACAAGTTTTGTTAGATAATAACATTTAGGTTCATATGCAGAACTTACTTTCAAACACGGGTAGCTTATCAATCTTTTCATGCAACTTATTCTGCACATATTGGGCATATTCCGCGGGCTCCATAAGATATTGGGCAGGCACCCAACCTTCCTCTTCCGTAATGCTCTTCTTGACATACCACCATTCAGAGCTATGGCGTCCAATAACCTGTACTTTTTCACCCTCCACTAAATTGATTGCCTCATCGTTATCAGCAATGTAATTGCAAATAGAATACATGATGTTCTCGAATTGAGATTCTAAAATTGAATGAAAATTATTTTATCGTGTCTATAACTTTAATAAAAAATTTTACCTTCCACATCCATTTCCCTAGTAATGTTAAGAGAAGCGCCATCTAGTCCAGAAGTAAGATATAAATATTAATATGTTTTTCCAAAAGAGTTTAAAAAAGGTAAGTACAAAAAGTACATCTAAAGGTGGTCATAATGGATAGTTATGCGTTAGCTACTAACATTTATGTATTTTGGGTCGTTTTACCTCATTTTTCTAAGCTATTGCCATATAAGCAGATGTGCAAATTAAATCGAATGAGAAATTATTGCAAGTTGATAATTATAAAAGTTATAGTAATAATACCCGGGACAAAACTTACCTTCATTGAAGAGTTGTTGCACGATTTTACGCTTCTTTTTGAATGTTAGAGAATCTTCATCGTACGTCACTGAATCACGTTTGGCATGTCGAAGACCAATCAGAAATTGTTCCTCTTCTTCGTCTTGGACTGAATAGTGTGGCTTGGGCTGCTTTTTCGGTTTTAGCTTAAAGTCAACCTCGTCTGGAGGAAGCTCCTCAACCAAGTACTCTTCAGGCTCCTCAACTTCATCAATAGTATCTTCATCGTCATGTATTTCTTCAATTATTGGACCTTCACCGTCATCATAATCTTGTAAAATCTTAATCCTTGCCTCATCAGTGGCTTCCGAGTAGGTCAACTTTATTGGTTTCTTAAGTTTCACCTTTCCGGACATGGACACTTCCTCCTCAGCATAGGAGTCTAGGGCAATATTGAACTCTTGGTCCACGTCTTCTTTAGTCTTGGTAGTCTTTGGTCGGAAAGTAACATTTTCAACATCAGAGAATTCAGGAATGTCCACCTTCTTGCGACGTTTGAGCTTTTTGATAGTGTACTCTTGGTCTTCTTCATCGGTAACTTGCAGTGGCTTTGGCTTGGGCCGTTGGCTAACCAAAAATTCTTCAACGTCATCCCCTTCTTCGTATTCTTCTTCCAGGCGCTTAATGGACAGTTCTGCTGCAGCTTCGTCTAGGGTCTTGGGTTTTACTGGACGTTTCTTAAGAACTGTAGCTGCTTCTTCAACACCTTCAGTTACAGTGTGAGGCTTTTTAAATGAGAGACTGAATTCAGTTTCTTCATGGTCTTCTACCGTTGGTTGGAATGGTTTCTTTGGTTTCCTTCTTACTACAACGGCTTCCTCAATGATTTCTTCTTCTTCAATCTCTATTGGTCTCTCTTCGATAACAGTTTGCTGAAGTTGTAGCTCATCCGCAGCTTCTTCCACTGGTTTATGTTGCTTCTTCTTCTTCTTGAGCTGCACAGTTTCATCCGATGTTTCTTCAGAAACCTTATTTTCTTTTGGCAGTTTGAAATCGACTGCGAACTCTTCCTCTTGCACCTCCTTGGGTACCTTTGGTTTCAAAATAACTTCAGCGACCACATCCTCTTCCTCAGGTGCATCTGGCTTCTTCAGTTTGAAAACGGCAGCATCGACTATTTCTTCGGGTGTTGGTTCTTCTGGTTTCTTAACTTCAACTACTTCTACTTCTTCCTCCACAATTATAGGCTCAGGAGTTACTTCTTCTTCTACCTTAACTGTTAGTTCTTCAGCAGCTTCCTCTACAACCTTCTTTTTGGGTTTCTTTTTTGATATTTTGACTTCCTCCTGTACTTCTTCAGGCTTAGATTTGGGTTTAAGGACAACTTCAGCTTCAGGTTCTTCAATCGGTGCAATGACCGTTGGAGTTTTCTTAGGCAAGATCACCTCCTGAACATCCTCTTCCTCAATTTTTTCTGGAGCTTCGGGTTGGCTTTCTTCCAGCTTGAATTTGTACTCAGTGGGTTTTTCAACTGGCGCAACTTCAGGGGTCTCTTCCACCTGCTCTTCAATTTCTTCGACGATTTCAATTATTGGTTCTGGTGTAGATTCCTCGATGACAGTAACTTTAAGCTCTGCAGCTGCCTCTTCTTCCTTTACCGGTTTCTTCGGCTTCTTCTTTATTTTAGCCTCTTCTGTAACTTCTTCCACTGGTTGTTTTTGCTTGATTTCGAAAACGGCTTCGGGCTCTTCTATAACCTGAGGTTCAGGCTTCTTCTTCTTCTTTTGAATGGTAACCTGCTCTTCGGGTAAATCTTCTACAGTTTCTTTTTGGTCCGGAACTTTCTTCTTTTTCTGAATGGTAACCTGTTGTTCAGGCAATTCCTCGATACTTTCCTTTCGCGCCTCAGACTCTTTTATACTGAATTTATAGTCTTTTGGCTTTTCTACCGGTACCGGCTCAGCGACTGCTTCCTTAAGCGTCTCGATTTCTTCAATCTCCTGAATAAGTTCTTGCGGCTGAGATATTTCATCAATAATAGTTATCTTAAGCTCTGCAGCATCCTCTTCAGTCGAGATCTCTGGTACAATGGTAACGCTTTGGACCGCTTCCACTTCATCAACAGGTTTTGAAGCGGGAATGCTTATTTCAGCCTCTGGCTCTTCAGTAATTTCTGGCTTCGGCTTCTTCTTGCGGTGCACCTTAATGCTCTCTTCGAGAACTTCTTCTACAACTTCACGGGGTGTCTCTTCGATAACTCTGACTTTAAGTTCTTCAAAGGCTTCTGGCTGTGGCTCTTCGACTGTAGGCTCCTCCACCAATTGGTCTTCTGCTGGAATTTCCTCAACAGGCTTCTCAGCTACTGTCTCTCTCACACCTATCTGATAGGACTTGTATTCAACAGTAGGTGCTTCCTCTTCGATTACTGGTTCCTTTACCAATGGCTCCTCAATTACTTCTTCTTCGGCAGGTTTTTCAGGTACTGTTTCCTTCACACCAATTTCATACGATTTATATTCAACAGAAGGTACATCCTCCTCTTTTTCTGTCACAACCTCCACAATTTCTTCCACTACGGGAATTTCTTGAGGAATCTCTTCATTGATTTGGATCTTAAGTTCTTCCGCCACAACTTCCTTAACTTTCTTTTTAGGTTTCTTTGTTTTTATTTCGGCTGCTTCGGTTACTTCTTCTACAGGCTTGCTCTCTTTTAAAACAAACTCTGCTTCCGGTTCTTCTGCAGCAACAAGGGAAGGTTTCGGTTTCTTTACTGTAAATTCTGCAGCAGTTGGTTCTTCTGGTTGCTCAATTTCTGTATCAGATACCCGAATCTTATATTCTTTTGGTGTTTCTTCAGCGGGAACAGTTTCCTTTTCAACAATATCAGGTTGCTCAGCTTCAACTATTATTTCTTCTGGAGCAGGCACTTCTTCAACAACTTTAATATCAAGACTAGTGGCCTCTTCAGTTTTCTTAGGCTTCTTTATTTTCTTTGGCTTGACTTCTGCTTCTACATGACTCTCTTCTGTTGGTTTTGGTTCCGTTATTACAAACTCTGCTTCTACTGGTTCCGGCTCTTTTGCTTTTGTGGTAATTAGAACTTCTTCAGGAGCATCTTCCTCGGGTTGTTCCACCTGCTCAATTACTTTCTCCACCTGAGATTCCTTGACGGAAATTTCATAAGAGTCGAATTTCTCAATCAATTTAGGAGCTGGTTTCTTTGCCGATTCTTTTGGTTTTTCTTCAATTACTTCTGCTGGTTTTATTAGAGGGGCATCAGTTTCAGTCACTTGGAATTCGAAAGATTTCGGCTGTGATTCTTCAACCTTTTCTACTTCTTCCACCTGCAAGATCTCTTCTTCTATTTGCTCTTCCGGTTGAGTCTCCACTTCTTTTACCACGTCTTGTTTCACCTCCTCTACTTTTTCCACAGGCTTCTTTTTAGGCTTTTTCTTCACAACGACATTTTGCTCTTCTGGTTGTGGTTCGATTATCTTCAACTCGACTTCAAATTCATCACTTTCTTGTTCGGGGTGTTGAACAGGAATCACAACTTCAACTGTTTCCTCTTCGGGTTCAGGTTGTATTGTTTGTGGCTCCTGTAATGTGACCTCAAACTCTTCTGGCTGCTCTGGCTTCGGCTTCTTCTTTCTAGTAACAACCTTTTCTTCAACAAGCTCTTCAGTGGTAACTTCTCTTTCATCAAAGTCAACCACTTTAACTTGATGTTCTTTTGGTGCTTCTTCCGGCTCTAAAACAGTTGTCGTAATTTTGTACTCTACAGGGATTTCTTCAGGCACTTCTGTTGCCTCTGGCAGTTCTTCCACGATTTCGACTTCAGCTACAGGTTCTTTTTTCGGTTTTTTTTGTTTCACCTTTACCTCTTTGGGCATCTCAACATCGTCGGTCTTTTCAATAACGGCTTCGTCTTCCTTTACTGAAACCTCAAATTCTGGCTGCTTCTCTTGAGTAGTCTCTTCCTCTTTTTGTTGTGCAGGTTTCGGTTTAGATTTCTTAGACTTTTTAACTTCGTCTTCAGGTTTGATTACCTTTGCCTGCGGCTTCGACTCCTCAACCGTTGTCTTGTTAACAACATCTTCAATTGGTGTTTCTTCAGTAGTCTTTTTCACTGGCTTCAGTTTAATTTGAGAATCAGTCTCTTCTGGCGCCTCACTCTCAGGCTTGCGGAACTTTATGCCAGTATCGGGCACTTCTTCTTGTTCTTTTGGTTTTCCAGGAACAATTTCTGTAATATTTGTTTCCGGTTCTGGTTTTGATTTTTCTTTAGGCTTATACTTTGTTTTACTTTGTTTCTTTTGCTTTTCCGGCTTCTCTGGTTTTTCCACTTCCTCAAGTTCTTCTGGGACATATTCAGGCCGTTCATAATCAATTGGCTCGAATGGTTCCACTTGTATATCCTGCTCCCTGGGCTGCTTTGGTTGCTCTTCAGCTACAATCACATCCTTTTCTTTTGGTTTCTTTTCAATTTCTTCTTCATATTCCGTGGGCTTTTGTGGTATCTTTTTGAGCGTAACATTTTCAGGAGATTCTTCCTCCTTAGGCTTCTTCTTGCCCTTACCAATTTTAAGTTTGACTTCTTCCGGACTTTCTTCTGGTTTTGGTACCTTTTCAGGTTTTTGATATGGTTGCTTTGCCTCCGGTTCTTCTTCACTACTAACATATTTTTCATACTTTTCAAGCTCCACCTTCTCCAAATCATCTTTAATTTTCTTAATTTTCTTGGGCTTGTGTGGCTTAAACTTTAGTAGCTCTTCCGCTTCCTCAATATTGCGGGTGAGGTCACCGTTCTGCTTAATTGCACCAATGTCTGTCAACTTTGGTATAATCGGGGTTGGCGGATATTCAACCATAATCATGCGAGTCTTAAGCCTGAATTTGGGAAGTTGTACAGTTTGTTCTTCTGCCGGTTTCTCCTTACGTTTGCCAGGCTTTAATTTCACCATCTTGGGAATCTCAGCGGCCTCAACTATTGTGACCTTTGTGGGCTTCTGTTCCTTCCTTTCAATTTTAATTGGTTCGAGATTAGCGAATTCGGGTTTCAGTTTCTTGGGTGTATCAAATTCGACCTTCTCATATTTCTCCAACTCTGTTTTTTCAATTTCTTGTTCAAGCAGCTTTTGTATTATTTCATCATGTTCATGGGTCTTCTTTTTGACAATCTTCTTTTTCTTTGTCTTCGGCTTTGTGACGTCCTCAACTGTTTCCTCGGCTGTCGGTTTTTCATCCTCCTCTTCGACTTCTTCGACGATGGGTTGAGACTCTTCGACTTCAGAAACTTCATCGATAATTCTAACTTCCAAGATTTTATCGGGCTGCACTTCTTTTTCTTCGGGCTCTTCATCAATCACGCTTATGTGATAATCCTTATAAGCCTCGGGTGCTTCACCTGTTATAGAAATTTATATTTTTAGTAATATACAATTCGTGCAGCTGTATTATGAATCCGTGCATTGCTATTGCATACGAATGCAAGCAAATCGTCGAGCTTGATAAATATTGAAATATTAGCAGTATTTCAAAATTCTAGAACGCGTGTCCAATTTAAGATAAATTTCCTAAATATTTAAAAACTGTACAATAAGTATTTCAAAACAGTTAGTCATTTTAGAGAATACTCTAATTAATTATAATGTGGAAATCAATTTAAAGGATGCAAAGAAGAATTTTAGTATTTTTTTATTGAATTTAAGAGCATGCATTGGGTTGGTAACAGTGTTTATTTGGATACAAATTGAAAACGGGCAATATATTCAGCTAAACTTATGCTCAAATTATTAGCACCAAATTAGAATGGAAAGGGGGGAGAGAAAGCAAAAGTAAGAGAGTAAGAGAAAGAGAGAGAGAGAGAAAAAAAAAAGAGAGGATGGCAAAGGCACGAAATGTTGGAAGTCAACGTTGGAATAAACAAAGGCAAAAGACACAGACAAAGGAACAGGTGCTGCGTGTGCGGTGGAAAATTTAAGCCTCATAAAACTCTCATCTAATAACTTACTTGTTTCAACGCTTTTAACTGTGTCTGGCTTAGCTTTCTTATGCTTAACTGTTTTTTGAACTGTATCTTTAGTGTCATCTTGAGTAGATATTTCATCTTGTGCGCTTGGTGTAATTTGTGCAGTGGCTGTGTCCTCGGGGTGTGCAATTTGAGTTGGTGTATCTTCAGTTACGTCTTTAGTCTCAGAAACAGTCTCTTCCGTTGGTTCGTCTTGTCTTTGTTCCCCTACGTCAGCTGGTTTTGGTCTAGGTTTTTTGGTCTTTTTAGGTAAGGGCGAGTCAAGATCTGCAATTGGGGTTTTGGGCACGCCAGGCTTTGCCGGCTCTGTCACACTTTCTGTTGGGGCTTTGTCTTTCGGTTTTTCTGGCATTTCAACTTTTTCATACACTTCCTTTTCAGTCTTTGGTAGTTCTTCCTCTAAAAGTTTCTTAACATATTCATCCAAATCATCTTTTTTAACCTTCTTTACTGATTTCTTAGGCTTCGGTTTGGCCTTTGGTTTCTCTTCTTCCGCACTCTCCGGCTGAGTTTCAATAGACTCAACTGGCACGGCTTCGGGTTCCTCGTCAACGATAACAGTCACGGTATCACTGCCTTCGCTTTCAATTGTTGTTATCTTGAAAGTGGTTTCTTCCTCGGGACCCTTTTTCTTTAAAACTCGCTTAGTAGTTTTCTCTTGAACTGGATGGCCCTCGTCAGTGACTGTTTCTGTAATTTTCACATCCACCGGTTGAACTTCCACTACTTCGACTACTTTTGGCTTTTCATGTTCTTCCTCTTCAATAACCGTAATTTCAGCCAATGGTTCTGGTAAAGATTCCTCTTTCTTTGGCAACTCTTTCGGCTTAGACCTTTTGTCCTTCTTTGGTTTCTCGGTTGGAGATTCATCTGTCACTGTTACAGGCGTTGTTTCGGTAGGTTTTTCTTTGGGTATTGGCTCGAACTCAATTTTCTCATATTTTTCCAATTCAGTTTTAGGAGTCTCCATGTCTATAAGTTTTTGTATATAGTCATGAATATCATCCTTTTTAACTTTCTTTAATTTCTTTTTCGGTTCTTTGGCCTTTTCTTCCTCATGTGGTTGTACCGGTTCGTACTCAACAATTGTAATTTCCGCGTTAGGCTGATCATCAGTAACGACCTCAATTATTTCAATAACATCATCAGTTTCTCCCTTTGGACGTTTAATCTTATGTTTTGTTGTAACTACCTTATGGACCTCGCCAGCATCATCTGTGGTTACTTCCTCTTTTGTTTCACTTTCGATCATTTCTATAGTTAAAGGAAGGTCTTCGAGTTGAATGTGACTTTCCTTAACAGAAATTTCGTAAGTTGGTTCCTCTGGTTGAACTTGTTTATTCTTAACCTCCTTTGGCTTCTTTTCCATTTTGTCCTTTGGCTTAGATTCTTCTTCTGTGAAAATGACACTGTATTCTTTCTCAATTGGCTTTTCAATATCAAACTCCTTTTCCACAATCTCCAAAGGCTTCACATCAGTTTCTCTCTCAGGTCGTTCTTCAATAACTTTAATCTTTTGCTTAGGAGATTTCTTTTTCTTTTCAGGTATACTATGGTCTTGGGGTACTTCACCTTCTTTATCAGACTCCACGGTGGCAGATACTTCCACTACATCCACGGGGAATTCTTCAGTTGGTTCTTCCGTTGGTAAGCTCTCTAAAACTTCCACGTTTTCTGTTGGCGTTGATTTCTCTTCCAATGACGGCATTTTTTCCTTCTTTTTAATCTTCTTTGGTTTTTCAGGTATTTTCTGAGAAGCCGTTTCCTCCGTAACATCAACAATGTCAGATGGCTGTTCTCGTGGTACATCTTCTTCAATAACTGTTTTAATGAAATCATCAACATCATCCTTTTTAATCTTTTTGGTTTTCCTTTGCTTAACAGTAACTTCCTTCTGATCTTCGGTTTCGTTTGGACTTGATGTTACTATAGTAATTTCGGATTCATCAGTATCTTTATCATAAACAACTGTTATGTCGTGAATTATCTCTTCCGGACCCTTTTTGTGTTTTATTTTCTTTGTTTTTACTTCCTTTATTTTAATTTCCCCTTCACTATCCGGAATCGGCTTATTTTCAACAAGTTCTTCAAGAACTGTAACTTCAAAGGATTTTTCTTTGGGTATTGGTGCTATAAATTCTTTAACAGTAACCATCAATTGTGATTCTTCCAACGGACTTTCCAATGGATGTGTTTCATATTCGGGAGCTTCTACAATTGATACTTCAGGGGCATCCTTAACTTCTTCTTCTGTAATTTTGATCTTTTTCACAGGCTTCTTCTTTTTCATTTTGACTGGTTCATCGAAATCAATTTTTTCGTACTTCTCTAATTCTGACTTCGGAATATCCTGTTCAATAAGTTTTTGTATATACTCATGTAAATCATCCTTTGGAACCTTTTTGGTCTTTTTAACCTTCTTTGGCTTCTCTTCTTGAGGAATTTCTTCAACTTCTTTTTCGGCTTCTTCAGTAGTCACTGTGACTTCATATTCAGGCAGCCCGTCCTTGACAGTTTCGACAATTTCTATGATTTCTTCCTTAGGACCAACTTGCTTTCTGATCTTTCGCTTACTAACAACTTTCTTTTCGGTTGCACTCTTTTCATCCTGTTCTTCAACTACATCTGGTATAGTTTCGATCTCTTCTATATGGAAAACTGGTTCCTCTTTTGGCTGTACATCCTCTGATTCCAGGTTCACACTTTCAGTCTCTGTTAACTCATTCGCCGCTGTTTCCTCTGTTGATACCTTTATCAAATAGTCTGGATGTTTCTCATACTCAATTTCATTAACTGGCTTTGACTTTATCGGCTTCTTCGGTGTTTTAGGTTTCTTTTCATCTGTAGTAACATTTTCGCTAACGCCTATGGTAAAATCAGTGGGTTCGATTGGGACTTCACGTTCTGTCTCATCTGACATTTCAGGAACATCCTTAGGTTTTTCAAATTCTTCGGCCAAAATTTCTTCGGTCTCTTTGAATTTATAGTCCTTTGGAGGTTTTTTAGTCTTTACCTTTTTCTTTTCGGTAATTTCCTTTACTTCGTCCTCAATTGCTACAAGGGGCAATTCTTGCACAAAATCATCAATAACATTGATAACATATTCATGTACATCTTCCTTATTTAGTTTTTTAGTCTTCCTTACTACTTTCTGTTCAACAGTTGGGGCTTCTTCCGGAATGGATGACTTATTTTCCGTAAGCTCTACGATAGTTACTTCTGCCATGGGTTGATCATCGCTAGTAGTTTCAGTTATCTCAAAGATGCTTTGCTTGGAACCCTTCCTATGAGTAACCTTACGCTTCTTCACAGAAACTTCTTTCAAAACACCGTCTTCTGTAGGCTGCTGTATAATTTCAGTGGATTCAGATATTTCATCTAAAACTACCGGAACTTTTTCTATCTTTTTCTTTTTCTGTGACTTCTCTAGCTTAGGTACGGTTGTCGGCTCGTCAGTTATGTCATCAGGGCTTTGTGTTGGTTCTAAAATCTCGTCCAAAACATTTGCCAAATATTTTACGGGCTCTTCATTCTCAGAAGTCTCATCTTCAGGTTTGTCTAAGATAACCAATTGTTTATCTTCCTCTATAAGCTCTGGTTCTATTTCCGTAACATCAAACTCATGAACGGTAACGGGAACACTATCAATTATTTCCACGCTCTTTTTATGATGGGTTTTTACTTTTTTCTTCGGCTTGGGCTTCGATTCAATTTCAGTGGGCTCATATTGCTCTAGATCTGTTTTTGTAATTTCTTGCTCAATAAGTTCCTGAATATATTTATCTAAATCATCCTTTACGGCCTTCTTCTTTTTCAATTTTTGAACTATCTTAACTGGCTGATCTCTATCTACATTGCTTGTTTCGTCTACAGGTATTTCAAAGGTAGTTACTTCAATATCAGCGTCTGGTTTGTTCTCTTGATAGGTTTCGGTTATTTCTATCAAGTACTCCTTGGGTCCGTCTTTTTTCTTCAGCTTCTTCGTAGTTTTTACCTGCTTAACTTCATCTCCTTCTTCGTTGACAATATCTTCGATAATGGTTTCAGGAGCAAGTTCTTCAATACGAATTGTGTGATCTTCAGATTTCTTTCTGGGTTTCTTGGGCTTTATAGATTTTGTTTTAAGCTTGGGAATTTTGTCTTCAGTATCATCCTCTTTTAGGAGAATTTCCTCAACTTGAGGGAACGTATCTATTGGCTGTGTAAACTCTTCGACTACATTAATCACATAGTTGTCCACGTCTTCGCGCTTAAGTTTCTTTGGCATTTTGATTGGTGCCTTCCGTTTCGTAAGTGGTTCAACTGTATCACTCGGCCTTTCATCTTCTGTAATATCAATGATGGTAACTTCAGCCAAAGGCTCTTCATTATTTGATGTCTCTGTTATTTCAAAAACATGTTCCTTTGGACCTTGCTTGCGAACGATCTTGCGCTTCTTTACTTGAACTTCTTTTGTTGTGCCATCGTCTTCAACTATCTTAGTAACTTCTACAGTTTCCCCAATGTCTTCAATATTGACTGGTTCTTCGTCGACCACCACCACCTTTGATTTCCTATCTTTCTTCGGCTTACGTTTAGGCTGTTCGTCTTTTACCTCTATTTCGAAATCTTCTATCTGTGTTTTTGGGGTTACATCATCCTCAATTTCTGTAATGGTTTCGGGAACTAGCTCTGCATCTGGCTCGAACTCTTGAATGGTAAATTCATGTACAGTATGTGGAATACCATCAACTATTTCGGTGGTTTTCTTATGGTGTTTCTTTATCTTCTTCGGTTTCTTTGACTCCGGGGTTGACTCCAATTCGGTTGTTTCGTAGACATCAAGCTCTGTTTTTGGAACTTCTTCTTCTATTAACTGTTGAATATAAGTGTCAATTTTTTCGTCTTTGGGTTTTTTCTTTTTCACAATTTTAATTTTGTGATCTTCAGGTGCTTGAGAGTCTGATTCTGGTGTTATTTCTATAGTCTGAATAACCAATTCTGCCTCGGGCTTATTTTCTTCGTAAGTTTCAACAACTTCGATTAGATATTCCTTTGGACCTTCCTTCTTTTTAAGTCTTCGCTTAGTTGTAACCCTTTCAACCTCTTCTCCTTGATCGTTAGTAACTTGTTCGGTTGTTGTTTCAGGTGCTAGTTCCTCAATACGAATTTTGTGTTCTGATATCGGGACAGGCATAGGCTGCTCAAGTTTATTTTTCGGCACCTTTTTCTTAGATTTAGGCGCTACTTCTATTATCTCAACTGAATATTCATCGTGCGACGATGATTTTGATGTTTCTACATCCTTACTAGAATATTCTTCTCCCTCAGTGCTGTCTTCACCCTGAACTGGCTGCTCTTCAATTACTGTAACCTTTTTCGACTTAGCTGCTTTCTTCTTTTTATCCTTTGGCTTGCTTGTTGGACTGTCAACCGATTCCTTTTCTGGCTTAACATCATCTTCGGTAACATCATCAACTACTGTAGTTTTAAAACTTGTGATATCTTCATCTTCTAAAGGTTCCACTTCTGCCATAGGGGACATGTCCTCAGAAATTTTGGCTAGAAGTTCTGTTGGGGCCTCATCAATAATGCTGACTATATATTCTTTGAGATTATCTTTTTTCACCTTTCTTATAGTTTTCTTTGGAGTTTCTGGTTGCTCTTCGATTGGTACATCAGTATTGTCTTTAACGATTTCAGTTGTTATAACAACAACCTCTGCTTCTGCATGATCATCGTCCGGTGCTATAGTTTCCACGATTTGTACTTCATACTGCTTGGAACCCTTTCTAGTTTTCACTTTGCGTTTCTTAATTATTTTATTTTCAGAGCTTTCAACATCTTCAATAGGTTGAGGGACGGTCTCAGTATATTTCTCCAATTCTATGATAGGGAGTGATTCACCGATGTTTGATATAATTTCGTCCAGGTCAAGGGCAGCTGCCTTAACTATCTCTTCCACGATTTGCTGTGGTATGGGCTGCGAGTCAATCGTGCTGATTGTAAACTCTTTGTGATCAGTAACACTTTCCGGTTCAGTTACTGATTCATCTTCAAGTTTTGGTTGAGATTTGGGTTTCTTGACCTTAGGTTTCTTAATTGGTTCTTCCTGTATGATACCCACTTCAAAAGCTTCACCTTCATCGATATGGGCCTTAGGTTGTTTGATCTTCTGCTTCTTTGGTTTCTTCGGCTTGGAATCTATTTCAGTTTTTTCATACTTCTCAAGTTCAGTTATTGGAATCTCCGCATTTATCAGCTGCTGTATATACGCATCTAGATCAACCTTTTTCATTTTCTTAGTTCTTGGTTTTGGTCTTTCAATTGGCTTTTGAGTATCAGTTTCCTCTTCTGGTTCAGTTGATTTGATTGATATTTCGTAGAATGGCTCCTCGCCGGATGAAGGAACAGTTTCAACAATTTCTAGAACCTCTTCTTTTTCTCCACGCTTATGCAAAATTCTACGCTTTTTAGTTTTTTGAGATACATTATTATCGGGAATCTCTTCAGGTTCCAGTTCAATCAACTTCACTTCGAAGAAATCAGTCATGGCGGTTTCATAGAATGCTTGATCAGGCTCATCCTTAAGCTCTGTGATAAAGTCATCCAACTCCTCTTTATTCATACGCTTAACTTTTTTTTTGATTATCTTCTTTTCCTTTGGCTGATACTCATTAGTCTCTGAACTAGTTACGGTAACTTCATACTGCTTATCATTGCTATTAAGTGGAGAAATTTCAACTATCTCAACGACATTTTCTTCCAATTCTGTTTTAAGCTTTAATTTACGTTTCTTCTTGGGTTCTTTTTCAGGTCGGTTAGCATCACTTAATTCCTCTAGCATTTCCTTGGGCTCTAATTCAGTGACCTCAAATTTGAAGAACGGTTTGCTTTCTTTTTCTTCATTGTCGTCAACACTCAAAAGGGGCTCGAAACCAATTGTCTTTTCCAAAATCTGAGAAGGAATTGGTGTAATCTTTTCTGTTGGCTCTGTAAACGCTTCCACTACATTAATCACATAGCTGTCCACGTCTTCGCGCTTAAGTTTCTTTGGCATTTTGATTGGTGCCTTCCGTTTCGTAAGTGGTTCAACTGTATCACTCGGCCTTTCATCTTCTGTAATATCAATGATGGTAACTTCAGCCAAAGGCTCTTCATTATTTGATGTCTCTGTTATTTCAAAAACATGTTCCTTTGGACCTTGCTTGCGAACGATCTTGCGCTTCTTTACTTGAACTTCTTTTGTTGTGCCATCGTCTTCAACTATCTTAGTAACTTCTACAGTTTCCCCAATGTCTTCAATATTGACTGGTTCTTCGTCGACCACCACCACCTTTGATTTCCTATCTTTCTTCGGCTTACGTTTAGGCTGTTCGTCTTTTACCTCTATTTCGAAATCTTCTATCTGTGTTTTTGGGGTTACATCATCCTCGATTTCTGTAATGGTTTCGGGAACTAGCTCTGCATCTGGCTCGAACTCTTGAATGGTAAATTCATGTACAGTATGTGGAATACCATCAACTATTTCGGTGGTTTTCTTATGGTGTTTCTTTATCTTCTTCGGTTTCTTTGACTCCGGGGTTGACTCCAATTCGGTTGTTTCGTAGACATCAAGCTCTGTTTTTGGAACTTCTTCTTCTTCCAATAACTGTTGAATATAAGTGTCAATTTTTTCGTCTTTGGGTTTTTTCTTTTTCACAATTTTAATTTTGTGATCTTCAGGTGCTTGAGTGTCTGATTCTGGTGTTATTTCTATAGTCTGAATAACCAATTCTGCCTCGGGCTTATTTTCTTCGTAAGTTTCAACAACTTCGATTAGATATTCCTTTGGACCTTCCTTCTTTTTAAGTCTTCGCTTAGTTGTAACCCTTTCAACCTCTTCTCCTTGTTCGTTAGTAACTTGTTCGGTTGTTGTTTCAGGAGCAAGCTCCTCAATACAAATGGTCTGTTCCGAAATCGGAGAAGGAATCAGTGCAATCTCTTCTATTGGCTGTGTAAACTCTTCGACTACATTAATCACATAGCTGTCCACGTCTTCGCGCTTAAGTTTCTTTGGCATTTTGATTGGTGCCTTCCGTTTCGTAAGTGGTTCAACTGTATCACTCGGCCTTTCATCTTCTGTAATATCAATGATGGTAACTTCAGCCAAAGGCTCTTCATTATTTGATGTCTCTGTTATTTCAAAAACATGTTCCTTTGGACCTTGCTTGCGAACGATCTTACGCTTCTTTACTTGAACTTCTTTTGTTGTGCCATCGTCTTCAACTATCTTAGTAACTTCTACAGTTTCCCCAATGTCTTCAATATTGACTGGTTCTTCGTCGACCACCACCACCTTTGATTTCCTGTCTTTCTTCGGCTTACGTTTAGGCTGTTCGTCTTTTACCTCTATTTCGAAATCTTCTATCTGTGTTTTTGGGGTTACATCATCCTCAATTTCTGTAATGGTTTCGGGAACTAGCTCTGCATCTGGCTCGAACTCTTGAATGGTAAATTCATGTACAGTATGTGGAATACCATCAACTATTTCGGTGGTTTTCTTATGGTGTTTCTTTATCTTCTTCGGTTTCTTTGACTCCGGGGTTGACTCCAATTCGGTTGTTTCGTAGACATCAAGCTCTGTTTTTGGAACTTCTTCTTCTATTAACTGTTGAATATAAGTGTCAATTTTTTCGTCTTTGGGTTTTTTCTTTTTCACAATTTTAATTTTGTGATCTTCAGGTGCTTGAGAGTCTGATTCTGGTGTTATTTCTATAGTCTGAATAACCAATTCTGCCTCGGGCTTATTTTCTTCGTAAGTTTCAACAACTTCGATTAGATATTCCTTTGGACCTTCCTTCTTTTTAAGTCTTCGCTTAGTTGTAACCCTTTCAACCTCTTCTCCTTGATCGTTAGTAACTTGTTCGGTTGTTGTTTCAGGTGCTAGTTCCTCAATACGAATTTTGTGTTCTGATATCGGGACAGGCATAGGCTGCTCAAGTTTATTTTTCGGCACCTTTTTCTTAGATTTAGGCGCTACTTCTGTTATCTCAACTGAATATTCATCGTGCGACGATGATTTTGATGTTTCTACATCCTTACTAGGATATTCTTCTCCCTCAGTGCTGTCTTCACCCTGAACTGGCTGCTCTTCAATTACTGTAACCTTTTTCGACTTAGCTGCTTTCTTCTTTTTATCCTTTGGCTTGCTTGTTGGACTGTCAACCGATTCCTTTTCTGGCTTAACATCATCTTCGGTAACATCATTAACTACTGTAGTTTTAAAACTTGTGATATCTTCATCTTCTAAAGGTTCCACTTCTGCCATAGGGGACATGTCCTCAGAAATTTTGGCTAGAAGTTCTGTTGAGGCCTCATCAATAATGCTGACTATATATTCTTTGAGATTATCTTTTTTCACCTTTCTTATAGTTTTCTTTGGAGTTTCTGGTTGCTCTTCGATTGGTACATCAGTATTGTCTTTAACGATTTCAGTTGTTATAACAACAACCTCTGCTTCTGCATGATCATCGTCCGGTGCTATAGTTTCCACGATTTGTACTTCATACTGCTTGGAACCCTTTCTAGTTTTCACTTTGCGTTTCTTAATTATTTTATTTTCAGAGCTTTCAACATCTTCAATAGGTTGAGGGACGGTCTCAGTATATTTCTCCAATTCTATGATAGGGAGTGATTCACCGATGTTTGATATAATTTCGTCCAGGTCAAGGGCAGCTGCCTTAACTATCTCTTCCACAATTTGCTCTGGAATGGGCTGCGAGTCAATCGTGCTGATTGTAAACTCTTTGTGATCAGTAACACTTTCCGGTTCAGTTACTGATTCATCTTCAAGTTTTGGTTGAGATTTGGGTTTCTTGACCTTAGGTTTCTTAATTGGTTCTTCCTGTATGATACCCACTTCAAAAGCTTCACCTTCATCGATATGGGCCTTAGGTTGTTTGATCTTCTGCTTCTTTGGTTTCTTCGGCTTGGAATCTATTTCAGTTTTTTCATACTTCTCAAGTTCAGTTATTGGAATCTCCGCATTTATCAGCTGCTGTATATACGCATCTAGATCAACCTTTTTCATTTTCTTAGTTCTTGGTTTTGGTCTTTCAATTGGCTTTTGAGTATCAGTTTCCTCTTCTGGTTCAGTTGATTTGATTGATATTTCGTAGAATGGCTCCTCGCCGGATGAAGGAACAGTTTCAACAATTTCTAGAACCTCTTCTTTTTCTCCACGCTTATGCAAAATTCTACGCTTTTTAGTTTTTTGAGATACATTATTATCGGGAATCTCTTCAGGTTCCAGTTCAATCAACTTCACTTCGAAGAAATCAGTCATGGCGGTTTCATAGAATGCTTGATCAGGCTCATCCTTAAGCTCTGTGATAAAGTCATCCAACTCCTCTTTATTCATACGCTTAACTTTTTTTTTGATTATCTTCTTTTCCTTTGGCTGATACTCATTAGTCTCTGAACTAGTTACGGTAACTTCATACTGCTTATCATTGCTATTAAGTGGAGAAATTTCAACTATCTCAACGACATTTTCTTCCAATTCTGTTTTAAGCTTTAATTTACGTTTCTTCTTGGGTTCTTTTTCAGGTCGGTTAGCATCACTTAATTCCTCTAGCATTTCCTTGGGCTCTAATTCAATGACCTCAAATTTGAAGAACGGTTTGCTTTCTTTTTCTTCATTGTCGTCATCACTTAAAAGGGGCTCGAAGCCAAGTTTATCATCGGTGTCACTTGATTTCCTTACCTTCTTTATCGTTTTCTTTTCTTTAGTTTTCTCTTTTGGTGTCTCAGCTACAACTTGATGTTTATCATCCAAATTTACTGGCTTCAATTCAACGGTTTCTTGTGAATCAACATTTCCTGGAAGTTTACCCTTACCAATCTTTAATTTTCTATATTCATCTTCGTTTTCATGTTTCTCCTTTTTACCTCGCTTATACTTTGGTTTTTCCTTAGTTTCATCTAACGGCTTGCTCGCATCTTCAAATGTTTCCAAATCCAATTCTTCTAGATCAGCTTTAACAGGCTTAGTATGCTTGAATTTCTTTGGACGCTTCTTCAATACTTCCTCTGCTTCTTCTATATTTCGAGAAAGCTCACCATTATCTCGCTTAGTTTCCATATCAATAACGGTATAAGGAAAGCAATACGGTGCGTAAGGTATAAACCTTATCCAACTCTTAAGTTTTTTATTTTTAAATGAGGCTTCGCTAGATCTTCTTTTCTTTTCTTCCTGTGGACGTTGTTTCGGAGTTTTGAGCTTGAGCATTTGCGGAAATTCGACCACTGAGCTTATTTCAATCATTTTGGGTTTCTTAACCTCAATTTTCTCAATTTTTATAGGAGTTAGCTTCATTGGTTTTATAGACGAGTCACGGCGCGCCCTTTGTGGATGTTCCATTTCAGTTCGTACATACGGCTGTAACACCGTTTTCGGTATTTCCTGGTGTATCAGGAACTGTATATAATCATCCATCTCATCCCTTTTCGTCTTTATCACCTTCTTCTTCTTTGGTTTATCTTTTTTCTCAGCTGGCCCTGGCCCTGGCCCTGGTTTCTCCTCCGTACTTTTCTCAACCTGAACATCATCTGGTATATTTTCAACACTTTCATAAGCAGGCTCCCCTGCGACCCCCTCAAGTTCCCCAGTCTCGTCAATCTGTTCAAATTGATGTGGTTGTGTCTTTTTCTGTTTGGGTTTTTTAACTTTGGTCTGTGTATGTACGGTGTTATTTGCACTTGCATCTTCGGGTTCTGTGATAGTGTACTCTTTGTTGTATTGGTCTGTTTGAGAAAAAATTATGTGTTTGTGTGTTAGCACTAAACTAATTTGTTAAAATTATATTTGCATTTTATATAATGCGTTAAAACACATCAACTTTGTAGTTTATAAAGTTAAGTGTTTAAGATGCTTGCATATAATGTTAACTTAAATCTTGATCAATGTCTGTAATGTACATATTACGCTTTGTTTAATGTACAAATACAACCTGAGTACATACAATGTACTAGAATACTTATGTAACTATAAGTTTTCTAGTCAATCTTGTTAGTAATTATTGTGCCAAAAGTGTTCAAACAGAATTTCGTGTTTTTGAGTGTAAATTTTATGTTTGTGTTACTAAATTTTTAGCTACTTTTTTCGCTTTGATTCATAACGTTTCAATCGCAATCTCAAATCATGTACCTGGACAAGTTAATTTTAATCTACCGAAGACGAATTCGAGAATTTTTGCTTAATTCTAGCAACATGTTTGTACTACGAGAATTGTTCGCCGTAATATGCATGTTTTTGTATGTATGTGAGTTAGAAAATATTTCAAGAAAATCACCTGTAGGCTCGCTGACTTCGACAATTTCAATATTTGATTGTGTAGTGTCTTCCGTAACGGGTTCAGTGTCACTTAGCATTTCCTCAACAACGATGCCTTCCTCTTGACAAACTCTTTTATTTTCAGTTTGAATTGTGGTTTCGCCATCTTCACTTTGTACAGATTTGAATGTGGTTATGTAAACTGGGTGTTCCGTTTCAGTGTGTTCGGGTTGTTGTTTATCCGCTGTGTTTATGTTTTGGTATGTATTTTGATTAATATGGAATGATTAGAAAAATTTGTTATTAACAGTCCAGATATGTAACTTAAGGTTAAACATTTTTTCAAAGATAACATTTTAATTTAATACTTAAGTTTCAGCGCATTAATTTAATAGAAAAAAAAGAAAGCGTTTTTAAGTGGCGGCGCCTCCCCTTTAATAATAAATTACTTATATAAAATGTATTTTGCGTATTCTTCATTTTTAACTCTCGTGTAAAATGTGGTGTAAGTATAGTGTTGTGATTTGTGTTCTTACCCCTCTGTTTGTGTGGCTTTGGTTTTTTGTGTTTAGGAAGTTGTTCATCATCAAGTTTACTAATATCAATAATGTCGGCAATGCTTTCATCACTAACAACGCGTATAAGTGAATAAGGCTCTTTGCCTTCTTCTTCAATAGTTTGTATTTGGTAATATTCTTCATCCTCAAGACCTTGTTTTTTGAATGTTCGAGTTTTGGTTTTCTTTTTTCTTGGCTTCTTATTATCTGCAATTTCCTCAGTATAAACAATTTCTTCTGGCAACTCCTCAATAGGAATGGGCAATGTAGACGTTTCATCGACTGGGACAATTTCAACATGCACAGTAGTTATTGGTTCCATATTTTCCTCTTCAACAGTATTAACTGTAGTGACTTCATCATGATTGTCATCAATTTTTGTTTTAAATGTTCTTGTCTTAACAATTTTCTTCTTCTTTGTTCCATCGGGAGAAACGACTTCCAGCTCAGTTACTTGTTCTGGTAACTCAACTGACTTATTATCAGTTTGAGTCGGCTCCGTAAATGGAAGTTCATTGACAGTTATTTTATAAATGGGCTCTCCTGAATCTTGTTCAGTAATATCAATTTCCGTCACTTCTTCTTTAAATTCGTCTTTAGGTTTCTTAATGACCCGCTTTTTAGATTTTATAACTTTTTGTAACCCATCTGCGTCAACAACTTCCGCATTAACGTCAATATCTGGTAAAACAACAACTTCTGTAAACTTTTCTTCCGGAAGATCTGGAAAAGGAGCTTGGTAATTCTCAACAGTAACCTTTGTCTGAATTGGTTTTTCATATTCATCGACAGTTTGAACTTTGGTAACTTCCATGTTTGAGCCTTGCACTTTTTTTATAATTTTAGTTTTAATTACCGTCTTGATTGGAGTACCATCATTCTTTTCAGATAGAATTACTGATTTTCTTTCCGGTAATTCAACAACAGTAACATCATCATCAGGCTTATGAACAACAATTCTTTTCCTTAAACTTATTTTTTCCCCAAATGGACTTTTGGCTTCTTCTATTGTTATTGTTGTTTCAGGCTTTTTATCTTCTTCAACCGTTTCAATTTTAGTGATTTCCTGTTTATCGCCCTGAGCCTTCTTAATGATACGTGTGCGTATCTTCTTCTTCTTAGGCTTGCCGTCTTCGGTTATTGTTTCAACCACACGCACCTCTTCTGGGAGCTCCTGGATTTGTTCAGGGTGTTCTTCTTCCACAGGAATCTCTTCCACTGTGACAGTTGTCTCGGGTTGCATGCCATCTTCTTCGATGGTTTCAATCTTGGTGACTTCTTGTTTGTCACCCTTAACCTTCTTGATAACACGTGTGCGGATCTTCTTCTTCTTAGGCTTGCCGTCTTCGGTTACTGTTTCAACCACACGCACCTCTTCTGGGAGCTCCTGGATTTGTTCAGGATGTTCTTCTTCCACAGGAATCTCTTTAACTGTGACAGTTGTCTCTGGTTGCCTGTCATCCTCTTCGATGGTTTCAATCTTGGTGACTTCTTGTTTGTCACCCTTAACCTTCTTGATAACACGTGTGCGTATCTTCTTCTTCCTAGGCTTGCCGTCTTCTGTTATTGTTTCAACAACACGAACCTCTTCCGGAAGCTCCTGGATTTGTTCAGGCTGCTCTTTTTCCATAGGAATCTCTTCAACTGTGACAGTTGTCTCGGGTTGCTTGTCATCTTCTTCGATGGTTTCAATCTTGGTGACTTCTTGTTTGTCACCCTTAACCTTCTTGATAACACGTGTGCGTATCTTCTTCTTCTTAGGCTTGCCGTCTTCGGTTACTGTTTCAACCACACGAACCTCCTCTGGAAGCTCCTGGATTTGTTCAGGCTGCTCCTCCTCCACAGGAATCTCTTCCACTGTGACAGTTGTCTCTGGTTGCTTGTCATCCTCTTCGATGGTTTCAATCTTGGTTACTTCTTGTTTATCGCCCTTAACCTTCTTGATAACACGTGTACGTATCTTCATCTTTTTAGGCTTGCCGTCTTCTGTTATTGTTTCAACAACACGAACCTCTTCCGGAAGCTCCTGGATTTGTTCAGGTTGTTCTTCTTCCACTGGAATCTCTTCCACAGTGACAGTTGTCTCGGGTTGTTTGTCATCCTCTTCGATGGTTTCAATCTTGGTGACTTCTTGTTTGTCACCCTTAACCTTCTTGATAACACGTGTGCGTATCTTCTTCTTCTTGGGCTTGCCGTCTTCGGTTACTGTTTCAATCATACGAACCTCCTCTGGCAGCTCCTGGATATGTTCAGGCTGCTCTTTTTCCACAGGAATTTCTTCAACTGTGACAGTTGTCTCTGTTGGCATGTCATCCTCTTCGATGGTTTCAATCTTGGTTACTTCTTGTTTGTCACCCTTAACCTTCTTGATAACACGTGTGCGTATCTTCTTCTTCTTAGGCTTGCCGTCTTCTGTTATTGTTTCAACCACACGAACCTCCTCTGGAAGCTCCTGGATTTGTTCAGGCTGCTCCTCCTCCACAGGAATCTCTTCCACTGTGACAGTTGTCTCTGGTTGCTTGTCATCCTCTTCGATGGTTTCAATCTTGGTGACTTCTTGTTTGTCACCCTTAACCTTCTTGATAACACGTGTACGTATCTTCTTCTTTTTAGGCTTGCCGTCTTCTGTTATTGCTTCAACCACACGAACCTCTTCCGGAAGCTCCTGGATTTGTTCAGGTTGTTCTTCTTCCACTGGAATCTCTTCCACAGTGACAGTTGTCTCGGGTTGTTTGTCATCCTCTTCGATGGTTTCAATCTTGGTGACTTCTTGTTTGTCACCCTTAACCTTCTTGATAACACGTGTGCGTATCTTCTTCTTCTTGGGCTTGCCGTCTTCGGTTACTGTTTCAATCATACGAACCTCCTCTGGCAGCTCCTGAATATGTTCAGGCTGCTCTTTTTCCACAAGAATTTCTTCAACTGTGACAGTTGTCTCTGTTGGCATGTCATCCTCTTCGATGGTTTCAATCTTGGTTACTTCTTGTTTGTCACCCTTAACCTTCTTGATAACACGTGTGCGTATCTTCTTCTTCTTAGGCTTGCCGTCTTCTGTTATTGTTTCAACAACACGAACCTCTTCTGGAAGCTCCTGGATTTGTTCAGGTTGTTCTTCTTCCACTGGAATCTCTTCCACAGTGACAGTTGTCTCTGGTTGCTTGTCATCCTCTTCGATGGTTTCAATCTTGGTGACTTCTTGTTTGTCGCCCTTAACCTTCTTGATAACACGTGTACGTATCTTCTTCTTTTTAGGCTTGCCGTCTTCTGTTATTGTTTCAACCACACGAACCTCTTCCGGAAGCTCCTGGATTTGTTCAGGTTGTTCTTCTTCCACAGGAATCTCTTCGACAGTGACAGTTGTCTCGGGTTGTTTGTCATCCTCTTCGATGGTTTCAATCTTGGTGACTCCTTGTTTGTCACCCTTAACCTTCTTGATAACACGTGTGCGTATCTTCTTCTTCTTGGGCTTGCCGTCTTCGGTTACTGTTTCAATCATGCGAACCTCCTCTGGCAGCTCCTGGATATGTTCAGGCTGCTCTTTTTCCACAGGAATTTCTTCAACTGTGACAGTTGTCTCTGTTGGCATGTCATCCTCTTCGATGGTTTCAATCTTGGTTACTTCTTGCTTGTCACCCTTAACCTTCTTGATAACCCGTGTGCGTATCTTCTTCTTCTTTGGCTTGCCGTCTTCTGTTATTGTTTCAACAACACGAACCTCTTCCGGAAGCTCCTGGATTTGTTCAGGTTGTTCATCTTCCACAGGAATCTCTTCCACTGTAACAGTTGTCTCGGGTTGTTTGTCATCCTCTTCGATGGTTTCAATCTTGGTGACTTCTTGCTTGTCACCCTTAACCTTCTTGATAACACGTGTGCGTATCTTTTTCTTTTTTGACTTGCCATCTTTGGTTACAGTTTCAATCACACGAACCTCCTCTGGAAGCTCCTGCATTTGTTCAGGCTGCTCTTCTTCCACAGGAATCTCTTCAACTGTGACAGTTGTCTCGGGTTGTTTGTCATCCTCTTCGATGGTTTCAATCTTGGTTACTTCTTGCTTGTCACCCTTAACCTTCTTGATAACACGTGTGCGTATCTTCTTCTTCTTAGGCTTGCCGTCTTCTGTTATTGTTTCAACAACACGAACCTCTTCCGGAAGCTCCTGGGTTTGTTCAGGCTGCTCCTCTTCCACAGGAATCTCTTCCACTGTGACAGTTGTCTCGGGTTGCTTGTCATCCTCTTCGATGGTTTCAATCTTGGTGACTTCTTGTTTGTCGCCCTTAACCTTCTTGATAATTCGTGTGCGTATCTTCTTCTTCCTAGGCTTGCCTTCTTCGGTTACTGTTTCAACCACACGAACCTCTTCCGGAAGCTCCTGGATTTGTTCAGGTTGTTCTTCTTCCACAGGAATCTCTTCAACTGTGACAGTTGTCTCGGGTTGTTTGTCATCCTCTTCGATGGTTTCAATCTTGGTTACTTCTTGCTTGTCACCCTTAACCTTCTTGATAACACATGTGCGTATCTTCTTCTTGGGCTTGCCGTCTTCTGTTATTGTTTCAACAACACGAACCTCTTCCGGAAGCTCCTGGGTTTGTTCAGGCTGCTCCTCTTCCACAGGAATCTCTTCCACTGTGACAGTTGTCTCGGGTTGTTTGTCATCCTCTTCGATGGTTTCAATCTTGGTGACTTCTTGTTTGTCGCCCTTAACCTTCTTGATAATTCGTGTGCGTATCTTCTTCTTCCTAGGCTTGCCGTCTTCTGTTATTGTTTCAACCACACGAACCTCTTCCGGAAGCTCCTGGATTTGTTCAGGTTGTTCTTCTTCCACAGGAATCTCTTCAACTGTGACAGTTGTCTCGGGTTGTTTGTCATCCTCTTCGATGGTTTCAATCTTGGTTACTTCTTGCTTGTCACCCTTAACCTTCTTGATAACACGTGTGCGTATCTTCTTCTTCTTAGGCTTGCCGTCTTCTGTTATTGTTTCAACAACACGAACCTCTTCCGGAAGCTCCTGGGTTTGTTCAGGTGGTTCATCTTCCACAGGAATCTCTTCCACTGTAACAGTTGTCTCGGGTTGTTTGTCATCCTCTTCGATGGTTTCAATCTTGGTGACTTCTTGCTTGTCACCCTTAACCTTCTTGATAACACGTGTGCGTATCTTTTTCTTTTTTGACTTGCCATCTTTGGTTACAGTTTCAATCACACGAACCTCCTCTGGAAGCTCCTGCATTTGTTCAGGCTGCTCTTCTTCCACAGGAATCTCTTCAACTGTGACAGTTGTCTCGGGTTGTTTGTCATCCTCCTCGATGGTTTCAATCTTGGTTACTTCTTGCTTGTCACCCTTAACCTTCTTGATAACACGTGTGCGTATCTTCTTCTTCTTAGGCTTGCCGTCTTCTGTTATTGTTTCAACAACACGAACCTCTTCCGGAAGCTCCTGGGTTTGTTCAGGCTGCTCCTCTTCCACAGGAATCTCTTCCACTGTGACAGTTGTCTCGGGTTGTTTGTCATCCTCTTCGATGGTTTCAATCTTGGTGACTTCTTGTTTGTCGCCCTTAACCTTCTTGATAATTCGTGTGCGTATCTTCTTCTTCCTAGGCTTGCCTTCTTCGGTTACTGTTTCAACCACACGAACCTCTTCCGGAAGCTCCTGGATTTGTTCAGGTTGTTCTTCTTCCACAGGAATCTCTTCAACTGTGACAGTTGTCTCTGGTTGCCTGTCATCCTCTTCGATGGTTTCAATCTTGGTGACTTCTTGTTTGTCACCCTTAACCTTCTTGATAACACGTGTGCGTATCTTCTTCTTCTTAGGCTTGCCGTCTTCTGTTATTGTTTCAACAACACGAACCTCTTCCGGAAGCTCCTGGGTTTGTTCAGGCTGCTCCTCTTCCACAGGAATCTCTTCCACTGTGACAGTTGTCTCGGGTTGTTTGTCATCCTCTTCGATGGTTTCAATCTTGGTGACTTCTTGTTTGTCGCCCTTAACCTTCTTGATAATTCGTGTGCGTATCTTCTTCTTCCTAGGCTTGCCTTCTTCGGTTACTGTTTCAACCACACGAACCTCTTCCGGAAGCTCCTGGATTTGTTCAGGTTGTTCTTCTTCCACAGGAATCTCTTCAACTGTGACAGTTGTCTCTGGTTGCTTGTCATCCTCTTCGATGGTTTCAATCTTGGTGACTTCTTGTTTGTCACCCTTAACCTTCTTGATAACACGTGTGCGTATCTTCTTCTTCTTAGGCTTGCCGTCTTCTGTTATTGTTTCAACAACACGAACATCTTCCGGAAGCTCCTGGGTTTGTTCAGGCTGCTCCTCTTCCACAGGAATCTCTTCCACTGTGACAGTTGTCTCGGGTTGTTTGTCATCCTCTTCGATGGTTTCAATCTTGGTGACTTCTTGTTTGTCGCCCTTAACCTTCTTGATAATTCGTGTGCGTATCTTCTTCTTCCTAGGCTTGCCTTCTTCGGTTACTGTTTCAACCACACGAACCTCTTCCGGAAGCTCCTGGATTTGTTCAGGTTGTTCTTCTTCCACAGGAATCTCTTCAACTGTGACAGTTGTCTCTGGTTGCTTGTCATCCTCTTCGATGGTTTCAATCTTGGTGACTTCTTGCTTGTCACCCTTAACCTTCTTGATAACACGTGTGCGTATCTTCTTCTTCTTAGGCTTGCCGTCTTCTGTTATTGTTTCAACAACACGAACATCTTCCGGAAGCTCCTGGATTTGTTCAGGTTGTTCTACTTCCACAGGAATCTCTTCCACAGTGACAGTTGTCTCGGGTTGTTTGTCATCCTCTTCGATGGTTTCAATCTTGGTGACTTCTTGTTTGTCACCCTTAACCTTCTTTATAACACGTGTACGTATCTTCTTCTTCTTAGGCTTGCCGTCTTCGGTTACTGTTTCAATCAAACGAACCTCCTCTGGAAGCTCCTGGATTTGTTCAGGTTGTTCTTCTTCCACAGGAATCTCTTCAACTGTGACAGTTGTCTCTGGTTGCTTGTCATCCTCTTCGATGGTTTCAATCTTGGTGACTTCTTGTTTGTCACCCTTAACCTTCTTGATGACACGTGTGCGTATCTTCTTCTTCTTCGGCTTGCCGTCTTCTGTTATTGTTTCAACAACACGAAAATCTTCCGGAAGCTCCTGGATTTGTTCAGGTTGTTCAGGTTGTTCTTCTTCCACAGGAATCTCTTCAACTGTGACAGTTGTCTCTGGTTGCTTGTCATCCTCTTCGATGGTTTCAATCTTGGTGACTTCTTGTTTGTCACCCTTAACCTTCTTGATAACACGTGTGCGTATCTTCTTCTTCTTGGGCTTGCCGTCTTCGGTTACTGTTTCAATCACACGAACCTCCTCTGGAAGCTCCTGGATTTGTTCAGGTTGTTCTTCTTCCACAGGAATCTCTTCCACAGTGACAGTTGTCTCGGGTTGTTTGTCATCCTCTTCGATGGTTTCAATCTTGGTGACTTCTTGTTTGTCACCCTTAACCTTCTTGATAACACGTGTACGTATCTTCTTCTTCTTAGGCTTGCCGTCTTCGGTTACTGTTTCAATCACACGAACCTCCTCTGGAAGCTCCTGGATTTGTTCAGGTTGTTCTTCTTCCACAGGAATCTCTTCCACTGTGACAGTTGTCTCTGGTTGCTTGTCATCCTCTTCGATGGTTTCAATCTTGGTGACTTCTTGTTTGTCACCCTTAACCTTCTTGATAACACGTGTGCGTATCTTCTTCTTCTTAGGCTTGCCGTCTTCGGTTACTGTTTCAACAACACGAACCTCTTCCGGAAGCTCCTGGATTTGTTCAGGCTGCTCCTCTTCCACAGGAATCTCTTCCACTGTGACAGTTGTCTCGGGTTGTTTGTCATCCTCTTCGATGGTTTCAATCTTGGTGACTTCTTGTTTGTCGCCCTTAACCTTCTTGATAATTCGTGTGCGTATCTTCTTCTTCCTAGGCTTGCCTTCTTCGGTTACTGTTTCAACCACACGAACCTCTTCCGGAAGCTCCTGGATTTGTTCAGGCTGCTCCTCTTCCACAGGAATCTCTTCCACTGTGACAGTTGTCTCGGGTTGTTTGTCATCCTCTTCGATGGTTTCAATCTTGGTGACTTCTTGTTTGTCGCCCTTAACCTTCTTGATAACACGTGTGCGTATCTTCTTCTTCCTAGGCTTGCCTTCTTCGGTTACTGTTTCAACCACACGAACCTCTTCCGGAAGCTCCTGGATTTGTTCAGGTTGTTCTACTTCCACAGGAATCTCTTCCACAGTGACAGTTGTCTCGGGTTGTTTGTCATCCTCTTCGATGGTTTCAATCTTGGTGACTTCTTGTTTGTCGCCCTTAACCTTCTTGATAATTCGTGTGCGTATCTTCTTCTTCCTAGGCTTGCCTTCTTCGGTTACTGTTTCAACCACACGAACCTCTTCCGGAAGCTCCTGGATTTGTTCAGGTTGTTCGTCTTCCACAGGAATCTCTTCAACTGTGACAGTTGTCTCTGGTTGCTTACCATCCTCTTCGATGGTTTCAATCTTGGTGACTTCTTGTTTGTCACCCTTTACCTTCTTAATGACACGTGTGCGTATCTTCTTCTTCTTAGGCTTACCGTCTTCTGTTATTGTTTCAACAACACGAACCTCTTCCGGAAGCTCCTGGATTTGTTCAGGTTGTTCTTCTTCCACAGGAATCTCTTCCACAGTGACAGTTGTCTCGGGTTGTTTGTCATCCTCTTCGATGGTTTCAATCTTGGTGACTTCTTGTTTGTCACCCTTAACCTTCTTTATAACACGTGTGCGTATCTTCTTCTTCTTAGGCTTGCCGTCTTCGATTACTGTTTCAATCACACGAACCTCCTCTGGAAGCTCCTGGATTTGTTCAGGTTGTTCTTCTTCCACAGGAATCTCTTCCACTGTGATAGTTGTCTCGGGTTGTTTGTCATCCTCTTCGATGGTTTCAATCTTGGTGACTTCTTGCTTGTCACCCTTAACCTTCTTGATAACACGTGTGCGTATCTTCTTCTTCTTAGGCTTGCCGTCTTCGGTTACTGTTTCAACAACACGAACCTCTTCCGGGAGCTCCTGGATTTGTTCAGGCTGCTCCTCTTCCACAGGAATCTCTTCCACTGTGACAGTTGTCTCGGGTTGTTTGTCATCTTCTTCGATGGTTTCAATCTTGGTGACTTCTTGTTTGTCACCCTTAACCTTCTTGATAACACGTGTACGTATCTTCTTCGTCTTAGGCTTGCCGTCTTCGATTACTGTTTCAATCACACGAACCTCCTCTGGAAGCTCCTGGATTTGTTCAGGTTGTTCTTCTTCCACAGGAATCTCTTCCACTGTGATAGTTGTCTCGGGTTGTTTGTCATCCTCTTCGATGGTTTCAATCTTGGTGACTTCTTGCTTGTCACCCTTAACCTTCTTGATAACACGTGTGCGTATCTTCTTCTTCTTAGGCCTGCCGTCTTCGGTTACTGTTTCAACAACACGAACCTCTTCCGGGAGCTCCTGGATTTGTTCAGGCTGCTCCTCTTCCACAGGAATCTCTTCCACTGTGACAGTTGTCTCGGGTTGTTTGTCATCCTCTTCGATGGTTTCAATCTTGGTGACTTCTTGTTTGTCACCCTTAACCTTCTTGATAACACGTGTACGTATCTTCTTCGTCTTAGGCTTGCCGTCTTCGGTTACTGTTTCAACCACACGAACCGCTTCCGGAAGCTCCTGGATATGTTCAACTTGTTCTTCTTCCATTGGAATCTCTTCAACTGTGACAGTTGTCTCGGGTTGTTTGTCATCCTCTTCGATGGTTTCAATCTTGGTGACTTCTTGTTTGTCGCCCTTAACCTTCTTGATAATTCGTGTGTGTATCTTCTTCTTCCTAAGCTTGCCTTCTTCGGTTACTGTTTCAACAACACGAACCTCTTCCGGAAGCTCCTGGAGTTGTTCAGGTTGTTCTTCTTCCACAGGAATCTCTATCACTGTGACAGTTGTCTCGGGTTGCTTGTCATCCTCTTCGATGGTTTCAATCTTGGTGACTTCTTGTTTGTCACCCTTAACCTTCTTGATAACACGCGTGCGTATCTTCTTCTTCTTAAGCTTGCCGTCTTCTGTTACTGTTTCAACCACACGAATCTCCTCTGGAAGCTCCTGGATTTGTTCAGGTTGCTCCTCTTCCACAGGAATCTCTTCAACTGTGACAGTTGTCTCTGGTTGCTTGTCATCCTCTTCGATGGTTTCAATCTTGGTGACTTCTTGTTTGTCGCCCTTAACCTTCTTGATAACACGTGTGCGTATCTTCTTCTTCTTAGGCTTGCCGTCTTCGGTTACTGTTTCAATCATACGAACCTCCTCTGGAAGCTCCTGGATTTGTTCAGGCTGCTGCTTTTCCACAGGAATCTCTTCCACTGTGACAGTTGTCTCTGGTTGCTTGTCATCCTCTTCGATGGTTTCAATCTTGGTGACTTCTTGTTTGTCGCCCTTTACCTTCTTGATAACTCGTGTGCGTATTTTCTTCTTCTTAGGCTTGCCGTCTTCGGTTACTGTTTCAACCACACGAACCTCCTCTGGAAGCTCCTGGATTTGTTCAGGCTGCTCCTTTTCCACAGGAATCTCTTCCACTGTGACAGTTGTCTCGGGTTGCTTGTCATCCTCTTCGATGGTTTCAATCTTGGTGACTTCTTGTTTGTCGCCCTTTATCTTCTTGATAACTCGTGTGCGTATCTTCTTCTTCTTAGGCTTGCCGTCTTCGGTTACTGTTTCAACCACACGAACCTCTTCCGGTAGCTCCTGGATTTGTTCAACTTGTTCTTTTTCCACTGGAATCTCTTCAACTGTGACAGTTGTCTCTGGTTGCTTGTCATCCTCTTCGATGGTTTCAATCTTGGTGACTTCTTGTTTGTCGCCCTTAACCTTCTTGATAACACGTGTGCGAATCTTCTTCTTCTTAGGCTTGCCGTCTTCGGTTATTGTATCAATCACACGAACCTCCTCTGGAAGCTCCTGGATTTGTTCAGGCTGCTCTTCTTCCACAGGAACCTCTTCTACTGTAACAGTTGTCTCTGGTTGTTTGTCATCCTCTTCGATAGTTTCAATCTTGGTGACTTCTTGTTTGTCACCCTTAACCTTCTTGATAACACGCGTGCGTATCTTCTTCTTCTTATGCTTGCCGTCTTTGGTTACTGTTTCAACCACACGAACCTCTTCCGGCAGCTCCTGGATTTGTTCAGGTTGTTCTTCTTCCACAGGAATCTCTTCAACTGTGACAGTTGTCTCTGGTTGTTTGTCATCCTCTTCGATGGTTTCAATCTTGGTGACTTCTTGTTTGTCGCCCTTAACCTTCTTGATAACACGTGTGCGAATCTTCTTCTTCTTAGGCTTGCCGTCTTCGGTTACTGTTTCAATCACACGAACCTCCTCTGGAAGCTCCTGGATTTGTTCAGGCTGCTCTTTTTCCACAGGAACCTCTTCAACTGTGACAGTTATCTCGGGTTGTTTGTAAGCCTCTTCGATGGTTTCAATCTTGGTGACTTCTTGTTTGTCACCCTTAACCTTCTTGATAACACGTGTGCGTATCTTCTTCTTCTTAGGCTTGCCGTCTTCGGTTACTGTTTCAACCACACGAACCTCTTCCGGAAGCTCCTGGATTTGTTCAGGCTGCTCCTCTTCCACAGGAATCTCTTCCACTGTGACAGTTGTCTCGGGTTGCTTTTCATCCTCTTCAATGGTTTGAATCTTGGTGACTTCTTGTTTGTCGCCTTTAACCTTCTTGATAACACGTGTGCGTATCTTCTTCTTCTTAGGCTTGCCGTTTTCGGTTACTGTTTCAACCACACGAACCTCTTCCGGAAGCTCCTGGATATGTTCAGCTTGTTCTTTTTCCACTGGAATCTCTTCAACTGTGACAGTTGTCTCTGGTTGCTTGTCATCCTCTTCGATGGTTTCAATCTTGGTGACTTCTTGTTTGTCGCCCTTAACCTTCTTGATAACACGTGTGCGTATCTTCTTCTTCTTAGGCTTGCCGTCTTCGGTTACTGTTTCAATCACACGAACCTCCTCCGGAAGCTCCTGGATTTGTTCATATTGTTCTTCTTCCACAGGAATCTCTTCAACTGTGACAGTTGTCTCTGGTTGTTTGTCATCCTCTTCGATGGTTTCAATCTTGGTGACTTCTTGTTTGCCACCCTTAATCTTCTTGATAACACGTGTGCGTATCTTCTTCTTCTTAGGCTTGCCGTCTTCGGTTACTGTTTCAACCACACGAACCTCCTCTGGAAGCTCCTGGATATGTTCAGGCTGCTCCTTTTCCACAGGAATCTCTTCCACTGTGACAGTGATCTCGGGTTGCTTGTCATCCTCTTCGATGGTTTCAATCTTGGTGACTTCTTGTTTGTCGCCCTTTACCTTCTTGATAACTCGTGTGCGTATCTTCTTCTTCTTAGGCTTGCCGTCTTCGGCTACTGTTTCAACCATACGAACCTCTTCCGGAAGCTCCTGGATATGTTCAACTTGTTCTTTTTCCACTGGAATCTCTTCAACTGTGACAGTTGTCTCTGGTTGCTTGTCATCCTCTTCGATGGTTTCAATCTTGGTGACTTCTTGTTTGTCGCCCTTAACCTTCTTGATAACACGTGTGCGTATCTTCTTCTTCTTAGGCTTGCCGTCTTCGGTTACTGTTTCAACCACACGAACCTCCTCCGGAAGCTCCTGGATTTGTTCAGGTTGTTCTTCTTCCACAGGAATCTCTTCAACTGTGACAGATGTCTCTGGTTGCTTGTCATCCTCTTCGATGGTTTCAATCGTGGTGACTTCTTGTTTGTCGCCCTTAACCTTCTTGATAACACGTGTGTGTATCTTTTTCTTCTTAGGCTTGCCGTCTTCGGTTATTGTTTCAATCACACGAACCTCTTCCGGAAGCTCCTGGATGTGGTCAAATTGTTCTTTTTCCACTGGAATCTCTTCAACTGTGACAGTTGTCTCTGGTTGCTTGTCATCCTCTTCGATGGTTTCAATCTTGGTGACTTCTTGTTTGTCGCCCTTAACCTTCTTGATAACACGGGTGCGTATCTTCTTCTTTTTAGGCTTGCCGTCCTCGGTTACTGTTTCAACCACACGAACCTCTTCTGGAAGCTCCTGGATTTGTTCAGGTTGTTCTTCTTCCGTAGGAATCTCTTCCACAGTTACAGTTGTCTCGGGTTGTTTGTCATCCTCTTCGATGGTTTCAATCTTGGTGACTTCTTGTTTGTCGCCCTTAACCTTCTTGATAACTCGTGTGCGTATCTTCTTCTTCTTAAGCTTGCCGTCTTCGGTTACTGTTTCAACCACACGAACCTCCTCTGGAAGCTCCTGGATTTGTTCAGGCTGCTCCTTTTCCACAGGAATCTCTTCCACTGTGACAGTTGTCCCGGGTTGCTTGTCATCCTCTTCGATGGTTTCAATCTTGGTGACTTCTTGTTTGTCGCCCTTAACCTTCTTGATAACACGTGTGTGTATCTTCTTTTTCTTAGGCTTGCCGTCTTCGGTTACTGTTTCAATCACACGAACCTCCTCCGGAAGCTCCTGGATTTGTTCATATTGTTCTTCTTCCACAGGAATCTCTACAACTGTGACAGTTGTCTCTGGTTGCTTGTCATCCTCTTCGATGGTTTCAATCTTGGTGACTTCTTGTTTGTCGCCCTTAACCTTCTTGATAACACGTGTGCGTATCTTCTTCTTCTTAGGCTTGCCGTCTTCGGTTACTGTTTCAACCACAAGAACCTCTTCCGGAAGCTCCTGGATATGTTCAACTTGTTGTTTTTCCACTGGAATCTCTTCAACTGTGACAGTTGTCTCTGGTTGCTTGTCATCCTCTTCGATGGTTTCAATCTTGGTGACTTCTTGTCTGTCGCCCTTAACCTTCTTGATAACACGTGTGCGTATCTTCTTCTTCTTAGGCTTGCCGTCTTCGGTTATTGTTTCAACCACATGAACCTCTTCCGGAAGCTCCTGGATTTGTTCAGGCTGCTCTTTTTCCACTGGAATCTCTTCAACTGTGACAGTTGTCTCTGGTTGTTTGTCATCCTCTTCGATGGTTTCAATCTTGGTGACTTCTTGTTTGTCGCCCTTAACCTTCTTTATGACACGTGTGCGTATCTTCTTCTTCTTAGGCTTGCCGTCTTCTGTTATTGTTTCAACCACACGAACCTCTTCCGGACGCTCCTGGATTTGTTCAGGCTGCTCTTTTTCCACAGGAATCTCTTCAACTGTGACAGTTGTCTCTGGTTGTTTGTCATCCTCTTCGATGGTTTCAATCTTGGTGACTTCTTGTTTGTTACCCTTAACCTTCTTGATAACACGTGTGCGTATCTTCTTCTTCTTAGGCTTGCCGTCTTCGGTTACTGTTTCAACCACACGAATCTCTTCTGGAAGCTGGATTTGTTCAGGCTGCTCTTTTTCCACAGGAATCTCTTCAACTGTGACAGTTGTCTCGGGTTGTTTGTCATCCTCTTCGATGGTTTCAATCTTGGTAACTTCTTGTTTGTCGCCCTTAACTTTCTTGATAACTCGTGTGCGTATCTTCTTCTTCTTAGGCTTGCCGTCTTCGGTTACTGTTTCAATCACACGAACCTCTTCCGGAAGCTCCTGGATATGTTCAACTTGTTCTTCTTCCACTGGAATCTCTTCAACTGTGACAGTTGTCTCTGGTTGCTTGTCATCCTCTTCGATGGTTTCAATCTTGGTGACTTCTTGTTTGTCGCCCTTAACCTTCTTGATAACACGTGTGCGTATCTTCTTCTTCTTAGGCTTGCCGTCTTCGGTTACTGTTTCAACCACATGAACCTCTTCCGGAAGCTCCTTGATTTGTTCAGTTTGTTCTTCTTCCACAGGAATCTCTTCAACTGTGACAGTTGTCTCGGGTTGCTTGTCATCCTCTTCGATGGTTTCAATCTTGGTGACTTCTTGTTTGTCACCCTTAACCTTCTTGATAACACGTGTGCGTATCTTCTTCTTCTTAGGCTTTCCGTCTTCGGTTATTGTTTCAACCACACGAACCTCTTCCGGAAGCTCTTGGATTTGTTCAGGTTGTTCTGCTTCCACAGGAATCTCTTCCACAGTGACAGTTGACTTGGGTTGTTTGTCATCCTCTTCGATGGTTTCAATCTTGGTGACTTCTTGCTTGTCGCCCTTAACCTTCTTGATAACTCGTGTGCGTATCTTCTTCTTCTTAGGCTTGCCGTCTTCGGTTACTGTTTCAAACACACGAACCTCTTCTGGAAGCTCCTGGATTTTTTCAGGCTGTTCCTCTTCCACAGGAATCTCTTCCACAGTGACAGTTGTCTCGGGTTGTTTGTCATCCTCTTCGATGGTTTCAATCTTGGTGACTTCTTGTTTGTCGCCCTTAACCTTCTTGATAACACGTGTGCGTATCTTCTTCTTCTTAGGCTTGCCGTCTTCGGTTACTGTTTCAAACACACGAACCTCCTCTGGAAGCTCCAGGATTTTTTCAGGCTGTTCCTCTTCCACAGGAATCTCTTCCACAGTGACAGTTGTCTCGGGTTGTTTGTCATCCTCTTCGATAGTTTCAATCTTGGTGACTTCTTGTTTGTCACCCTTAACCTTCTTGATAACACGTGTGCGTATCTTCTTCTTCTTAGGCTTGCCGTCTTCGGTTATTGTTTCAACCACACGAACCTCTTCTGGAAGCTCTTGGATTTGTTCAGGTTGTTCTTCTTCCACAGGAATCTCTTCCACAGTGACAGTTGTCTCGGGTTGTTTGTCATCCTCTTCGATGGTTTCAATCTTGGTTACTTCATGCTTGTCACCCTTAACCTTCTTGATAACACGTGTGCGTATCTTCTTCTTCTTAGGCTTGCCGTCTTCGGTTACTGTTTCCAACACACGAACCTCCTCTGGAAGCTCCTGGATTTTTTCAGGCTGTTCCTCTTCCACAGGAATCTCTTCCACTGTGACAGTTGTCTCTGGTTGCTTGTCATCCTCTTCGATGGTTTCAATCTTGGTGACTTCTTGTTTGTCGCCCTTAACCTTTTTGATAACACGTGTGCGTATCTTCTTCTTCTTAGGCTTGCCGTCTTCGGTTATTGTTTCAACCACACGAACCTCTTCCGGAAGCTCTTGAATTTTTTCAGGTTGTTCTTCTTCCACAGGAATATCTTCCACAGTGACAGTTGTCTCTGGTTGTTTGTCATCCTCTTCGATGGTTTCAATCTTGGTGACTTCTTGTTTGTCGCCTTTAACCTTCTTGATAACACGTGTGCGTATCTTCTTCTTCTTAGGCTTGCCGTCTTCGGTTATTGTTTCAACCACACGAACCACTTCCGGAAGCTCCTGGATTTGTTCAGGTTGTTCTTCTTCCACAGGAATCTCTTCCATAGTGACAGTTGTCTCGGGTTGTTTGTCATCCTCTTCGATAGTTTCAATCTTGGTGACTTCTTGTTTGTCACCCTTAACCTTCTTGATAACCCGTGTGCGTATCTTCTTCTTCTTAGGCTTGCCGTCTTCGGTTACTGTTTCAAACACACGAACCTCCTCTGGAAGCTCCTGGGTTTTTTCAGGCTGTTCCTCTTCCACAGGAATCTCTTCCACTGTGACAGTTGTCTCGGGTTGTTTGTCATCCTCTTCGATGGTTTCAATCTTGGTGACTTCTTGTTTGTCACCCTTAACCTTCTTGATAACACGTGTGCGTATCTTCTTCTTCTTAGGCTTGCCGTCTTCGGTTATTGTTTCAACCACACGAACCTCTTCTGGAAGCTCCTGGATTTGTTCAGGTTGTTCTTCTTCCACAGGAATCTCTTCCACAGTGACAGTTGTCTCGGGTTGTTTGTCATCCTCTTCGATGGTTTCAATCTTGGTGACTTCTTGTTTGTCGCCCTTAACCTTCTTGATAACACGTGTGCGTATCTTCTTCTTCTTAGGCTTGCCGTCTTCGGTTATTGTTTCAACCACACGAACCTCTTCTGGAAGCTCTTGGATTTGTTCAGGTTGTTCTTCTTCCACATGAATCTCTTCCACAGTGACAGTTGTCTCGGGTTGTTTGTCATCCTCTTCGATGGTTTCAATCTTGGTGACTTCTTGCTTGTCGCCCTTAACCTTCTTGATAACTCGTGTGCGTATTTTCTTCTTCTTAGGCTTGCCGTCTTCGTTTACTGTTTCAATCACACGAACCTCTTCCGGAAGCTCCTGGATATGTTCAACTTGTTCTTCTTCCACTGGAATCTCTTCAACAGTGACAGTTGTCTCTGGTTGCTTGTCATCCTCTTCGATGGTTTCAATCTTGGTGACTTCTTGTTTGTCGCCCTTAACCTTCTTGATAACACGTGTGCGTATCTTCTTCTTCTTAGGCTTGCCGTCTTCGGTTACTGTTTCAACCACATGAACCTCTTCCGGAAGCTCCTTGATTTGTTCAGGTTGTTCTTCTTCCACAGGAATCTCTTCAACTGTGACAGTTGTCTCTGGTTGCTTGTCATCCTCTTCGATGGTTTCAATCTTGGTGAATTCTTGCTTGTCGCCCTTAACCTTCTTGATAACTCGTGTGCGAATCTTCTTCTTCTTAGGCTTGCCGTCTTCGGTTACTGTTTCAACCACATGAACCTCTTCCGGAAGCTCCTGGATATGTTCAACTTGTTCTTCTTCCACTGGAATCTCTTCAACTGTGACAGTTGTCTCTGGTTGCTTGTCATCTTCTTCGATAGTTTCAATCTTGGTGACTTCTTGTTTATCGCCCTTAACCTTCTTAATGACACGTGTGCGTATCTTCTTCTTTTTCGGCTTGCCATCTTCGGTTACAGTTTCAACAACACGAACCACCTCTGGAAGCTCCTGGTTTTGTTCAGGCTGCTCCTCTTCCACAGGAATCTCTTCCACTGTGACAGTTGTCTCGGGTTGCTTGTCATCCTCTTCGATGGTTTCAATCTTGGTGACTTCTTGTGTGTCACCCTTAACCTTCTTGATAACCCGTGTGCGTATCTTCTTTTTCTTGGGCTTACCGTCTTCGGTTACTGTTTCAACCACACGAACCTCCTCTGGAAGCTCCTGGATTTGTTCAGGCTGCTCCTTTTCCACAGGAATCTCTTCCACTGTGACAGTTGTCTCGGGTTGCTTGTCATCCTCTTCGATGGTTTCAATCTTGGTGACTTCTTGTTTGTCGCCCTTAACCTTCTTGATAACTCGTGTGCGAATCTTCTTCTTCTTAGGCTTGCCGTCTTCGGTTATTGTTTCAATCACACGAACCTCTTCCGGAAGCTCCTGGATTTGTTCAGGTTGTTCTTCTTCCACAGGAATCTCTTCCACAGTGACAGTTGTCTCGGGTTGTTTGCCATCCTCTTCGATGGTTTCAATCTTGGTGACTTCTTGTTTGACACCCTTTACCTTCTTAATGACACGTGTGCGTATCTTCTTCTTTTTTGACTTGCCATCTTTGGTTACAGTTTCAACAACACGAACCTCCTCTGGAAGCTCCTGGATTTGCTCAGGCTGCTCCTCTTCCACAGGAATCTCTTCCACTGTGACAGTTGTCTCTGGTTGCTTGTCATCTTCTTCGATAGTTTCAATCTTGGTGACTTCTTGTTTATCGCCCTTAACCTTCTTGATAACACGTGTGCGTATCTTCTTCTTCATAGGCTTGCCGTCTTTGGTTATTGTTTCAACCACACGAACCTCTTCCGGCAGCTCCTGGATTTGTTCAGGCTGTTCTTCTTCCAAAGGAATCTCTTCAACTGTGACAGTTGTCTCTGGTTGTTTGTCATCCTCTTCGATGGTTTCAATCTTGGTGACTTCTTGTTTGTCACCCTTAACCTTCTTAATGACACGTGTGCGTATCTTCTTCTTTTTAGGCTTGTCATCTTCGGTTACAGTTTCAACAACACGAACCACCTCTGGAAGCTCCTGGATTTGTTCAGGCTGCTCCTCTTCCACAGGAATCTCTTCCACTGTGACAGTTGTCTCAGGTTGCTTGTCATCCTCTTCGATGGTTTCAATCTTGGTGACTTCTTGTTTGTCACCCTTAACCTTCTTGATAACCCGTGTGCGTATCTTCTTCTTCTTAGGCTTGCCGTCTTCGGTTATTGTTTCAACCACACGAACCTCTTCTGGAAGCTCTTGGATTTGTTCAGGTTGTTCTTCTTCCACAGGAATCTCTTCCACAGTGACAGTTGTCTCGGGTTGTTTGTCATCCTCTTCGATGGTTTCAATCTTGGTGACTTCTTGTTTGTCACCCTTAGCCTTCTTAATGACACGTGTGCGTATCTTCTTCTTCTTGGGCTTACCGTCTTCGGTTATTGTTTCAACCACACGAACCTCTTCCGGCAGCTCCTGGATTTGTTCAGGCTGTTCTTCTTCCAAAGGAATCTCTTCAACTGTAACAGTTGTGACTGGTTGTTTGTCATCCTCTTCGATGGTTTCAATCTTGGTGACTTCTTGTTTGTCACCCTTAATCTTCTTGATAACCCGCGTGCGGATCTTCTTCTTTTTGGGTTTGCCGTCCTCGGTTACTGTTTCAACCACACGAACCTCCTCTGGAAGCTCTTGGATTTGCTTAGACTGTTCTTCCTCCAAAGGAATCTCTTCCACAGTGACAGTTGTCTCGGGTTGTTTGTCATCCTCTTCGATGGTTTCAATCTTGGTGACTTCTTGTTTTTCACCCTTAACCTTCTTGATAACACGGGTGCGGATCTTCTTCTTTTTCGGCTTGCCGTCTTCGGCTACTGTTTCAACAATGTGAACCTCTCTCGGAAGTTCGATGATTTGTTCAGGCTCATTTTGATATATGGGAACTTCTTCTACTGTGACAATTGTCTCGGGCTGTTTGTTGTCCTCTTCGATGGTTTCAATCTTTGTGATGTCTTGCTTGTCGCCCTTAACCTTCTTTATTACACGTGTGCGTATAATTTTATTCTTCTTTTGACCATCTTTAGTGAGTTTTTCAACCATTTTTATAGTTTCGGGAATTTCCGTTATCTCAACTTCATGTGTTTCTTTAATTTGTGTTGGTGTCTTTTGTTGTGTGTGTTTTGTGTCAGTGGCTTGTTTTGTATCTGTGTAAAAAATATGCTTTTAGTCTTAATTCGGCTTGTATTTTGGTTATTGTTTTGTGTAATATGTGTTTTGTAGATCGGGGGACAAGTAGTATTGGAAGTAATACGCCTTTTTCTGTTGAATTGCTTAAAGTTACCCTTACATAGTACTTACCCGGATGTGATTTTACCGTTTGATTTAATATATTTGTACTTAAGCTTTCGTAGTCAAATAGTTTTGTAGATTGCATTTTTGGCTCAGAATGTAACTCCAAGTCTGTATGTGATTTATCATTTTTCGGTATTACCGTACATTGTGCATCTTTGATAGGTGTAGCCTCAAGAGGCAAAAGAACATTTACATTGTCAGGTACAAATAATATTTTTTGCAAAGCATTCTCTCTTTCCTCTATTGTAGGCATTTCCAGATCATATACAAGATTTTGATTTGCTGCTAAATTTAATATATCAACTTGATTTTTAGGGTTTGTTTCATAGCTTATATTTGCATTTGTGGGCAGTGTTTGGTTTTTCATATGTAGTGTTGTGACTTGTTCTTCTGTAATTGTCTGTTGGTTGAGACTTGAGCTGTATGGCAGTATTGAAGGCTTTGCATGTTCCAAATCTACTTTAGAGCTGCTTGTTTCAAGAATAGTTTCCTTTACCTGTAGTTCACAGTACAGAGGTGCAACTTTTGCATCCGTAGTGGCGTAACTCGCACACTGCAAGGCTGGAATCGTATTCTCCAATAAATGTTGAACATTTTCAATCGGCTCTTGCCTAGTAACAAGTAGATTCTTATGTGTTACGTTATTTTCGATCGCTTTTGCCTTTGTAGGCTCTACCTTTGAAATACTATCTATGGAAGATATAACAGATACCTCTTCAACAACCGAAATGCTTAAGTCTGTTGAAATATCTGATGTTGGTTGTGCACTCTGTGGTTTGAAGTCACCATGTCCTTCAATATTTTCGAATACGCTTACCGTGGATGATTGAACTGGTTTGATAGAGCTTTCTACAAAATTTAGTTTTGGCGTTAAGCACTTGCTTTCCTCAACATTAATATTAGGAGATTCTTCATAGACTAACTGTTCCATAATAGTTGCAGCCTTATTTGTAGATTCACATGTTAAATTAGCGTTCACTTCTAAAGGCACTCGAAGGTCGTAACTTTCTTGTATGGAACTTACGCTAATGACTTCTTCAGTTACCAATGATTCCTTCTCCGTGCTAGAAACGTGAACATTATTTTCAATAAAGGACAAGGGAGCCATATCACCTTCCTTAATAAAACCAGTTTGTATTGTTGTGACGTTAGCACATTTGGTATCGGAATCGCCGAGTTTGGTGCCGTGACCTTCTTTTGGACGCTCATATTTCAATTCGTCTGCTTTTTCATACACCGCAACTTCGGATATAGTCTTGTGTGTTTCGGGTGTACTGGTTACATTCCTTGTCGACTCTTGAGCCGTAATTTTCGGTACGTCTAAGCTGTCAATATTTTCAATAGGTATGATTTCGCAGATTTGCATTTCACTTTGTGTTCCTTCAATAATGGGTTTAACATAAGCAATTTGATTAGTGTTCAAGAACGTATCCTCTTTTTGCAGGATGAGATCATCAATTTGAACGTTTAGTTTGTTGGCGCTAGTCGGTATATAAGGATGTACTTGAGCTTTCTGTATTTTAGATTCGGCATGTTTAATATTCTCTGATAATTCATAGGGCATTGTATCAGTTGTTGTTGTGTACTGAAGAATATCGCTGAGTCCAGGCTTTGCAATGACCCCCTGAGATTGTGTTGACTGTATGACCGTCTCCTTTTGAAATATGTGGACTTCTTCTGATTCAGAAGTAGCTTTAAATTTTGTATTCATAGATTCTGTTGCCTTTGTAGCTACTTCTTCGTAGGGAGATATGGATTCTGCATCCTCCACGTATTGACTATCCATTACTGTTACTTCAAAATGGTGTCCCTCCAATTTAGGTTGAGCAACTGTCTCGGTCGATGTTGATGTAATAAATTCATTAGCGTCCTCAACTGTTTGTATTGAAGTATTAACAGCCAATTTTAATTGGCAGGCATTATCACTTGAGGTAGCAGCTGAGCTGGCTTGGGCCACGGCAAGAAAGTTTCCCGCACTTTCTATAGTTTGTTGAAGATTTATAATTGGAGCATGACTCGATAAATGGGAAATTCCAGCTTCTTGTTTATTTAATGTCTCACTAGGCTTCGTTTCACTAATCGTTTCATACACCTCAATTTCATTGACCCCTTTGGTGTAAAGAGCTGGAATAGCTTCGCTAACCTTTTCATTAAATTCCTGTGACCGTTCTGTATCGAAAGATATTTCGGCTTCTAGCGTATTTTGATCCTCTTTTATAGCTGATTGGCTAAAAGTATCCTGAGTGCGCTTAGCAGTTATTTGTTTTTCTTGTGTCTTCAGAAATTCTTCAACTTCTCCAATGAGCATACACTCACTGATCATTTTATGTTCATGAGGAATCATAGACTGAGAGCTTATACATTTGGGTTGATCATCAGCTTTAGGTGTTAAAACGTTATCATAAACTATGGCTTCGGTGGTCGTTGTTTCCGTTAAAACATCAATGCTTGACTTTGCAAAATTGTTTGATACTGTGAAGCTTGCCAGATCTCCAGCTGACTGATTTTCCTCCACTCCTTCCGTCAACGGCAACTTTAATAATTCCGAATCAACACATTTTGCTTGCTCGAATGAAATAGATGGCACCTCTAGATCACGTTCCAATTCGAAAGTATTCTCACGTTGGCTCACCACAATACCAGTTGTAGAATCAAGTGAGACCTTAACTAACTGCTTTACTGGCTGAGAGATATCTTCTAGTGCAACCTCTTTCTCAAATGCTTTCGTTTCCTGCACATGAATTTCGTCAAAACTGCTGAATGTAGGCTGTCTAGCTTCTAATGTTGGACTAAAAGTGCTAAGATTTGCTGCATGCTCCAAAACATTCGGCTCTTCTAAGAGCGCTGATTTTTTGGTAAAGTCAGTTAGTTTTGGTGAAATACCAATTTGATGAAGTATGATTGGCTCTTCAATTTTCCCTGTTTCTTCACTTACAATAGCTGTCGTCGTATTCAAAGATGATGTGTTTTCGATGATTTGCATGTTAGTTATAAAAGATTCAATTAAAGGTGGTGCTAAGTAATCTTTTACGGCATCCAATGATGCAACCTCTTCACATTCAGGTATTGTAGTTTCCCCAATATTGACCAGAGCTTGGTGTTCAGATGGTTGAGTTTTGTCACCAAGATCTTGCACCGATTCCAAATGCTGGGAGCTTGATTTATTTGGCACTTGTAAGGCTCTGACTGTTTCTATTGCAGCATTTTGAGTTGCATTGTATTCATCTGATTGCAAAGCTATTTCCTGTTCTAGAGCGAAAACAGAGCTTGTATCTAAGGACTGCAGAAGGTCAAAGTTTGTTCCTGATATTTGCTGGTGGGGCTGTGCTGACTGCTGGTGAGACTGTAAGGTTTCCAATAGGGCTTGTTCCGTTATATCAGTTCCAATTTGAGTTGGCATTGTAAAATCTGCTAGTGCCGCAGTTGGCTTGCTTTCAGTCGCATGTTCCTTGGTCGACTCCAAAATTGTCACTATCATATGCTCAGCATGATTAAATGTATCTGTTGTTTTTTGAGCTTTTGACTCTATTTGGTGTGGAGCTGATTCGATAAGTTCGGAGCTTTCAATAACCTGCACAGCAGTTACTTCCAACGGCTGCTGATTTTCACCCATAATTATTCTTCCAGACTTGAGTTCGGGCTGTTGTTGTAGTTTTAGGTAATCTGTTCCCTTAAGAGATTTTTGTTCACTTGACAGTCCAACTGGCTTTGACTCAAACGCTTGACTAGCTGATGCTGGCCTAACATTATCACTTTGAATATCAGCAGGTGTAAATTGATGCTGCACTTCCCATACACTGCTTACCTTCAGCTCAGCAGGGATTACTTTTTCCATCGCGGCCTGCTCAAGTATTTGTATTTCTGGGAAAAGACTGTTTTCTTTCTCAACCCCAGTTTCCTGTTTAACATCCAATGCCTTCTGTTCAATGAAATTCAGCTTTGCCTTCGCAGTATCAGGTACCTCAGACAAGAGCCTCTGCTCCGAGTCAATGGCAGTTTGTGTATGCACTTCTGCAACCAGTTCGCCTTCTGTAATATTTACTTTTCCTTGATTCAACTTAGTGCGCGCTTGCTCTATAGACTCAAGGGTATCATATATTGATTCCTGATTACCTACGACAGTCTCTAGGCCCCTAGTTAAAGTTTTCTTCGCAGGCTTAGCAGGCTCTATTGTTGGCTCATTTAGATTTTCCGTATTTTCCACCAATTGCATCTCTTGAGTTTCACCAACAGTCAGAGAACTGGTATGGCTTGATGTGGCACCTAAGATTTCGGGAATTTTTTCTAAAGCTAAACCCTGTGGTCCATCTTCGTTAAAGACAGTCTCCTGAGTAATAATATGTGATTGGGTCTCCAAGCTCGATGTTGCTTCGTGTGATTCAGTCTTGAACATTGGTAAATTCTCTTCAATAGGACTGCGTGCTTCTGCTGTCGTATTTACTAGGCCTTCCAATAATACCAATTGCTTCACAGCCTGAAGCTCAATATGCCGCTGTTTTAAAGGTTTTTCATCACTAAGTGACTCCAATATTTCAACTTCCTGCACAACTAGCGGTCTCTCTTCGGGCTTAATTGAAATTTCTGCTGTAGACTTTGTGGGCTTGTATCCTGTGCTGATTTCTTTTTCGCTTTCTAATAAGCTGGTTTCACTAGTGCTGAATGCTTTAAACTCTTGTATTGACATTGATGTACTCTCAGCGCGCACCCCTTCTGCTGGTTTGATGTCCATTACAGAGTCTTCTGGATGCCACTCACTAACGCCAAGGCTATGACTTGAAGTTAATTTTGGAGAGACTTGCTCAATATTTGGCAATTTTTTTGGTGCTTCCTTCTCTACAGTCTCACCTCTAAAAGATTCAGTAATCAGAAGGCTCTCTTTTTCAAGGAATTGTGGCTGTGCCTTTTCCACACCAATTGTCGGAGTTTTAAAGCTTTCGACACTGTCCAACGTTGACTGCTGTTCCGAGGTGAGCTCATGAGAGTATAGAATCTCGCCATGTGCTTGCTGCGTGGGAGCTTTTAACGACTCCAGCTCACCGAAAGAATCCGCGATGCTTGGTGTTTCAATAAGCAATGGACGCGATTCTTTAATTTTACGCTCAGCTTGTACAAGCTTGGGTATTTTGGAAGATTTCAACTCCTTGTGAGTTTCTTTTGTCTGCATCTCAGTAATAGAAGCTGCATGTCTTTCACGAACTTCAACCTGCTCGGTAAGCTCACTAGTCGCCGGGGTGGACCGATCCAAACTGGAACTAACCTCATCAAACACTAAACACTCCTCATTCACTGCTAAAGTCTTTTGCGCTAAAAGTTCATTTTGTACTTGTGCCGCTTTCGGTGTTGGTGTAGAGAGTTCTGTAGTTACTGAAACTGGAATTGTTTCATGTGCGCTCTGTGATAGATTTTGGGTGGATAGTTTTGTACTATATGCCAGCAGCTCTTCAATTTGCTCGAGTGTCTCAATTGTTGGAGCTTCTGTGTTTGACTCCTCTGCAAAGGTTTCTCTCTGCTCCTCAAAAGTTTCTCTCGTTTCTTGTTGTAGTTGTTGTTTTTGTTCTTGTTGTATTATTTCTGTATGTTTCTTATGCTTTTTAGTTTTGGTTTTCCTATGCACTGTTTGTTCAGCCTGTATATGTTCTTGTTGTTCTTGACCTATTATTTGTTCTTGTGCTTGTTCTTGTTCTTGTTGTTGCTGTATGAACTGTTTTTCCACTTTTGTGGTTGTGGTTTCTGCGAATGTAATGTAATTAAACAATGACAATGTCGGCATTTCTTTGAGGTGCTATTAAGACAATACATTAACAATGTTTATAAGCTTCATAAAACCAAGCAATTGCAATTTTTTTTCAATAATTATAACAGTCTCACAGCGAAGAAACTTATGATTAATAGATATTGTTTTCATTTGCTTTTAGCATGTTTGTGAAATAAACGAAAGCTAAACAGACAAACATAATATACATACATATTACGAAAGGAAAACTCTTTGAAAACTTACCTGAGGTGAAACCAACTGTGTGACTGTGTGCAGTAAAAGACCCTTCTACTCTTGTATTCAGGTACGTAGAAGCATTTAAATTTGAAATTAATTTGCAATAATAAGCTTATATGACAAAAGGCTATAGCAAAATTTTAAATAATAGTAGTAGGTGGTTATTAATGGTTAATAGGCATTTTAGGTACTCGGTAGGCGTCTTTTTAGAATATACACATGATTCGTTTGGTTTAACAAAATTTAATTGTTATATTTTAAAAGTCAATATCTATTATTGTTTGTTTTTCGTTTTTAATGTAATAATATTATGTAGTAACTGTAGTTGAGTAGTTCATTGGGATACATCAGTACTGGTAGGTATTATTTTGGATTTACAGTTCATCTGTGTTTATGTTCAAACCTTCATGGACTACTATCGTGCGTTCCTCGACAAAAGTTTCCTCTACGTTTGTGTTAGATTATGTTTGTTGTTGGGATTGGCACATAAGCGCAGGTATTTTACAAAGCAGTTTTACATTTTGAAAAAAAAAAAGAAACAAAATTGCGTTTCAGTATTCAAAATATAAATGGATTAAAGCTTTTTTGAAATTTTCATATTAATATATTACAAAATAAGCCGTACTCACCTATTTTTACATGCGTAATAGCCTCGTGACTTTCAATTATCTGGGATGTCTCTACTATTCTCTAGATTTCAGTGAATCGGTTAAAAAATGTATAAGAAAAAACATCAATATACTAATTGGAAATGCTTTAAGAGCTTCAGCCTAGATAATATTTTAAATTACCAGCATATAAATCGTTATGGTAAGTAGTTGAAATGCCAGTTGTTAAATGATTTCCCAATTCAAGCAAAACAATATGAAAAACAATATTAAAATAAATTTTGTTTGACATTTCAACTGTCTACACAACTTCAGTAACAAACAGAAACAAACAAAACAGAATTCAAACCTCCTTTCCGCATATCTTCCAATCGTGCGAGATGAAATCCTCCCTATGAAACTTTCGTATGACCGTCTCTATTGTAATTTCGTACGTCTGTATCATACGTATAAAGGCTTTGAAGCCGACTGTCGCTGCCAGTATTGTTTCGTCCTCGTTCGAAGATTCACTTAAGATCTGTGTTATCAGCTCTTCGTGCCCTTCACGCTCTACTAGCTGAACCAGAGCCGATTGTGACTCGGGCTTCTGTAGCGATATGAATATGTTCTGTTCGTACATGTATGTAATCTCATAATGAGTGCAGCCGTAGCGTAATAGCACACCAATTGTGGCCAAATCTCTGAGAGCCGCCTCGCCAATCTTTCCAAAGGACTCGGCCTCGACGGATTCGAGCAGCCACTGCACCTCTTCATGTTGGCTTATCTCATAAATATCTTCAATTTTAATGGTTTTCATTGTTATTTTGGTGCGTATTAGTTCAACTGTTTCAGTAAGCTTAATAGATTTACTCGACGTGTATTTTTTTACTACATGGATCTCTTCCTCCGAAACCACATCCTCTTCTTCTTCTACAATTTCTTCAATAATTCTGTTGCGCTGTTCAGCATCAGCAACTTTGCGATCTTTGACCTGCATTACTTCCGAAACTTCACTGTGCTCCACTAATATGGGCACAGCCTGTTTCACTTTGATTATATTCACTGACGTCTCTGCTGTACTGGCTGGAACTATTTTGATTTCTGTCCTATGCAGCGTTTGAGATTCAGAGGCACTAGCTCGCTTTGCCATTGTGTTGGATGCCTTTTTAGCCGCTTTCTTCCTTACAGTTGTTTTCGTCTTCACGTGTTCCATCGCATCTGCCTCAGCAGATGTCGAGGAAATGTCGAACTTAGCGCGCGTCATTGTCATGCCAATCTCATTGATCAGCTTGCAGTTGTAGTAACCACAGTCATCATTTGTAGTCTTGAATATTTCTAGCGTTGCTTCTGTTTCCTGCACTACCATGCGATACTTTTCAGACGCCCTCAGTTGCACATTGTTGAAATACCACTGTATATCTACAAAATCAGTAAACCAATCTTCCATCAAGCCCTGGCCACCTGCAGTGCACTACAGAGAGTATACAGTACCTGGTTGCGGGTTGCCTGCAAATTGTATTGAGAATTTCGCAGTATCGCCAATGGCCGCACGGCAGTCACGCATTTCATTTAGTAGCGACGGCGAGCATTTAGCAGCTATAAGCATAAAAATTGCATAATTTAACTATATATTAGCTACTACTCTCTATAGCAAAGAAAAAGTATGCGACAAGCAATAGGAGTTAGTATGTGACTTCTGCATTGTACTTACAGTGAGTAATTCTTATATAAGTAGTTCACTTGAGTAATATGTAAGTTGTTTGTCTGTTTTGTGTTGATTTAGTAATGCGTTTGAAAAAATTAAACTTGCAAACAAACAGTAAAATAATTTAACATGTAAGCATGTAGTATTTATATAGATATGTACATAAGGGCAAGCAGCGTTTTGGGAATGTCATATAGTTTCCTTGGAATTTACTTTATAAAGGATTAGTAGAAATTTGGAAAATAAAGAAAAAAAAAAGAAGTTTTAGAACACAACCAATTACTTGCAGATGAGATACTGTAAGAAAATATATATACGATAACAAAATTTGATACTATTATTTCTAATGGCGTTTACTTTTTCGATAATATTGGATTTTTGGGATAGGGGAATAAGCCTTAGAGCTGTAAGGGCTAAGCCACAAAATTTGTAAGCTTCATTGGACGAAATCGACATGTTCACATAATTTTTGTTGTTGCTGTTGTTGGTTTACGAAACATTGTATAATACAAGGACAAATACAATAGAGACAAACAGTAGAAGTGACAGACTGTGAAATGTTGCTTGTGATTTAAGACAATAGTACGGAAAACATTTGTGTGTTGAAAACACGAAATTAAAACACATATACACATAACAGTGGTAGAAATCAGTTATTTTTTCAATTCTCTAATACATACCTTTGAGAGCGACTTGCATCTCCTCCATGTGAGTCACCCATTCTGGCTTGCGATAATCCTTAGATCCAACGATGCCTAGTATTGATGCAATATAGTAGAAGTGTTAATAGTTGCATATTATTACAATTTCATCGTAAAATAGGTAAATAATTTTTGTGTTTTATATATTTCTTATATGTTCTAAGTAATGTATTTAACCTTTCGTGTTTGACAGTGTTGTATGTGTAGGGAATACGAGTTGGAAATGTTATCAAGGGGGATTGTATATAAATATTATAAAGGGGAGTGGGATAAAGGGGAATTTGGTATTGCTGCTGCAGATCTGAAAAAGAATTTTACTGACAATTCCAAAATTGTTCCATGACATTATAAAACGTATTTTATAGACATCATAAACCATAACAGTACCTTCTACTGCGAATAGTGCAGTTGTGACTGCCACTCCCAACGGATTGTAAGCCTCAAAACTAATTGTGCCCATATCATCGGGATATACATGATTGATGACCAGCACTGAGGTGCCATCTTCGAAATTTTCGATTTGATATTCCTCGGAAGCGAATATCTGTTCGTCGTCACGTAGCCATTTGACTTTTGGTTTTGGTTTACCAATAACCTTAACTTCCAATTTCGCTTGTTCACCCTCTTTGGGTTCGATTTTTTCAGGTAGCTTTTTAATTATTTTCGGGGGTTGTTCGTCGATAGAGATAGTCTAAAACGGTGTTATCATATACGGAAAGTTAGCTTCAAGTACCTAGACAACTCTTCAACTACAATCACGCTTACTCTATCAAGTAGATCCTCCTCAGATCCTGTGAGTCCAGTGATTTCAGAATCGGGGATATATTCAAATGCTAAAAAAATATTTTAGAGTGTTTAAATATAGGCGAGCCCACAGTCGAGTATATTAACAAACGCAAAATAGAAAATTATTTACAAAAGGAATTTGGGAAGAGTGATAAAATAGATTCAGATTCGAAACTTCATAGACGCAATTTTCAAGATAGTATCACATGCAAGTTCTTCAAGATGTGAGTTAGTAACAAGAACATTTTGAAAGGATATAATGTTCAAAATAGAAATAAAAGGAGGATAGTGGCAAGAGTGTAGTTATTGGAAAACCTATTTAGAATGTAATGCATATGGTATATGCTACGTGGCCTAATTTTCTATTGTTAACTATCAACTATCTATTGATACCATCCAAAAGTACCTTGAATTTTAACTGTTGTCTTCGTGACGCTTTTGCCAATCTTATTTGTCGCAACGCATTTATATTGACCTTCATTTTCAGGGAAAACTTCCGTTATTTGCAGCTGACAATTTCCTTGCGCATCCTGCGATATGGTCGTTTCCTTTGTTTCGGTAATCTTTTCCTTATTGTGATACCACTCCACTCGGGGCGTGGGCTTGCCTGTCACTTGACAAGTCAACAGCAGCGTTTCACCATCCATTACCTCCACAGGCTGAATCAATTCCTCAATGAAGCGTGGCGATTCGAATTCCACAGCCTCTTCCTGCGGCAGTGCCTCCAGCATATTTACTGTTGCTGTTGATGTGACGGAACCGCCAACGTTTTCGGCCCGACAAGTAAATGGACCAGAGAACTTCTTTTGGAAGTCCTCAATTAAGAGCGTTGACTTGTTGGCCTGGCTAACAATGCGGCATTCATTGGAGCTCTTAATAAGCTCATTGTGCACAAACCATTGGAAGGATGAAAGCGGTTCTGAATCAACAACAGCCTCCAGTATTGCAACTTCATGTTCACCAAAGAACTTCGGTTCAAGTGGTTGGATAAATCTGGGTGGCCTGATTTGCTTGTCAGGCGCTTGGTCTGAAACTACCACTGAGCCCGAAGACTTGGCCTCACCCACCTTGTTCTTAGCACAAACTTCGTATTTGCCTGTACGCTTACGGGTCACATTGATGACCTTAATTGTGGTAGTAGTTTCGGTTGTTTCTATAATGGTGTCCTCGTTCTCGGTTATCTCACGACCGTTGCGCAACCATTTGATCTCTGGTCTTGGCATTCCGTCGTACTTGGCCTCGAAAAGCAAAGTGCCTCCGTTTGGAATTACCACCGCACTCAATGGCGTAACTGTGGGTGCTTTAAGTATTTCTTTGGGAACTTCATTAAGACGACTTATGATATTGGCATTTCCAACGGCACGTCCAAATTGATTTTGAGCCTGAATCGAATAGGTAATAGCCTCGTTAGGAGGTGGATTTATAACCTCCAGGACCACATCGCCAGTCTGCTGATCATAGAACATCTGCAAAGCTTCGTTGGGTATAACCTCCTCAATACCACGGTACCATTTGACTTGAGGATTTGGTTTGCCTGTGACCTGACACGTTACTGTGACCTTAAGCCGCTCGGGTTCTTTTTCTTCTGTAAACACGATCTTAAGTGGTTTCGTAAATTGTGGCGGCACTCCTTGTTCTTTTTCTATATTCATTGTGAATAAAAAATATTTTAAAGAGTTGTGTTTTTTTTTGTGATTTGGAATAAGATCACGGGATTTCTTTGTTAGCTGGGTATTTTAAAAGATTAAATAGTTAAGACACCAAAAAACTTTCTTGAAAGCTTTCAAGTTACTTACACATATTTTAAATTTTGTTTCATTGATTGATACAAATTGTATATTAAACTTACCTAATATAATGTTGGTGCGACTAGTCGCCACTCCGGCTTCATTCTTAGCCTCACAGGTATAAACACCCACATCGCTGGGAGTGACTTTCGCAATCTTTAACTGTGCCACCTGCTCCACCACAGTTATCTCATACTTCTCCGAAGCAAACAATAGTATGTCGTTAAAGTACCAATTAATTTCTGGGAATGGAACACCTTCAACCTTGCACTCAAGAATGGTAGGCTCTTCGGGAACGCATTGACGTGGTCGTAGCTTCTCTGTTATGCGTGGCGGCTTGATTTCTTTCTTCTTCTTCTTGACAAGCTTTCGCTCCTGGCCAATCACCTCAGATGTTGTCGTTTCCTCTAAGTTTTGAGTCAATTGCTGATCCTCAATAAGTTCCTCATCAGCCATTTTGTCAATGCCCTCTTGGATGCGTTTTTGCGTTATAAGCTCCAATTCGGGAAGTGGTTGGCTGTCATCAAGCACTACACGCCGTTTCTCCTTTTTAATAATATTTGAAGTGAGCTTCATTTCGAGATCTCGCCTTACATCTTCCACATCGAGTTCAATTAACTGTTCTGTTGTTATGAATTGAGGTCTTGTGTCTTCAGTCTTCTTCAATAGGGTTATAGTCTTTTGTGAGATCTCTTGAGAAATTTCATCAGCCTTTTCGATTTCGGCAACAGCTGCTTCCAGTAGCTGTGGTTGTCCTTCAACCGAAGCTTCCTTCAATGGTTTTGTACGTTTCTTATGCGCCTTTTGTTTTGTTTCGGGTGTCTTGTCAGTAATCACAACTTCTTCCTCTGGCTGCACGTCTTCAGAGACCGCAACCACCTTAACATCATCAACTGGCAGCCCTTCAACTTGATCCTCCTCAGCAATAGGCTCAGCAAATGGTTCGGCCACTTCCTCCGATACTTCATCCACCGATGGCGTAGCCTTCTTCAACTTTGGTTTCTTCTTCTTTTCTTTTTTAACTTTTTCTTTTGGTTGTTTGTCTTCGGGAATCTTTAGGGGCTCCAAATCAGACGTCTCTTCAGCGCTTTCCACCTTATCTTCAGGCTGTAACTGAGGTGGGGAAATCGCTTTCTCTGGTATCGATGTCACTTCGGCGGGCTTGGCTGGAATTGGCTTTAGATGAACCTCTTCAGGTTGCTCTTCTGGCAGTGGTCGCCGTTTGCCAGTCGGCCATTGCTTCTCCTCTAAGGGTTCCTCAACTGGCTTCTTTTTCTCACCACGCTTCCAAGGTACTTGTGGTTTTTCTTCTTCAGGCTTAGGCTCTTTTACGATGTCAATGTGCTCAGCCTCTTCCAAGGTCGTAGGCTCTGTATCTGGTATTTCGGGTAAATCTTCATACTTCGGCTTTTTCACTTTTTTGACCTTACGCTTCTCTTCCTGCACTACTTCTTCTTCCAACCTCTCTACATGCTGCAAGTCAACTTCTTCTAGTTTTACCTCATCAGGCTTGGTAGTTGAGCGTTTCGTTGGCTTAAGACGAACCTCTTCAATTGTAGCTTCCTGAGGTAATTGTTTCTTTGGTCGGGTCACTGGTTTTAAGGCCACCTCTTCAACCATCTCGACAACATCCTCTTTTTTGGGCTTCAATTTGGTAACCTTATCTTTTTGAGCTACTTCTTCAATATCTTGTTCCACGACCACATTTTCCACAGGCTCGGTTTCTTCTTCTTCTTCTTGCAGAGTTTCATCTTCTTGTTCTGCTGTATCTTCAATTGGTTCTTCGATTGATCCTTGAGTTTCCGGTTTTACTTTGGGTTTCTTCTTTTTAACGCGTTTCTTAGTAACGTCCACAACTTGGTCTTCAAATGTAACAATCTTCTCTGTCTCAACAAATTCTGTTTCAGTTGTTTCAGGCTGTTGCGCCTCGGAGACACTGGAGGTTTTTGCAACGGGCTTCAATGTTACTTCTTCTAATTGTTCCTTATCAGGCAGTTGCTGTTGTTTCCTTGGCACAGGCTTAAGCATAACTTTTTCTACTTGCTCGAATTCTTGTGCTTTAGGAACAGGCTTCTTTTTTGTTGGCGCTTCAATAGTAGGCTCTTCGATTTCTTCAACTTCTTCGGGTTGTGTTTCCGGAAGTTCTTCTTCTTCCTCTTGTTCTACTTCTTTTGGTTTTGGTTTCCTTGTCTTTTTAATCTTGCGCTTTTCTTCAATAATTTCTTCCGGCTCTGCAGTGATTTCCTCTTCTGGAATGTCTTCCGTAGGTTGTTCTGGCTCGGCAGTCACTTCTACAAATTTCTTTGGTTTCCTTGTCTTCTTTATTTGCCGCTTTGCTTCCACAATCTCTTCCTGTTCTTCAACGTTATCTTCCTGTTCTTCAGTGATCTCTTCTTGTAGAACCTCCTGTTCAGCCTGCTCAATTTCCTCATCCGCTGCAACAGGTAGCTTAGGTTTCTTGACCTTTTTGATCTTACGCTTTTCTTCAACAACTTCTTCTTGTTCTTCGATATTCTCTTCCTGTTCTTCAATGATGTCTTCTTGCGGAACCTCCTCTTCAGGCTGCTCAATTTCCTCATCAGCAGCAACTGGTAGCTTAGGTTTCTTGACCTTTTTGATCTTACGCTTTTCTTCAACAACTTCTTGTTCTTCGATATTCTCTTCCTGTTCTTCACTGATATCTTCCTGTGGAGCCTCCTCTTCGGGCTGCTCAATTTGCTCCAATGGTGTAATTGGTAGCTTTGGTTTCTTAACCCTCTTGATCTTACGCTTTTCTTCAACAATATCTTTTTGTTCTTCCACATTTTCTTCCTGTTCTTCAGGGATATCTTCTTGTGGAGCCTCTTCTTCAGGTTGCTCAGCTTGCTCCGGTGCTGCAATTGAAAGCTTAGGTTTCTTAACCTTCTTGATTTTGCGCTTTTCCTCGACAATTTCTTCATTCTCAACCTCGATATCTTGTTCAATTTGTGCATCGACTTCATCTGGATGCAATTCTTCAGCTGGCTTAGGTTGTGGTACCTTCTTCTTACCACGTTGCCATAGAACAGGTTCAGGTTTTTCATCAACCTTAACATCATCAGGCAGAACGTCGACTGCTTCTTCAAAAGTCTCTTTTGGTAATTCAACAACAGTTTCCTTTGCCAATTCTTGTGTAGGTGGCTTCTTTTTCTTGCCGCGCTCCCACATTACTGGCTGTGGCTCTGGTTCAACAGTTGGGACGGTTTTTTCCTCCAAGGTATCAACTGCTACTTCAACGGACTTCGGAGTATCTTGAGTTTTTGGTTGTATCGGCTTCTTTTTGCCGCGCTCCCAAATCACTGGCTGTGGCTCTGGTTCTGTAATTGGTACGGGTTCTTCTACCAGAGTATCGACAGCGACTTCTTGAGTCTTGGGGATCTCTTGAGCCGTTGGCTGTTGGGGCTTCTTTTTGCCTCGCTCCCAAATTACTGGCTGGGGCTCTGGCTCAACAGTTGGCACGGTTTCTTCCTCCAGACTATCAACAGCGACTTCATGAGACTTGGGAATCTCTTGAGCCGCTGGCTGTTTGGGCTTCTTCTTGCCACGCTCCCACATTACTGGCTGTGGTTGGGACTCTGCAGTCTTACCGGTCTCTTCTTCTAAAGTATCTACGGCCACCTCAAGTGTTTTGGGAACCTCTTGCACTTGTTTTTCTGGCTGTTGGGGCTTAACTTCTTTACTACGTTCCCACATCACAGGCTGAGGTGGCTCCTGTTCCTGGGGTGTTATTTCTTCAACTAATTTGTCTGTAGATTCTTTGGTCGCCTCTTGAAGCGGTTCTTGAACAGTTTGTTGAACTGTTCGTGTACTCTTAAGAGGCTTTAATTGGAACTCTTCAGACTTCTGGACTGCTTTTGGAGGCTGTCGTGGCGTTGGCTTAAGTGTAACATGCTCTACTCTTTCTTCAGCCTCACGTGGTGGAATTACTCGGCGCACTGCCGTTTTCTTCGTTTCCTCAACGATTTGTTGCTGAACAACTTGTGTCGTCTGCACAATTTCCTGAGAATCTGTGACCTCCTGAGACATGGGCTTCTTCTTGCCGCGTTCCCACATGACTGGAACTGGTTCTGGTTGTTGAGCAATCACAGTTTCATCCAGTACGTCGTGTAGCTCCTCAAAGGTCTTTTGTTGCGTTTGCATGGGCTGCTTTTTGCCGCGCTCCCACATAACTGGCACTGGTTCCTGCTGTTGGACTGGAACTTGTTCAATTAACTCGTCGTGCATTTCCTCATATGTCATTGGCTTCTCCACATATTGTTCATGAACTGGAGCTGGGACTTGCACTTGCTCGGGCTTCTTGTTACCCCGATCCCAAAGAACGGCGTCCGGCTGAATCAGCTGCTGCTCTTGTGTATCCTGACGTTCTTGCAGGTGTAACAGAGACGAATCCTCAACCTGAATGAACTTCTGTGGCTCGCGTGGCTGACGCCAGTTGTGAGCTTCCTGTTGAGTGCGCTGGTTGATTAGCTTTTGGTGTTCATATTGCTCAAGGCTCATCATTTGTGAGTCCTCGATCTGCACGTACTGCTGACGCTGGGCCTCCTCCAAGATGCTTTCCTGCTGTACAAGTTTATGGCGTTCAGTAGTCTGTGAAATTGTATCTTCCACAGAGGTCAGTGGCTGCAATTTGGGACGCTGATGCTGCTGTCTCCAGTTGACTGCTTGTTGCTCTCTGATCAGTCGTTGTGCCTCCAGCTTTTCACGCTCCGAGACGTGCATTATGTTAACATCTTCTGTGGTGATGAACTGTTGTTTATAGATATTGGATTGATCCTCATAATGCTGAAGCTCATCGCGCGTCATAACTTTAGAAATTGAACCCTTTGCGCTATCGTCAATAGTCATTACAACTGTATCTTGGGTAGCATTCTGGAACTCTTCACTGATTGTATGTTGTGCCTGCAGATGACGTAGCTCAACCTCTTCAATCTTGAACTTGTCCATCTGCTTCGTCACTCGTTGCACGCTCTTAAGCTGTTGTCGCATCTCCTTCCATGGAATGAGATCCTTATTATTCTGTTGCTGGGTAATAAGCTTTTCAATTTGATCAGTCATTTCCATGATTTCCACACTTTCCATGCTCTTAAGGCGTTGGATTTCCTTGGTGCGCTGCACTTGCTCCACCTGCGCTTGTTTTGGCAATTGCTCGTCCGTCTCGATTTGACCCTCAAGTGGACGCAAGTAGACCTCATCAAGGTCAAATTTGCTTAACTGCTGCTGCACACTCTCCACCTGCTTGAGCTTCTCTCGCATAGTTATCCAAGGCACAGCCTCCTTTTCAGTTTTGCCAGCAATAATCTGCTCTAAGGTGGCGCCAAGACTCATGATGCCTTGATCCCTTTCGTTCTTGATAGACTTGAGGACAACCTTAGCGGCTTCAAGCTTAGGTGTTGGTTTCTTTTTCTCAATGGGCGTGGCCTTTAAGCTAATTGTCTCTTCGGTCCAGGATTTTACCGGCTCCGGCTTGAAACCCGGCAGGAATGGTTGCTTGTCTAGAGAGCGTCCACGGTGTGGACGCGAGGACTTGCGCCAAGGCACAACATTAGTCGGCGGCTGCAAGGATTTGCTGCGTACCTTAGGCTTCTTAGTACGCGACCGACCCTGATGCTGTACCTGCCCATTAACGCCCAGAAATTGACCATATTCGCCTGTCTGCTGCTGCGACTGCTGTTGCTGATGCGGCGATTCAGGAGAGCTATCTTCCCTGCCAGATGATGATGACTCATCTTCGACAGAATCAATCGGACGCAATTGATAAGCCGAGATACGTCGTTCTAGAAGTTCAAATGGAAGTTAATGTGTTAGTAGAGTATATAAGGGCGAGAAACGTCCTTGACACCAGAGTTCATAACAGTGTTGGACATAGCCTTAACAATGCATTTCTATTTAATCGCTTAACTTAGGCAAACGGTTAATTAAAGGGTGTGGCAACTTGATACATACCTCTGATATATACACCATGGTGCTTATTCGGAATATTAAAAATAAATCGAAATACCTTGCATATGTATGAACATATGTATAAACAATGAACTTGAAATATAAATTTAGTGTGCAAAATATTCAAATACCATGACAGAGCATATGAAATATTTCTGTTTATATGTAGAATTATTAAGCTGCCTAATATTAAAAGCCAAAGCCAGAAGGGGCACGACAGCCACAAATCATATTGCTTTACACACTCGCTCATAATAGCCCATCTATGTTCAATAATTTGGTAATTAAATAATTTGACTCTCCTATCAGCTCAATATTTGACATTGATAAAGCAAAAGATATATATTATAGAATGCGAGCATGTTTCGTGATTCATTAATCGTCTGTGACGAATCTCACCTGTGATTCTTGCATTAACCCAAAGCTTTTTTTTGGCACTTATTCAATGCGACAGTCATTAATATTTATCATCAGCTAAGTACAGCGGCTTCATCATCATGACGAAGTATTGCCCAAAATAATGATCGGGCTGGGCGAATACAATTAAGATTGAGAGCAAACAATTCAAATGCCTGTTTACAATACACGCCCAAAATAGATTTATGATTAGTGGCGGCTACGTCACCAGGTGGGGTAAACAGTTTCAACAAGATTCTTTGGCGGTTCTCTGTCTCTGTGTGGACGATATTGGGTATTTTTGGGGTGAGCATCGCAGCGCAGCGCAGCCAGCGCAGCGCGGCGCATTCGAGCGATCTCATTCGGATGTAGACAACAATCGAGCACAGAAGGTAGTCGAATTGCCACACGGGGAAAATGTGTGGATAACTTAAAAAGTGCAGTCCTCAAGTGTTGTAAACCGTTAACATAAAACATTAAAGTACTACTTATAATACTGTTGATCTTTATATACATATACATTACCTATAATCGGTAGGAGCAAGCAGCAGCAAGGATGCGCAAGCATAAGGCATATTGGAAGTTATCAAAAACGATTATCAATTGATGATGCATTTGCGTTATTTTATTGAAAGACGCGATATTGGTTTTAAGCATTAAATACATGAGAAATACAATTAAACAACAAAAGTGTGGTATGGAAGAACAAAAGAATTATTGAATTGATCGATCGAATCGGATCGGATCTTGATTATCAATCGATCGAGCCACACTTAAAACACGAAACGTAAACATAAACATAAATTGATAAACTGACAGAGGAATCCGAGTATCTCAATGTATTTGTAGATCAAACTTAAAACAAAAGTCGCATGAGCTTTTATGATTAATTTTTTAGTAAAGCATTTTACCACAAAGTTTACAATAAACATATTGGCGGCTTAAGCGGAAAATACTTTCATCGGATATGCTGATTTCTTATGGATTTTTTTCGAAAATTGAATCGGTTTGTGTGTTTGGAAATGCGATATAGTTTGAGAGTGGTAACAAAAAGTGGAAGAAATGAGAACGAAACAAATTAGTAGTAAAAAGCGGCAATAAAAAATGAATAATAAAATCTCATGCAACATCACTACAAAATAAATAATTGTAAATTAAATAAACAATACAAATTGATTATAATCAAACGTCAAATAATATAATAATACGTTTCGAGGCTTGTCCGAACAATCATATATGTGTATATATATTGCTGTCTCTGTCTAGGTCAAGTACATGGTCGAGTACATGGTAAAAGTTTGATCGTAATACTTGAAAGTATCGTTCCAATATCTAACGTTCAATACTAATATGCATTTCTTTCGTTTAACAGGGATTGCTGCTAAATTGTCGGTTGGATATAAAATAGGCGCTAGCTGGGGTCTACCTTCTAAAAATAAAAACAAATGTGTGAATCAGAGGCAGAGGACCGATTTGATGAGTGAACTACCGTAACTGATTAATTTAATTAAAACCATTTCTGCACCATAAACAGAGTCATTTGTTCATGTTCTTGTCTAATGACTAACATATACCCAAATGAATAGCCATGTGCATTTGCATTTGTGTGTGTGTGCTTATAGATCTCTGGCAAATCGGCTACTCATATCTTGTCTATGCAGAAAACAAACAACTTGTAGGTAATTAATTATTTTATTTTTGCCTGAACTAAATGTCAGTTTATTTTCATCAGCGCCCGAACATTGAAAGCCAATATATTTTATTTTATTTTTCTAATTTTTAAATGGAAGAGAATTGAAATAAATTTCATGATTTACTAGAAAAATACATAAAATGTTTTTCATTGTAGCCACAAAAGAAATATCCAGACAGCGCTCCGGTCTAAAAATATCAAACGGTTTGTTCATTTTTTTGTTCTTTTTTTTTCTAGCTAATCTATTGGAAATTAGTCTTCAAAGCAAAAACATTTTCCAAAAAAGAAATTGAAAATAGAATAGACAGCAACCATACCTATATAGTATAGGAGCATAGCATATAGATAATCTGCTTGTTGGCAGCTGAAATTCAATGTCTGCAATGCCTTTCAATATTTTCGCTTTTTGCTCATTAACGTATCCCCCCTTTGGTTGTGCTAGTTTTGCGCACGTTCATTTCTAGATATTCATATAAGTATTTGGTGGCTATGGTGTGGACATGGATACAGCAGAGCTGAGGCTACGAGGAACCGTGTGCGCTAGATGTGTCATCCATAATATTTTATGCTAATATTCAAATGAAAAATAAAACTTTCAAGCTCGAGCGGAGGCGGGACAAATGTGCGTTCTGCACACGGCCCCAAAACTATTCCGACACATGTTTCTATATGTTTTCTTATACACATAGCTATATGTAGGCTAGATACAGAAGGAACTCAACATATTTATAAAGTGCCTGAGCTGTATATACACATGCATGTGTTAGGTATTCGGACCAAAATGAAAGTACATAAGCTGCCTTATTTATAATTCTCACTCAAGGGGCAAGTGTTGAGTGTTTTTCTTTTACTTTGCACAAGATTTTCACTCATATTTCAAGATTTTTGAATTTTATATACAACCGACAAGCTATTCCCTCTTGATTGGCTATGCCAAAAAGAAAATGTTCTATAAATATTTATATTGCAAAATACTTGTAATTATTATTTTTTTTATTATTATTAATTTCTTTTTAAATAAACTTGCTTTTTTTTTTGTTTTTGTTACCTTTTTCGTTTTTTAAACATCGTTCATTAAATTGTTGCTTGGGTTCACATTTTGAAGTTGGTTAGTAATTAAAAGAACTCGTTCGTTGTTTTAAATGAAGTCATATTGTAGTAAAAATATAAAAATGAAACTGTCGTAACGTTCGCTTTAAAATATTCTTCGCTCAAACTTTTTGGACTAGTTTTTGAAAGTACTTAGTTAGTTGGGCTGAAACGTCGTCAGTATAGGGATCCGTTGTGTAAAAAAATATATGCATATATAAATATATGAATAATCCTTTCGTTTTTGGTCGTTATGTTTTTTGAGCATTCTTTGGAGTTTTCGAACACTGTTCGCTTACGTTTGTTTTCTTGCTGTTTACGAACTCTGGTTTTGGTTTTGCTTAGTTTTTAGTTTAATCCTTACTTTTAACAGTCAGTTTGGCTGATGACTCGACCTGTCCAGTTGACGAAGTCACACGTACTGTAAAGATGCCCGAATCTTCCTCGTAGGTGGTGGCAATCAATAGAACGGCACTGTTACCGTCAAAGATCATCTGAAATGATATCAAAGTTGGTTTAATCGAATGATTTTGGTTATTGCAAAGACATATTTCTGTATTATATTGAAGTCATTTTTACTCAACCTACCTGGAAATCGGGTGTTTCAGGTATCAGCTGTCCCTCTCGGAACCACTGCACACTGGTAGCTTTCACTTTGCCCGTGACAGTGGTTTTGAACTGTGCTGGCATACCTTCGCTGACGGAGACATCCTTAAGAGCGGTTATGGTTGGTGGTGCATCCAGATTCTCAATGGGGCGCACCTTGAGCTGCGCACTGGTCTGAATACTGCCCAGCTTGTTTTCAGCAACGCACTTGTAGGTGCCTTCATCTTCGGGGAATGCCTCCGATATGATAAGCTGATAGTATTCGCCTTGGCGCGTCATTTGGAAGTAGCGGGATGGCTTCACGAAGTTCTCGCCACGCATCCAACGAGCTGTGGGCGTGGGCTTGCCATCCACACGGCAGCGGAAGATCACCTTGCTGCCCTCCTCCACGGACTGGCTTTTCAGCTGCTCCACAATGTGCGGTGGCCTCTCGCTACCAGGCGTAGTTGGCTTTTCCGGCTTTGCGGGAGACTGGACAATGCAATCACCATCGCAACGTGCCTCGCCAGCGGCATTAACAGCCACGCACTCATAGCGGCCAGAATCTTCGGCGAAGGGTTCAATGATCAGCAATGTATGAATGTTGTCCTCTTCCAGCATCTTGAATTTAATGCTTGGCTGAACCTTCATGCCGTTCTTTAACCAGTAAACATCCATGGGGCGCGTGCCAGTCACCTTGGCATCGAAGCGTGCTAGTTGTCCGGTGGCCACGGTGGTGCTTTGAATGGTATTTACAAAGCTAGGCGGCTGTATGCCGCCTTTGCCGGCACGTCTACGCTCCTCCACTACCAAGTTGGCGCTGCATTTGGCAGTTCCACCACGATTCTCGGCCACACACGAAAACACAGCCGAGTCCTCAATGAAAACTTGGCGTATGATTAAAATGGATTTACCGCTGAACGTGTGAATCTGCAGATCGGGTGAATTCTGGATGGGGAAGCTCTCGCGATACCATTTCACAGTGGGCATAGGTTCGCCCTCAAACTCAACCTCGAATTTGGCCTGCTCATTTTCAAAGACGCGGCATGGCTGAATCTTCTTGGTAAAGACAGGTGCCTTTGCGGGTTTGACGGGACCCTTTACAACGCGCTCCTGTATTGTGCCCTTGTGCTCCATTTCTGTTGTCTCAGTAGCCGTGATCTTGCGAGTGATCTCCAAATCGCCTTGAATCTCCTTCTGAACTTGCTGCTGTTTGTTCATGTGCACCTCCCGTCCATGCACCGAGGATTCCGAAGGTTGGGCTACGCCCTTTGGTGGTGCCGCCTTGATTTGAGTGGTGCTGGTCTGCTCCTGACTGTAGATATTGAAGTTGAGAAGTTGTAATAAGTTACTGGAATAAGTGCATGTGCACTTACAGATTCTCCTCGTAGGACTGTGCCATGCCCTTGGCAGCGGAGCTGCTGACAACCTTCTCGCCGGGTATGGCATATTGATGATTATCTCTGCGTAATGTGGTCTCTTTAAGCAGCTGCTCGGTTTCCAGCTCCTGCAACTTGTTGTAGTACTCCTCGCTCTTTTTGGCCTTGACGCTCTGTTGCCACTCGGGTGTTTGTGGCTTATACTGCTTGGGCTTCAAGTGTTCAACGCCCTTCAGAGTGTGCGCACTCTGCTCAGACAAATATTGCTTACGTTCATCGAATACCTTTTCTAACTCGTTCTCCTGACGCTCCTTCTGATAGCCTGCTAGCTCATAATCGTACCAGGCTACATGCAAAAACAAATTTACTAGATTAAACACTTTCCAGAGGCTATAGCTAGGCACATAGAGACCATTACGAAGAAAAAATAACTATTTGCATGCCATTATTATCATATTGGTTAGATAAAACTGCATTCCTATAGCTTTAGTTTTAGTACATGAATTAAAATAAGTAGAAAGACATGACAAATATTTTTGATGATATTCACAGAGGCTTACTAACTCCTTTAGGTTTTTGATTCAATTGCTTATGAAGACAGACAGAAGTTGAATATGATCAGCCACAGTTTAGAACAGACAGTCTTTAAAACACGCACACTAAAAACTTGCACAACCATACTACCCGATGGTCCAGCGATACTTAGTGATGGAGTCCATAAAGGCGTAGTTCCCTCTGGGTCGCTCCTTGAAAGCTCGTTGAGTAGACAACAAAAGGCTCTTGTGGGATAATTAGAGGAAAGCGTTTTCTCGTAGGGAATTGGGTATATTGTAATGGGGTTTTGTGGCTCTCAGTTGTCTGACCTACATATACTCTATATATTTGTGGCATGTGCTTCAAACGCAATAAACTTGGTTGCTGGACCTACGTCTACTTAAATATGCGTACTATGTGGACCTTATATGTATATATTTATATATGTATGTATATTTACAATGAGGTATTTAATGTTTTTCTTGTTTTTCTTTTTAGTTTTGCCAGCTAAAAACTACTGCATTTAAAATGTGTGTTAATTTCATATAGCTGTTAAAATAATTTATATTTATATATATCTGCTTGTATAACCAGGTGTATTTGAAACAAGTGTGTGGGTGCGTGTATGTATATGTGTGACTTACGGCGTGGTGAGTTCTTGAGCACATTGCGATAATCATCAGAGCGTGCGACAACATTCAGTTCGGTCGAAGCAATCGATTCGCCCACAGAGTTGCGCGCTATAACCTCCACCTTGCCAGTATCATATTGACGCGTCTTGGGTACATCAAGATGGAACATGCCATCGTTGGTCAGCTTGTAACGAGATCCCTTTATATAAGGAAATTAGTATGCAAAAGGCAATTAATTGTGACTGCGGAAACCTACATGCACAACAGTGTGACCATTGATTAACCACATGACTCGAGGACGTGGATGTCCGGTGACGCGCACACAGAACCTAGCGGGTTCACCCTCCTCTACCGTCTGGGGCTCCAGCTTGCTAACAAACATGGGCTTCGTTCTGGGCTTGGCATCAGGATCAACTTCATCGGGCACACTGTGAGGACAGGTAATAAATGTATCGACTGGGTTTTTATAGCTTATACTTCAGGCAACTTACACTTGCCAGGAAGCTTCCATTTCGCGAATGCGATCAATACTCTGCATATGGGCCGGCAATTGGGAGTCGTAGACAATACCTGGCTTGCCGGAAACCTTGATCAGAGCACGAGTCTCGTCCATGCCATACAAGTTTGTGGCTCGGCAAACGTATTCGCCGCTGTCCTCGGGATATACCCAGCCGAAGTTCATGGCCACATAGCCAAAATCGTAGATGGGCTCGAAGCGATTTTCTGCATGTATAAGTTTATTATAAAATATTTTGGTTATGGGCTTTCTGTACTTACTGTAGAGCAAGGGCTTGCCATTAAAGAACCATTCGACCTTCATGTTCGGATCACCTACAGGCGCCAGCTGACACTCGAATTTGGTTTTGGCCATCTCCGTCAATGTGAGCTGTTCCTTGATCTGGGTAACAAAGCGAGGTGGCTGTTTGCGATCGGGATCGAAAAGATCATCCTCGGTTAAATGCACCTCGGTCGTGTACTTCTTGATTGTGGCCTCCATTTGGGTGAGCGTTTCGGAGCGTTTCATGCCACGTGGCACTTGATTTTGCAGCAATATCGTAGGCAATTCTAGGAAGAGATTTGAGGAAGATTATAATAAATATATTCGAGCGATATATGATATGACTTACTCTTGCAGGAGACAGTAGCCTTGGTGCGATCCTCGCCATGATTGTTGACAGCACGGCAAACGTACTCGCCAGAGTCGTCGCTGTACACATACAAAATGTCCAGCGAGACGAAGCCCATGTCAAAAACGTTTCTATAGCGATGACCCAGGGGCAAAGGTTTGCCATTGCGATACCATTCAACGCGCAGGCTGGGATCCGTCTTGGGCTCTACTTGACATTCGAACCTCACGGCTTCAGATTCCTCGGCCGTGCATGAAGCTATTTGAGTGATGAACTTCGGTGGTCCAAACTGCTCCTCAACAATCTGGGGTACCTCTGGTATGCGTCCGCGTTCCAGTTCCTTTAACTTCTCTGCGGTCATGCCCTCAGGCAGCTGTGATTCATAAACAATGTTGTGCTTGCCCTTGCAGGTGACCTTTGCAGTGGTGGTGGCAGTGCCCCATTTGTTGGTGGCACGGCAGGTATACTCGCCGGAATCGCGGGCATAGATGTAGTCAATATCCAAAGCAATGAAGCCAAAGTCGTTCAGTTGATGCACTCTGGAGCCGGTGGCCATGACACGTCCATTGTAGAACCATTCGATGCGCATTGTTGGATCACCAACGGGCTCTACACGGCAATCGAAGTGTATCGGTCCACCTTCGGGCACATCCAAGTTATCCTTGATTTGTTCAATAAACTTGGGTGGATTTGGTTGCTCCTCATCGATGACAATCTCTTCCCGCTTGTGCATGCTCTCCTCCAGCTTTTGCAGGCTCTCAGTGCCAGTGCGGAAGTTGGAGGGCAACTGCGGCTCCACAACAATGCCTTGGCGACCCTTGACCTGCAGTTTGCAGGACACCGTGGCTTCCCCATGCTTGTTGGTCGCCTTGCAGGTATACAGACCTGTATCACGCTGGTAGCAGCCGGCAATCTCAAGAATGACAAAGCCAAAGTCGTTAATGGTCTTAATGCGAGAGCCGGACCATAATGCCTTGCCGTTGTGGAACCAGTCCACACGCATGGACGGGTCGTTAATGGGTTGCAGACGACACTCGAAGTGGGCCAAGGAGTTCTCTCCGATGACCATGTCGAAAGGTGTCGTAATAAATTCAGGCGGCTTGCCTGTATCGTCTTCCGGTACAAACTCTGTGCTGCGCGAGCCCAGACCCTCCAGCTCGGCGATACGATCGATGGTGCCCTCCATGCCCTTGGGCAGTTGCGATTCCATGATGATACTGCGCTTGCCCTGAATTTTCATCGTTGCGGTGGTCACAGCCTCACCGTACTCATTGATGGCACGGCACGAGTATTCACCCGAATCTTCGGGATAAACGGGCGAAATTTCCAAGATGACAAAACCAAAGTCGCAGAAGGTGCGGAAGCGTGAGCCTGCCTTCAATGGGCGGCCATTCCAGTACCATTCTACCTTCAGCTTGGGATCATCGGCGGGCGTTATGCGTGCCTCGTAGTGAGCATTCTCGCCCTCGCGCAGGTTTTCAATATTCTCCAGTGGCACGGTGAATACAGGTGCCTTACCTCTGGTTTCTTCAGTAGTCTCCTCACGCGAGCGTACCATGCTGTACTCTAGATTGGCAATCTTCTCCAGACCACCTTCCATGCCTCGTGGCAGCTGTGAGTCCAAAATAAGACTGGCCTTGGATGCGCACTTCAGACTAGCACGAGTAACATCCTCGCCGTACTTGTTGTAGGCACGGCACTCGTAAACGCCAGAGTTCTCCTCGTAGCAATAGAGTATGTCCAGGATGACAATGCCAAAGTCGTGGAAGGTGCGGAAACGATGGCCATGTGGAAGCTTCTTGCCATTGAAATACCATTCAACCACCAAGTCAGGATCGGTAATCGGCGTCAGGCGGGCCTCGAAGTGAGCGCTCTGGCCCTCCACCAGCTTGGTGACATCGCTGATCTGCGTAATAAACTTGGGTGGTTCGGCAACCAGCGGTGCGCTGGTATCAGTCTGCTGTCCCTGTGGGCATTCCAGCTCACGAATCCTTTGCAGTGAATCGGGCTGCAAGCTGTCGTAGAAAACGCCGCCACGACCACCACAGTTGAGAGTGGTGCGAGTGAAGTCCTCGCCATATTTGTTGTAGGCTCGGCAAACATATTCACCACTGTCGTGATCCTGCAGATAGGCAATGTCCAGGACCACATAGCCAAAGTCGGATACCGTCTTAATGCGATTGGAGTGACGGAGCAGTTTGCCATTATGATACCACTCGACCTTGAGCTCCGGATCATTAACCGGAATCAAGGTGCACTCAAAGTGCGCAGATTGACTATCCTTCAGGCCCTGCAGCGGCTGAATATGCGAGGTGAAGTGCGGCTTCTGACCACGTGGCTTCTCCACACACTCCAAAGTGCAGCTAATCTCAGCCGAACCATATTTGTTAGTGGCACGGCAGGTGTAGGTGCCAGTATCCTCGATCTTGGTGCCCAGCACTTCCAGTGCAACGGTACCAAAGGCATAGATGGTGCGAACGCGATGGCTGGCCTCAAGAACCTTTCCGTTGAAGAACCATTCAATGACCATGCTCTGATCTCCCAGAGGTATAAGATTGGCCTCGTAATGGGCCAGCTCGCCTTCGCCAATATCCACAATGTTAACGAATTCGGTGGTGAAACGTGGTGCAATGCCCTGTTCTGGCTGCTCCGGCTTGCTGCCATCCTTGCGCAATGAGTCCTCTAGATCTTGAATTTGCTCCAGACCCTCGGCGCCCTTTGGATGCTGAGTGGATTCAATGATATTGTCCTTGCTAGAGCAGAATATTGTTGTAGAGGTGAATGCCTCGCCAGCCTTGTTGTAGGCCTTGCAAGTGTAAATGCCCTGATCTCTGGAGTACACTTCTATCATATCCATGGTAACGAAACCGAATTCAGTGGTCATCTTAAAGCGTGAACCATGCTGCAGCAGCTTGCCATTGAAATACCATTCGATAACTAAGTTGGGATCCTCTTTGGGCTCCACATTGGCTTCCAGATGGATGGGTTGCGCCTCGGAAAGGTGGAACTCCTGCTGCAGTGGCTTAGTCCAGACGGGTGGTGGGTATTGAGTCTCCGGCTTGGTTGTCTTCTGGGCATATCGATTGGCCAATGCCTCTTCCGTTTCCTGCACAGCTTCTAGACCGCTCTCACCCTGTGGATGTTGGGTGTCCAAGAACATGGTCTTGCCACCAGTGCATTTCAATGTTCCAGAAGTGGTGGCCGAGCCCTTGCTATTGGTGGCCTTGCAGGTATAGATGCCGCTGTTCTCGGCATACGCATTGGTCAGATCCAGGGCACAATAGCCAAAGTCATAGATGGACTTGAACTTGGCAGCGGCCTGCAGGGGTTGTCCATTGTAGAACCATTCAATCTTCATAGTTGGATCACGGGCTGGCTCTACATTGCACTCGAAGCGTACATTGTCGCTCTCCTTGCACTCAATGTTGTTCAGATGTGTGATAAACACGGGCGTCTCATAAGTCGGCTCTGGGGCCTCTGGACGACCCTCCTTAGGTGCCTCCAGCTCACCAATTCGTGGCAGTGAGTCCGGATGCAAGGACTCAGCGTGTAGCCAGTGGCGATCTTCAATCTTGAGTGACGAAGTCGACACCGCCTCGCCCACCTGGTTGGTGGCTTTGCAAGTGTAAATAGCGGAGTCATCCTCACGCAAGCCATTAATGGACAAGGTAACCAAGCCAAAGTCAAAGGTGCTGCGTATACGAGAGCCGGTGGTCAATGAGATGCCGTTCTTGAACCACTCAATGCGCAGATTGGGATCGGCGCGTGGCTCTACCTGAGCCTCCAGAAGAACATGCTGACCCTCGTGCAATTTGTCATAGCTCTGCAAGTGGGTGGTGAAAACTGGAGCCTGCTGTGGTGTAGAGTCCACAAACATTTCAGGCACACGGTTCATTGCTGCCTCCTTCAGGCGAATGGCCTCCCAGGACTCGGGAATCAAGGGCTGTCCATCAATGTTGGCTCTCGTCTTCACCTTCATGGCAGTGGAAGACACAGCCTCGCCAGCGGCATTGTAGGCGCGGCACATGTACACACCAGCATCCTCAGGCACCACAGCGGCAATGTCCAGAGTGACAAAGCCAAAGTCGTGGGTGGTGCGCAGACGGGATCCCATTTGCAGTTCCACGCCATTAATGAACCACTCGAACTTGAGTGAAGGATCACCCACAGGTACAACACGAGCTTCAAAGTGCGCATGTGCACCCTCCCACAGCTCAGACGGACCTGTAAGAAGCTGTGTGAAGATGGGCTTCTCGAAGAGACGCTCCGGCTCGGTGGGAAGTGGAGCCAGCGGCTTCTCCAGCTGATGAATACGACGGATGCTGTCCGGATGTTGAGTATCCATTTGGATGCTAGCCTCAGTAACCACGCGCATAGACGCGGTGGTGACGGCCTCACCCAGCGGATTGATGGCGCGACACATGTAAACGCCCTCGTCCTCCTTGCGGATGTGCGAGATATCCAGCGAAACAAAGCCAAAGTCATGCTGCTTAGTAATTCGGGAACTATCTTCGATCAGTTTCTCGTTACGGTACCATTCGACCTTCAGGTTGGGATCACCCACTGGAATCAGACGAGCTTCAAAGTGGGCGGTCTGGTGCTCATTGATGCGGTCAATATTTTGAAGCGGTTGTGTGAACACTGGACGCTGGCGTGTGCCAGGAGTTTCAACTTCCTGGCGCTGATGCGGTGCCGTCGACTCCAATTTACGTATCTTCTCTAGGCCTTCAGGATGTTGAGTGTCTGAAATAATAGTGCCGCGGGCGATCACTCGCAGATTGGTCGTAGATACGGCCTGACCCAAGGCATTAACAGCACGCACAGAATATTCGCCCGCATCTTCGGCCACGGCATGAGTAATGTCTAATGATACATAGCCAAAGTCAAAGGTGATGTGGAATCGGGCAGCCGATGGCAGGGGCTTGCCATTATGATAGAATTCAATTCGCAAGTTGGGATCGTGCACGGGCGCCACCTGGGCTTCAAAGTGAGCCGTTTGCCCCTCGTATATCTCTGTGGAGCCACGCAATTCAGCGGTGAAATGGGGTGGACCAATGGGGTGATCGCCGACTTCGGTGCGTGTGGTGACAACCTTGGACTCCAACTTCTGTATTTTCTCCAGTGCATCAGGATGCTGAGTGTCCAAAATCATGCTGCGTCGGTTCAGCACACGCACATTGCAGGTATTGACCGCTTCGCCCAGGAGATTGGTGGCCTTGCACATATAAGTGCCTGTGTCCTCGCCATAAACGTATAAAATGTCCAGAGCTACGTAGCCAAAGTCGTGGGTGGTGCGATAACGATGTCCAGTAGGCAATTGCTTTCCATTGCAGAACCACTCGATCTTCAGATTGGCATCATTGATAGGTTCAACGCGACACTCCAAATGGCCGTGCTCGCCCTCCTTAAGATGCTCTAGATTGCTAAGTGGGGTAAGGAAAATTGGTTTCTGTCCTTTCTCCTCCACTTCGACCTTTGCGGGTGCCACATAGGTTTCAAGCTGGCGAATCTTCTCCAGTCGTTGAGCATCGAGCGTATCCAGATCCAGTGTCTTATTTGCTAAAAGTTAACACCGATTAGTAATGAATATGGATTGGCGATCTGCAAGCTTACCTGTTACGTTTACAGCACAAGTCGTGACAGCTTCCCCAACAGCATTTTTAGCCTTGCACATGTAGGTGCCCGTATCTTCGGCGTGGGCATACAGTATGTCCAAGGCAACAAAACCGAAATCGTAAGTGGTCTTGAAACGGTGTCCCGACTGAATGGGTTTGCCATTGCAATACCATTCGACCTTCATAGTGGGATCGTTCACGGGGATCAGTGTGGCTTCAAGATGTACGGGTGTGCCCTCATTGACCTTGGCATTACGCAGTGGGCGTCCGAACTGTGGACGCTCTGCGTGGAATTGATCCTCTTCGGTTTTGCGCTGGAAGCGGGATGTATCTTCCAGATGCTGAATCTTATGCAGCGCCTCCTCGTGCTGGGTTTCATGAATAATTGACGAACGGGAAGTCACATTGAGGGCAATCGAGTTGACAGCCTCGCCCAGATTATTGGTCACACGGCAAGTGTATTCCCCACTGTCTTCCGCATAGACAGTGAGAATGTCGAGGGCGGCAAAACCAAAATCGTAGGTGGTGCGGAAGCGATGGCCGGTGCTCAGGGGCTTACCGTTATGTAACCACTCAACCTTCAGATTTGGATCCGGATAGGGTTCAATGCGGCACTCGTAATGGGCACTTTGACCCTCAACCAGATTGGTGGGTCCAATAAGCTTGGTGACAAACGTGGGCGCAGTGGTAACGGTATATTCCTCCTCCTCACGGCGCTGGTACTTGCTGTGATCCTCTAGCTGATGAATCTTGTGCATGGCTGCTTCGTGCTGTGTCTCAAGCTGAATGGCCGTCTTAGACTGCACAATCAGAGAGGCGGATGTCACGGCCTGACCCAGCTCGTTAACCGCACGGCAGGTATAGGTGCCAGAATCCTCGGGATTGACGTACTTCATGTTCAGAGCCACATATCCAAAGTCGTGCATGGTGGTTGTGCGATTAGAAGCCTCAATGGGCTGGCCATTGCGCAGCCATTCAACCTTGAGTTTTGGATCACCCACGGGAATGAGACGGGCTTCAAAATGCACAGCTTGGTTCTCAGCTACACGAACATCCCTCACGGGCATGGTAAAGACCGGAGCCTGCGAGACAAACTCATCCTGAACGCTAATGCGTTGACGCTTGGAGCCATCCTCCAAGTGCTGCAGTCGTGGCAATGCAGTCTCGTGCTGGGACTCCAAATAAATGGACTTCTTGGTGTGCACCACGGCAACGGCAGAGGTGATGGCTTCACCCACTGCATTGTAGGCACGGCAAGTGTAGGTACCCGCATCCTCTGGCAGAGTGGACATAATGTCTAAGGCAACGAAGCCAAAGTTGTTGGTCTCTGTAAAACGGGAGCCAGATTTTAAGGGCAAGTTGTTGTGGTACCATTCTACACGCATGGAGGGATCGGAAACCGGAATCAAACGGCATTCAAAGTGGGCACGCTGATTTTCCTTGATCTCAATGTTTTTCAACGAGGTGGTGAAGACTGGCGCCTGCTTGGTGCTCTCGTCGATTTCCTCGCGGCGGCTATATCGCGAACGATCCTCCAGATAATGAATCTGCTCCAAACCAGCCTCGTTCTGGGTAACGGTGACAATTTGTTCGCCGCTGCGGCATTGCAGCTCCACCTGAGTTTCATCGGAGCCAATCTGATTAACAGCGCGGCAAGTGTAAACACCAGAGTCCTCTGCAATCAGGCCAACAATATCCAAAGCCACGTAGCCGAAATCATGTATGGGACGGAAACGATGGCCTACAGTAATAGGACGGCCATTCTTAAACCACTCCACTTTCAGATTGGGATCAGTGACTGGCTCTATTTTGCACTCGAAGTGCGCGTGGGCACCCTCGCGGGTGTTGGTCAGGCTCTTTGGATGGGTAAGAAAGCGTGGACGAATTTTGACCACCTCATCAACAAACTCATTACGACGATACCGTGAGGAATCCTCCAGATATTGGATCTTCTGCAGGCCAGACTCATTCTGGGTTTCCAGAATCAAATCTTTTTTGGCGATGATGCGAACGGAGGAAGAGGTGACAGCCTCGCCCAATTGATTACGTGCTTGGCACGTGTAGACGCCCGAATCAATTGCATAGCAGCCGAGCAAGTCCAGCGCAACATAGTCAAATTCGTAAGCGGGACGGAAACGATGGCCCGTCTTTACTGGCTTGCCATTAACAAGCCATTCGATGCGCATGCTAGGATCGCCCACGGGCTGCAGGCGGCACTCCAGATGCACATTGGTGCCTTCGACGGTTTCGATGTTATGAAGTGCACGTGTAAACTGCGGCGCCTGCATGATGGTTATATCTTCTTCCTGATGGTGACGCCGACGCGAGTCTTCAAGCAACTGAATCTGCTCCAACGATTGCTCATTTTGAGTTTCAGTCACCACATCGGTGCGATCAATTACACGCACACAGGCGGAGGTGTGGGCTGAGCCCAGATGATTGGTGGCGCGCACAGTATACTCGCCAGAGTCCGCTGCCGTAGCCTGGATAATGTCCAGGGCGACGAAACCAAAATCGTAGTAGGTGCGGAACCTTGAGCCGACGGTGACTGGGCGTCCGTTATGGAACCATTCAACGCGCATTGTAGGATCTCCCATGGGCTCAAGACGGCACTCCAGATGAATATTTTTGCCATCGTGTATGGGCTTGGGATCGGTAAGAGGCTGCACAAAGACGGGCTTCGACTTTGAGATCTCCTCGATGTCATACTGTGGCTCCACGAAAGGTTTGTTCTCCAGATTCTGCGTTTTTTCATAGAGGCCGCGGTGCATGCTAGATGTGTCGATGTTGGAACGAGCTGCAAGAGAAACAGTTAGATATAATTATCTCACAGGGTTTAAAGGATTAGCTACTTACTTTCCACTACCATCGTTGCTTGCAATTGAGCTTCACCTAGCTTGTTTCTAGCTACCACAGTGTATATGCCCGCATCCTCGGCGCGCACCTGTGAAATGTCCAAGGCAACATAGCCGAAGTCATAGTATGTTTGTATACGATTGGCTGCGGTAATAGCGCGGCCATTGTGATACCATTCGATGCGCATGCCCAGATCACTTTGTGGCTCCACGCGCGCCTCAAAGTGAGCGCGTTGACCCTCCAGGATCTTGGTGGTGCCCTTGAGTGGGCCCAGGAAGCGCGGTGCCTGTGTTATGTACGTTTCCTCCTCCTCACGACGACCATAGCGTGATGAGTCCTCCAAATGCTGGATCTTTTGCAGACCACCCGGATGTTGCGTATCCGAGACAATCTCGTTCTTTGATATGACCGTACACTGGGCCGTGGTTGTATCCTGCCCCATGGCATTGTAGGCGCGGCAAGTGTAGGTGCCAGCATCGTATATGGTTATCTGCTTGATGGTCAACGCGACGTAGCCAAAGTTATGATAGGTGGTTATGCGCGAGCTTGCCTCAAGAGGTTGCCCATCCTTAAGCCACTCCACGCGCATGGTTGAATCGCCAATGGGTTCGAGACGTGCCTCGAAATGCGCATGCGCGTGCTCACGCAAATCCAACTGATTCTGGATTGGTGTTTTAAATTGGGGCGGCGCAATGGCCTCCGGGGCCTCCTGGACGTGGCGACGCTGCTGGGACTTGCGGTAGTCCTCCAATTCCTCAACCTTTTCTATGTAACGCTGCTGTTCGGGTATGCCCAGATCAGCGGTGACCTGGGAGCGCATGTGCACGCGTATGGTGGACTGGCTGATGGCTTCACCAATGCGATTTACGGCACGCACGGTGTAGTTACCGGCATCTTCGGCGCGTAGGTGCAATATGTTTAGGGAGACATAGCCGAAGTTAAATATGGCCGTGATGCGCGAACTAGCGGTAATTGGTAAGCCATCCTTGTACCATTCCACACGCATGCTGGGGTCATTAACTGGGGTCACTTGCGCCTCAAAGTGCACATTCTTGCCCTCCTCGAATTCACCCAGATCGCGCAGTGGACGTATAAATTGTGGAGCTTGATTCATCAACTCCTCTGAGCTCTCCTGGCGTTGATAGCGCGAGTAATCTTCCAGCTGGTTGATGTAATGCAAACTGTTCGGATTCTGCGACGATTGCTCAATGGATGGTCGCTGGACCACAGACAAAATGGCCCGCGACTCTGCCACACCGCTGGCATTGCTGACTCGACACATGTATTCTCCAGAATCGTGACCCATGATGCTCAGCAGATCCAGAGCAATGAAGCCAAACTTGAAGACAGATGTGGCGCGGGCACCTGCGGAAGCATAACAGAGATTAAGCAAAAGTATATGCATTATGTATCCCAGCTACTTACTGGCTGCCAGCGGACGACCATTGAGGAACCATTCGACGACCATGCTTGGATCGCCGACGGGTTCAATGCGCGCCTCCATGTGGACTCGACCACCTTCGGTTTGCTGCACATTTTGCAGGGGTATAATGAACTGTGGTGGAGGATAAACGCGATCCTCCTCGCCAGGTCGCAGATGGGGCTTGGCGCGTTCCACATGGCGCAAATAAATGATTTCAGGACCAGGGATTGGCCTAAAAAGAAAAAACCTATGTAATAAATTGGATAAATGTTTAATAGGCGTGCATGACTTACTCAGGCTCGATAACTTTCGTTGGTCTTGGTAGATTAAGACGCCTTTGTTCTTGACTTGGTTGCTCTCTGGGAACTTCGACATAGAGTCTTGCCCGGTTCGCTGTGGAACCGGCAATATTTTGTGCGGTACACTGATACCAGCCAGCATCGCTTGCTTTGACTTGGGGTATCTCCAGGCAGGTGGCGCCGCCATCAATGCCCACAAAGCGTTCAGCAGTTGATGAAATTTGTACACCATCCTTTTGCCAGGTGATGCGCGGCACTGGTGTGCCAATGGCATTGGCGCTCATGCTAATGGGCTCACCCTCGCGCACAGTCATCGTGCTGAAGCGTTGAACAAATTGTGGTGCGACAACTTGCTCTTTCTCCAGTACATGCAGCTGCGCCTCGATGGCAACCTCACCGGCCTTGTTGCGGGCCAAGCATTGCACAGCGCCGCCATCTAATCGGCTCACGTTTGTGATCATCAGCGAATGGCTGCCGGACTCGTTGACCAGGATCTTGTGCGAGGCATCGTCGCGCACTTGACGGCCATTGATAAACCAAAAGACCTCGGGATAGGGATTGCCAGTAACACGGCAATCAAAACGCGTCATGCGTCCCTCGGTGACTTCGCGATCGTTAAAGGCCTTGACAAATGTGGGCGGCAAAGCCTTGCCAGCTTCCAGCTGCTCAGCCATCTGATCCACGGGCTTGGGTTCGTAGGCAGTCTCAGCTGCCGGCTCGACGGCCAGCACAGCTGAGGAGACGACGCAGCCTTGCAAATTCTCGGCCAATAGGGTATAATGGCCGCCATCCTTGGCATTGGCGTTCTTCACACGCAGAGTGGCAACACCACTCGAATAAGAGATCTCATATTTTTGCGAGGCTACCAGACGTTGTCCGTTGTGGAACCAGGTAAGACGTGGTTTCGGGTTGGAGCCCACGCGGGCTGTGAACACAGCATCAGAGCCCTCAATGAGCTTTGAGCTTCTGGGCTTCTGCGATATTTGTGGTGCTTGCGCTGGGCCCAGGGAGCGATCAAGCTCATGGGACAGTTGAGTGTCTTGCTCATAGCTAGAGCGACGCGTAATAGCCTCCCTAAAGGAGACCTCACGCAAAAGTCTATACTCAAACGTATCCACACGGAATTCTTCCTCAATGGATGTATACGAATAACCATTGGAGTAGATGTTCTTCTCCAGATTCTGGATGGGCTGCAGTGCAGGCATTGGAGCGCCTTCCGGTTGAATATAGACACTGCAGATGGCTTCGCCGTACTGATTACGAGCCGTACACGTGTACTCGCCTTCGTCTCCGGGCCCTATCTGGTTGATCAGTAGGGACACATCACCTGTGGCTTCGTTGTAGCTCATCCGAAACTTTTGCGACTCGAGAAGTGGTGCGCCTTTTCGGGTCCATGTAACGAATGGCTTCGGGTTGCCACGCAGCCTACCTTCAAATAGGGCGTTGCCACCCTGAGCGAAGCGAGCGTTCTTGAAGATTTGCTCAAATACAGGCGGTGAGATGTCACCTTGGGCATAAACGTGTGTCAACGAGGGCGGTACATAGGTGCCTCCGATACCGCCTTGATGTTGTTGTACTGTAATATTAAAAAGGGTATTTAATATAGTTAAAAGCAGCTAAGAATTGCAATAAAGCTTGCTGTAATGGATGTTTGCTATTGTAAAGTAATAAAAATTAAAATGTGTACGAGCTCCACAAAAATAATACTTCAAAACAGCGACCATTAAATAATTAGTTAATGTTAGTTATAAGAAAAAGAGGACATGCTTGAGCAAAAGCTCTATACGCAATTAATGCAATTAAATAATAACAATCAGGTCCAATTAAATATAACAACACTCTCAAAATATTTTTCCCATATTTTTTGGCTCTGTTTGATTAATGAATACAAATATAAACAAAAACTTGAAAATGTTAACTCATTGTCGAGGTTGTATATTTATAGTTTGGATTACATATATTTAGAAGTTGGCACGCACACAAAGTCTAAATCAAATTATACATATATATATATATATATATCATTGTGTATACCTTGGAGCTTATAGATACTTTTCGAAAGTGTGTCATTAATATATATATATTAGTTTGTTTCCAATTCGATCCTGTGAATGCTAACAAACAAGATCAGCTGTTAATATGCACTCTCCCTCTCTCTCTTTCCCTCTCTCCCTCTATTTCAATGCTCTCTTCTGAATGTAAACAAACAAGATCAGCTGTTAATATGCACTCTCCCTCTCTCTCTTACTCTCTCTCTCTCTCACTATTTCAATGCTCTCTTCTATTGAGCCTCTTACTTTCTCTCGCTTTCTGGCTACTCTCTTTGCCTTGTGCGCAGACTCAAAAAGTTCAGCATATGTACTTCGGCTATCTTCGTCTGGTAGTATAAGAGTGCTCAAGTGCTTTATATCTTATTCACTCGATCCCAAGACTCATGCAGCATCCACAAAATGTAAACAAAGTGAATCGTATAAGAACTCTTATACTTACTATTCTATTCTAATAATTATATTTACTTGTGTATATGTATGTCACTGCAGCGTACGCTTAGAATTTTGGCAGATGAATGGAAATATTTATAAATAGATCGAATTTTTGGCTGATCATCAATTAAGATATAAGTATTGAAATATAAGATGAAAATGAATAATTTTCTGCTTGTACCTATAGCTTGCTACATATTCATATGGTGAGTCATACATACATTGAAAATGACCAGAGACTATATTTTAGATGAATATAGCAAGCACTGGAAATCATTCTCGGTCATTTATAAATTTAATATTTAATTTTTTGGTGAATCAAATATGAACTTAAATTTTTACTTAATCGAACAAGTAATTGTTCATTGGCTAATTGATGATAAATAAAGTTGTTATTTTAAAGGGAATAATAATGAAATTTTCTACTAATTCGCTGTGTCAACTCTTGGAGATATCGCAGGGGTGCATTTGGTTAAACTGATACCTTTTCTAGTTATTGATATTTTCAAACATATTCAGAAGCTATGCATGTTGCATTTTATAAATATTTATGCTCTGTTATTCAGAAAGTGTTTACATATTACCAACTGCATTTTTTATCGTATTTCGCGCATAAGCAAAAAAATCCTGATAATTATTGGGAAATTGAAACCTAGAACAATAATTCAAAAATTGAATATTTGAAATATGAGAACAATTTTGAGTACAATTTTTGCCTCGAGAATAATGGAAGTAAAACGAACTTAGTACATTGATTAGTATTTTAATCAAAATTTCTCTGGTCAAAGATTTATGAATAGTCATTTTTATACATCTCATTTCATATTTTGGATTGGTATAAATGCTACTTGTAAATTTTGTATATCATATTTGACCCAACTATCTATATATTTAATGCTTATATGTAAGATAAAATAAATTAAAATATTGTGTAACGCATACAATTAGTTGATGCCTTAAAATTATATTAAGTAAAATCTCATAAAGTGAGCTTAAATGTGAGATTCGATGCCAAGCAAATCCCTATCATCAACGAGCAAATCAAGTATTAAATAAATACATGCAAGTAATCAAGGTTACAATGAAATTTTCATGATAAAAGGCGTTTGTCTGCGCATCGGAATGGAATTTCAGTAACAAGAGCTTGGAACAGCGGAGATTCTAAATCCACGGTGTGAATCCCACTGGCCAATACAGCTTGCTGAAATCCGTAAGCGAGACAAGCCACTGCGATGATTGGACATGCAATGGCATATCATGGCGTGGCGTGGCATGGCATGGCATGGCATGACAGACGGGCACAGGCAGGCAGACGGACTGACCTCGTTGCTGAGTAGTGATTTGACTCCTCTGAACATGTTGTTCAGTGCGGCTAATCCTTTGCTGCTGATGCTGCTCTTGGCTGGAGTGCGAATACTCCTGGGTGGAGTATTGCTGCTGCACCTGTTGTTGTTGGTGCTGCTCCTGCTGCTGCTGCTGCTGCTGCTGGTATGGGTTCGGATTTTGTCGTTGCATTTTAAGTCGTTATATATCACTATATATCATTGAAAATGACAACCAAATCGATGCAGTTGTCAACTGCACTAAAAATAAAACACCTCTCGATCACTTTTCTCTCTTTTGATTTGCTTCTTCACTTTATATATTTATGTATATATTGAAATATATTTCTTTACAGATACTTTCGCTTCTTTATTGCTGAAATTGAATACAAGGCAAGATAGAAAAGAAAAATCTCATTAAAATTTTATATACTTTCTTCACAAAACAAGCCACTAAGCATTTATCACACGAAAATAGCCGTTTGGCAACCGTTGAGTTTTATTTTTGATATTTTCCTTTTCTTTTATTCGATTTTGTTTCGAGTTTTCTCAACACATACACACATTTCTTTTAATCTAGCTGACACACACTCGAATTTTCTCCGATTTTATTTTTTCTTTGTTTTTGACCGAGCTGCATATAGATACAGATATAAATACATATATCAAAAAAGATTTCTTCATCATTATCATCACTAGCACACCATCCATCCTTCTTCATATTCATATTCTGTGCCTCAGAGGCATTTCGGGCTATTTTTAGCCATTCGAATATTTCACTGCGACACACAAACACACTCATGCAGCGGATACAGAGACGTCTTCTATACACTATGTCGGTGGTATCTTCTTATTTTCAGGGGCTATTTATAACATTTTCTTCTGGTATTTCCAATGCGAAAACTCTGCAATGCTCGCTTCTATTTTTTTAAATCATGAATACACAATCTTTTGAGCGTTATTTTTCACAGTTCTGTACAATATCACAGCTATCGTAGCCTGTAATCCTGGGCAGGATAAGCCAGGATAATGCACTTAAGCACATTTGTCATGCATAACAAAATGGATATATTTAAATATACATGTGTATATTGGATATCTTTGAATCGGATCGCATATTCATATCTATATGCACATCACTCTTTGTGTGTATGCACGAATTCACAGTCCATTCGTCGAATTGGGTGCGGACCCCACGATCTGGTGCCGAGCGGTGTGCCGAATCACCCGTCGAACGCGACCGAAGCACCGCTCGTTGATTATTTTTAGATATTTAGCGCACTGAAAAATTCTTTCGGAATTTTCAAAGTGGTTACGAAACCAAAAAATTTCATCAACATTTTCCATATTTTCACAGATTTAACACTTGAAATCGTAGTTAAAAATCGACGATTCTTACTTCAATGCGTTATCCTTGCGACGTTCTATATGTATGCTGCGACTCTTTCGTAAAAACTCTATGCGAACTATATGGCTGAACAAATATATATATATATATATATATGTGTGTGTATAAATACCGTATATATATATATATGTATTTCTTTAAATAATATCTATTTTCCAACTGTTTCAAGTCATAATCCCCGAGACTGAAACCAAGACGTCGATCGTTTGTGAGGTGCGAGCGAAGAATGACAAAATATCTTTGAGAACGCGATCAAATAGCTGCACAAGGCGCCCGATACGAGAGCCACACGATCTTCGTGTGCGACTGCTCTCGCTCCACATGAGATATTTTTGCACTTTCCACACGTATTGTTGTTGTGGAAAATGCTGAGAGAGCGCCAATGCGCTACACAACTTGGCGAGGGGCCTTTGAACAGGCAGCTAAACAGCTGGCATTCGAAACAGGGCAGAGGCTGGTAATTTGTCTTAATCTTCAAAACAGGCTCTGCTGGTTCGACTTAGTGGCAAAAATGTCATTAGCTGGACTCTTAGCTCTGCAATTAATTTAAGGCTTAAAAGATAACAGAAACATGTCGAAGAACCACTGAACCAAATAAACTATAAATTTTCCTCAATCTGCTTTCCGCTGTAGCAGCTCACCGCATCGACTTTGTGTTACTTTCAATCTCATCGATCTCTATGGTAGCCTGCGCTGCTCTGCGCCCATAATCAAAGTCAAATTGCTGTGTTTTGGCCGATGCTCAACTAGTTGAGAGGTTGCCATGGGCACACAGCAGTTTGACTTGGGAAAATCAATGGGTTTCCTCACAGTTTTTCTCCAATGACCGATCGTTTCGGTTTCGGCAAGTGTTCGGCTTTTGAGTAAGTTGGCTAAAAATACAATACGATTTATTTTTGACACGTATTTTTCAACATTTGGTGCAGAACAAAATCAAAAAAGAAAATCTATCGAAATTCTAGATACTGTAAAAATGGACAGTAAAAGTGCACTCAGCTCTTCGAACAACCTATCTTATGATTCCAGTGACTAACTAAGGTACATTTTCTGTGATATGCCAGCTATAATTTAATATTCTGCACATTCTACACATGCAAATGCTTTTAATTATATTTTAATTTAGCTTTTGAAATGCTCTTTCTTCACCTTGCACCTTCTTTTCAAATTTTCCACACAATTTATTCGGATTTTGTCTAAATTTAAAACCACATACACAAAATTTGGCTCACTGCTGCTTTGCTACATATAAACTTGATTATTCATTTCGTGTCTTAATCATAGAGACCGAGATGCTTGTTTTTTCTATTTATTGAAATTTAAAAAAAAAAGAAAGAAAAAAACTTTCTATTTCTTTAGGTTTGTGGCAAAGCGTAAAGCATTTGCAGTCTTTACAAATTGCAACTCGAATGCGATTGAGCTGCGTTCGCTTTGACCTTATATGGGATGCGCATTGAGTGGGGCTCTATAAGGCGACCCGGTTGGCAATGCTATTGTAAGTACATAATTTATTTTTACTGCACAAATTAATTGTTAACATGCTTGGCAATTTTTCGGACACAGTTATGAAATCACTAGTTACGCTTTCAGATGAAGAAGAGAGAAAAAATAAAAAACCAGCAGGCGCAGCTGCCAGTTGGAAACTGTCACTGTTCAGATACAAATGTATCTGTGGCTATAAACGTGGCTGGCAGAGAGATAAGCAAAAGCACGCAGCATATCCAGAGCCTACATCTGAGTATCTGGCAGAACTACAACATGAAAATAACAAACAGTTAGCCGGTTCTGCAAGACAGACGCCGCAACAGCAGCAGGCGGCAACAGATTGCAGCGATGCGCTACAAAATGTATCTTGTAGTTTGCCGCCGCTGCCAGCCTATCTGGCTGCCCCCTCTGACTATCTTATCGCACAAGATTTGCAAAAATATTCGCCCAATTATGTCATGACTGTAGAATGTTGTTTGGCACACAAAACAAGACAGCTGAAAGTCTTCAAATAAATCTTTTACTTTAATTAGTATTATTAATAGTATTTCTTGTTGCTTTTTAGTAATAATAAGTAGACAATAAAGGCAATTGCTTAGATTTAGATTTAGTTGCATTTGTTGTTGTTGCTGCTATTGTTGTTGGGGTTTTAGTGGCTCTTAGTTAGTTGTATTGTGTTGGGTGTTGGGGACCCAGCTCATTGAAGGCAACACAGTTTTTATATTTTATTGTTTGGGTGGGGCACTGCATTCAATTTACTGCAAACAAGAACAAGAAGAATAGTCGCATATCAATTAGGATCAACATTTAATGAGAGAAACACATGTTGAATGATGCGGCATGCAGGATAGTTTTTTTCTGTTTTATTTTTGGCTTGGTACATGCAGACCCAAAAGAAACGAAACGAAATGAAATGATATGAATGCAATGCAACATGCACCCCCAACCAGGCAAATGAGCGACCCCAAGCTAAGCGCAAGTCAACATGCAGATACTTTTGTATCTTATTGCCACACAAATGCTGCATGTGTGTATGTGTGTGTGTGAGTGTGGCAGCTGGCGACGCGTTTTAATTCGGTTTGCCAGTCAGCATAAGTATTAGCATCAAATTTCGCGAGCGACGCAACCATTCAGCAAACCCAGAAAACCGAAACGACATATTGTTGTTGCTGTTGTTGCTGGTTGCAACGAGCTGCGCCTCAAGCTGCATGCCAAGCGGCAATTTAAGTATAAAATGTCCAAATGTGGTCGCTTTTCATATCAATTGTCTATACAATTAGATACAACAGTCGTTGTAGAGGGAGAGAGAGGGAGAGAGAGGGGGAGGGAGAGAGGGCAGAGCGAAGTTGAAGCTGGGCGTCGTCTGTCTCCCTCTAGCTCTCTCTCTCTCTCCCTCTCTCTTGTTGCAAATGAAAGTTGCAATGTGCTACGATGCGGTGCGTGTGGTTGTAATCTATATTTAGTGATTTTACATGCGGTGTCTTAAAAGATATTCGAAATATGCACACACACACACGCGCGCAAGTGCTTGTTTGTGTGCGCGTCCATAGCCCATTTTGTAGGTAGCAATTTTCCAGATCGCTGGTGAAAATTGTTTTAGATGAATGTGTTTTTCTTTTTTGTTTTTTTTTTTTTTTTCGTTCGATGCATTATGCTAATGAATTACGAATTGTTTAGTAAACAAAGCGAGCGAAAATCCAATTAAAACCGATCTTAACCCAATTAGCTAGTTTACCTGCTTGCGCCTGTTGGCCTTGCTGCAGCTGTGGCTCCTGGCTAAAGTCGGATATCGAGACAGTTTTGGTGCTCACATAGCTGATGGACTCAACTGTTGTCTCCCACTTCTGGAATGTGTTGATGGTATCGCTGCGCAGCGTACGCGTTGAGCCCCCAATGCGCTGCGGTGTCGAGGAGCGCAGCGACATGGTCGACGTGGCCGAACCCAGCGATGAGCTCCCCGGCGATTGTGAGGCTGGGGTTGAGGATGAAAAGGATGCAGATTTGCGTAGTGGCGTTTTAAGCGCTTCATGCTGCTGCGGCTGCTGATGATGCGGCTGCCCCTCATCGGCATCCTCGGTTATGAGCAGGCAATCCGTTTGCGTGCCCTGATCTGCAATTATGTGAGCGGCCACAATTAGAGATACGGAAATGTTTTGGCTTAATGGTTTTTATATGGCTGCATGCGCTGCATGGTTTTTGGGCTTTTAGTTCAATTAACAAACAAAGAAAAACAACAAACTATGAATTTTCTGATCGCAGCCAGGCTGATTGTTGTTGTTTTTGGCGTTTTCTTTTTGGCAATTAGCGGCAAATTTACGAACTCAAATGCTAAAATGCGTGCGCGAATTTTGTTGCTGCTGAAAACTTGGCCTCAATTTCATTAAATTGAAATAAAATTCACAGCGTTCGCCGTGTTTGCTGATTTTTCCTCTTGCTGCTGCATTTTCAATTGTTTTCTTTGGCATCTTTTTTTTTTTGCTAATTTACAGCGTGCGTATAAATAAATTTGGTGCCAACATTTCGGCAGTTGCTGAATTGTTCTTGCTTGGGAACTGGCAGGGTCAACGCGTGCCGCAGCTATATAGCTATATACATATGTAAATCGGACAGTCTGTCAACGTGGGATTATGTAATTCAATTTTGTGCGCGCCTGCGATTTGATATTGATGCGTCTCGTCTGGTTATTTGGCTAATTAAAATATATACACATTAAATTTTGTATGCTCGCTAAATGCTCAATGTGCTTGGGCAAATTGAAGTGCTAAAAGTATCTGCCACATTCCGGCACATGAGGATTTGCGTAGTTTTTCGCGATTTCTGGGCGTCTGTTTTATTACACATCTCGTGGGCGGCCAATGTAGGAAAACAATTTTACGATGCGCCCAACTGCTTATAATATCAAATGTTCTTGCCATCTACATCTACATATACAAATACATGTTCATTTTGGCTTAAGACTAATACTCATTAAGCCCATGTATATGTCTAAAGATCGCAAAGTTGACACACACTCATGCGGAAATATTTTATTATTTATTCAAGACAAGTGCCCACCGATGATGGCGCGCTCTTGCCCGAGTATTTTTCCATATAGTACTAATTTCTGAAATGCAACACTCGCAACGACGCAGTTGTGAAATTGACATTATATATATATTTATTTATATTAGATTTGCCAAGTTTTCAGAAGTCTTGAATACTTTAAAATTGCAATAAGGCAGCATTCCAATCAAGGCTGCATATTAGGCTTGAACTGGATGAATGCAATTTATCTTTTTACTTCACAGAAGAGCATACAAATTATTTCAAATCAAACGTTTTTTAGGTAGACCTATCACCAAAGTGTAAATAACTTTGGCCCCAGTAATTGCATTTATCTAAGAATAATCGATAGATGCCAATTTTGGGTAGATAAAATATCTAGCCCCCATCTTGCATATGGAAATATTTACGGCTTGCAATATTTTCAGTGCAACGGGCAAAGGTATTAAAATTGAATTTTAATTTTTTTTCAAAGCTTCAAAAATATATAACAATCCCAGACTTGAGGTAAAAAGTGGACTTAACAACCCAGGAAGTTAATTTGAAACGTACCACCGACATTTAAATTATTGGCTTACAGCCCTCATTTGAATATAATCTTAATTTTGACCAAAGAAAAAATACCAAATCCACAGACAGTCGTCAGCTATTCAAAACCAAGTCAGCATCCATGGGAGATAAGCTTTTGGTATAGATTCAAATTGGAATTATTTGATTTCCAAGGATTGGACTTATGAGTTGGGTTTGCCACCGAAATGGAGGCTGCAAAATGTTGAACAATTTTAAGTGGCAAACGAAAATCTGTGTGTGAATCGCGTTGAGTTCATTTTGTTATTTTTAGAAATTGCCTAATTAATTTAGAAAATCAGAGAAACAAAAACCATCAAACGAATGTTTGTATAGCTGCGGCATATTCATCACACAAAAATTCTTATTTTCTTTCGATCTCCGAACGGATTTTCACCGGATTGGTGGACATTTTGAAAACGCGTAGATATAATCGCAGTAAAGTTTTCATACATCAGTTTGACAAAACAAATAAAACCAATGCTGGTATAGGTTTGGACTTAGCACGCACAAAAGCGGGCCTCGCATTCGATTTGGAGAAAAACAAAAACATTTTTAATATCGCCTGGCAAAACATTATGGTAGAGTATGTGTTTATATATTGGACAGCATGCGAAATTTGCGAATGTGCCAAAAAATGCTGCACAAGGCCATCAAAGCTGAAAATCAAGTTGTGGGATTTTCAGTTTTTCTTTTCAAACTGAAAATGTATGCTGCCATAATATGTTGTCAGCTCGTTGCGCAGGAAACGAAGCATTTTTATGAATCATTTAAAAGAAAATTTTGCAAACATGCGAACATACTATAGTATAGGCTAAAATGCTTCGGTTTTTGTATGGCAAACCAATTTCAAGAAATTATCGCGCAATTATATATTTTATCAAGCGGTGCACTAAGTAATAGATAATTGTAGAACAAGTGATTCAATTTTTTTGACTATCATCCAAATTTTGTTGTTGTTCTTGTTGTAGTTCAGGTGGCCCAAAAGTACACGAGAATTGGCAGTTTGGCAGTTTGGCAGGCACTTTGGGCCCACGCATTTGCCCGAAGTGTGTCATCCGAAATGTTTTTCGAATCAGCCGGCTATAAATACGCCTCTTGCCAATAAGGTATTGTTTGGTCAGTGTCAAGGACTCGTTCTAAATTTTGGACTAGTTTCTAAGATGCTGTGTGGCACCTTGACAGCCTCATGGGCCTGTTAGCTAGCGTGTGTTTATTGTGTCTGGGCTGTCTTTGTACGAATTTCTCGCATATTGCGCGGCTTGTTTCATTTCTTATTCTTGGCAAGCGCTCGCATTGCACATCGACGGGCGAACACTTTGAAAATTTAAAGAAAAATAGATAAATAAACATTGTTGAAATTCAAATAAATCGCTTATGAGCAGCACACCCAAACAGCCAACAAAAATAACAACAAGTTTGTCGGTCAGTCAGCCAACCACCCACGCAAGGCCCTCCGCTCCTGGTCTCTTAGTAAGCAAAGCAACAACATTTGCTTAAGCAATTCCGTTTTGATTTTTTGTATTTTGAAATATTACTTTTTGATGACAAAAACATTTTTTTTCGTGTTGGTTTAATTTTGCGACAGCATGTTGTTTTAAAAAACACTTGAATCTCTTAATGAACCATCTGCCACACTAATTAGCTGACCTAACTTTTAGGCTCGAAATAGTTCACAAGTTGACCCATTTCGCACTTCAGCCGAAATTATTGGTACTTAAATGCAACTACTCTAAATACTCTATAGCTTTTATATGCATAACTAAAGCCCACACTTATATATATATATATGTTTAATGATCCCGGGTGTCTATATATTTTATTTCATATTGACCAAAACTAACAAAATTCTTGGCATTTGCACTTAAGAATTAATGATACGCTCTTAAGCCTTGAACACAATTATATAAACATAAATTTGAAAAATTATTTCCTGTACCCAAATACATATACTACATGTGTTTAAAATAAATCAGATACAATACATTTTCAAAAATGGTATTCCGATGACGGAGGATCAACGATCAGCCAGCGCCATCTTACGCTAAAATGCACTTCGAAAGCTTTCGAACATAGAGCATAACTTTTTCGAACTGACTGCGCACATTTTAACATAGAGGGCGCCAGCAAAGAAGCTTCTGGCGCGCATTCAAATAAAAAGCGATCGGCGATCGGCGATCATACAAAAAGTTTTCTTGTGCAAATTGTTAAGGAAACATAGTTATGTTTGATTCGAATTGATTTATTTGAAATGTCGACAAAAACACAAGTAATACTATAGGCCCACAGCTGTGTACGCAGTGGGACTGCCAGTTTTGATCCATACGGTCGCAGGTCCAAATCAAAACCAAATAACAAAATTAGAGACACGCACACACAATAAAATGTAAAACTTTGGCATGAACAAATCATAAATAAATATGTATATATATATAAGTTCTTTAAATATGTAGCTTAATATCTAAATCCACGATTTGTGCTCGAAACGTTCAAACTTCCGCTGGTGCTGGCCGCGCCCAACGGATTCCTGGCGCTGCAAACGTAGCTGCCGTTGTCATCTGCAATGAATCAAAAATGTTGGTGGAGGGATGTCGGAGTGATAGGTAGGGAGGAGGAGGCGGGGGTAGAACGATTAATGAGCTCGCCGAGCAGTCGAATTGCAATGGCTGGGCAACTTACCCGGATAGGCCTGGGGCAGTGTTAGACGGCACACGCCGTTCCGGTATTCAATGACATGCCGGCTGCTTTGCTCCAAATGGCCCCCGTTGTGCGTCCAGTTTACCTGCGGCTGCGGATGCGACTGCACAATGCACTCGAACCGAGCAGTGCCGCCCACTCCCACCGCAATATCTTTCAGGGGCTGTGCCACAGATAGATAGAACAGAGAATTACCAGGTTTAGTAAGTTAAGCGACCCGGTTGCCCGGGCACCCAGGGGGGCCGGGAGCCGGGTTAATGACTGCGCTTACCGTTATGAATAATGGCGGCCTTTGTGCCTGTTCATCGCGATTCAAATGGGCATTGACGGGCTCCGTATTGGGCAATTCCGGCACTAATGATGTTGGAGAACCATTAGAAACTGCAGATTTGGCTTAAAGCAGCGTCCATTAGTGGGATTAACGCACAGGCAGAGACAGACACAACACAACAACGAGCATTTTTTTTCTTTTGTTTTGATTTTTGTTAGAATATTTTCACTTTAAACACAAGACACAAAACGAAATGCGGTTCATGCAACAACAGAAACGAGCACAACTTGGGTTAGCATGCGGTTTGATGGGATTAGCTAAGAGGCACTTAAATCAAGTATACGCCGCGTGGCGCAGCTCTGGCTGCTACTCACGACTTTGCAAAGCTCAAAGCGGCGATCAGCAGCAGCTCTGATCTGATAATTTCCTGTTAAACGGTGTGATGAGTCTTAGTTACCAAATACCCTGCACACAAAAGCAGACATACAGCACACACACACTATGCAGCGCCTATGTCATTTCTTACCCCTTTTTCATACAATTTGAACAGGCACTGGGTATAGATATTTAACTACTCATCACCCACAATTTAAGCGCAGTCTTTTAAGCCATGCTGATTGAAAAATTTGGACAATCGATAGCTGTTATCGATCAAAAAATTGATTAGTGTACGCAATCAGATCGCTGCTGCTGAACGCGATCAACGAAAATTACAACAATAATGTGTCCTATACTAGTTGACAACATCGATAGATAGCCAGTTGCCTGGTTGGATTGGCTTCCCGCCATCTGTACCTGTGCGCACCAGCTGCTCGGGCGGCAGACGCGGCGCCTGCGCGTGCAGGCGATCGAGATGAATGTCGAGGCTGTGGCAGCTGGGCAGACTGTAGCGCTTATGGGCGAAACGTGGCGCCATTGGCGACCTGGTGCGCCCATAACCGCGACGTTGAGTCTCGCTGTCGGAGCTGTAACCATGGGGTGTGGCACTGGCACTGGGCTTGGCCTGGGTGCGCTCGTGCTGCACGGGTATGACCAGTTCATTGCCAGCGGCAAGTTTCAGAGGATACGGCGAGTGGCGGCCATTGTTATTGATGGAGTTGTGGGTGTCTTTGCTGTTCCACTGGCTGCTCACAAACTTGTGGCCCTCGCCGGGAAAGAGTATGCCGAACTCATAGCCAAAGTCGTATTTGAAATATATTAACCCGGTATTCGGATCGACGCATTTGGTGCCTGGTTATGTGTTTTTTTTGTGGTTGACAATTGGAAAGGTTTGTACAAAACTTAGAGATAACATATACAAAACTGGTTTTATGGGCAGTTAGTTTGATGCGTAAAAAGAATTTCTCAAATCTTCAATCTCAAATCTAAAATCTCAACCAATTAGAATGAAACCAATTCATGTGTTTGGGCATGCAACGCCCATTTCTACTGTCAGTTTGGTATTTTGAAAAAGCTTCACTGTACTTACCGTATTGCGAGACCCGCGACTCATCCCTGTAGGCCTGTGGCTGGTTGCTACCCTCGCTGGGCGCGCGTCTAAAGCCAGGACGCAGAACGTGACCGTTCGAGCTGCTCTGCTGGCTCTGCAGGTCCCTGCTGACATCTTCGATGAACTGATGTGACTTCTGTAGGAACGTGGAGCCCATACGCTTGCCCTGACCCTCGGCCTGCTCATGCAGGGTGCTGTAGCCGTAGCGCGGCAAGGTGCCCGCTCGCAGCTGCTGCTGCTGATCCGTCTGGTCCATGGAGCCATCCTGCTGCCGGCTGCCGTACTGCTGCTGCCTCATCGTGCTGTTGCGATTGAGGGACTGGGTGCGATGCTGTGTGGTCACGGTGCTTCCGCCGCGTTGCTCCTTACGCAGCGTATTCACATCCACATGTATCTTGCTGGGCATTTCCGGGCCACGGTCGAACTCCATGGGCGAGAGCACGCGTTCATAGGTGCGCGGCAGGCTGCAGGAGCGACCCGCAGTCTGCGGCGGGGCCACACGGCGATAGCCCTTCGTCAGGCCATCGCCGTAGGGTGACCAAAGCGGCTGAATGCGTGCGCCTTCCACTTCGCTCTCGTAGTCGCTCTCCCGAAACTCGCCTGGTATAAACTTGGTGGGCGTGGCCGGCGGCGGCAAATGCGATTGACGCGAGGGCGTTCGACTGCCCGCCGGGCTATAAGGGAACGGCTCCAGAGCTGGTTGCGGCGGCTGCTGCTGCTGATGTTGGCTGTCAAAGTGAATGACGCGCTTGGTCTGCTGCATATTGACAACCCGCTGGGAGCTCTCCGTGGACTCGTGCATCTGCATCACATTCTTCGTCTCGTGGGCCACCTTGGCCATGTGCATGGGCGCACCTGCCACCGCATTGTAGTACATGGTCGGGCGTGCGCTGGGCAACGGCTGCTGCTGTTGCTGTGTGGCGGCTATAAACTTGGCCGCCACAGGCTTCGGCTTGAAGACATGTTGTTGTTGCTGCTGCTGCTGCTGACTTGTCTGATACTGCTTTGAGCTAGTCTCGGTTTTAATCTCGTGGCGTATCTCCTTGCCAATGGGCTCGAATTTGGGGCGCGTATAGCTGCCCAGCTGCGGTGGCGTCGGCTCAAACTCCATGGGCGAAGGCGTCACCACCACCACCGGCGATTTGTGACCGTTGGCAATGTTGGTGCGCGGTGTGGGCGTGGGTGGGAATACCACGCGATAGCCCTTGATATCCGAGTCCGATTCATTGGCTCGCGATACCGAACGGAAGCGCTCGTCCACCTCGCTGCTGTAGTCGCTGAACTCCGCCGCGGGTGTCTTACGCTGTGCCGGCACTGGGCTGGACGTCACCAGGGGCGTGGCATTCGATGAGTACTTAGTCTCGTGATGGGTGGAGCTGCTGCTGCTCTGCTGCATGTTGCTCGTCATGCTCGACGAGGTGTATTTGTAATTCTGCGAAAGAAATCATTACGATTAATGTTCAAGATCGAAATTAACAATTTAACATAGTAAAAAGACAACGAAAAAGTGTTAGATATCAGGCGAATGCATAAACATAATTAGATATTTGGTTAAATAAATATACAAATACATATGAAAATGGTTTAAGATTATCACACGAAAATGCACGATCAGGCGAATCATTTGAACGATAATAAAATAAGATGAGGTATTATTTTTTGTGCCTGAGACATACAATTAGAGAATAAATTTCTTTTCGACCGATTGCTGAAAGAGAAGCCTTTAAAATAGTAGTGCGAGTTACTAGGGTCTTTTCGATATTATAGATGCCGAGTATTTTTATTTTCAAGCGATTGTCTATGGCTGTTATATTATATAATGTCTTATATCTTGAGTATCTTGAGAAACATGAAACTGGTATATAAAAAGATTGTTAAACAATAATTTTATTTGTGTCCGATCATTCATACTTTTTATATTATATTTTTCCGATCGGTACAAGTCTGGCTCATGTACTGTCTACAGCAGAGAGACAGGCTTATGAAAAGTTCTCTAAATGTAGGATTGGTTTGAATAGAACAGACAAACGGACCTGATACTAATCAAGATTATACAAGGTATATACCTAGTTGAAATGAACACGACTTTTACATAAGCTCTACAATGGTATAACAGTGCGATATCTATTAATATTTAAATGGGCCGAGCAAACGCAATGTTAAAATGGCATGTTGAATGAGAGTTAGGGGCAAGCCAGCTTATGAGAATGGTTAGACAAGGACAACAAGAAGAGAGAGTGAGGGAGCGAGACAACAACAAGGTGACAAGGGGAACAGGACGCAGCCAGTTCCAAGTGCTACATACAACAACGACAACAACAACAATGACAACAACACACACACATATATATATACGGTAGTATATATAGAGAGACTTGTTTAGAGAGATCTATGCGAACCTTCGCCTCCTGACTGTAGCTCGTTTGCTGGGGAGCCTGAGGCTTTGGCGTAAAGTAGAGCTGGGCCGGTGGCTCGGGCTGCAGCTTGGCTTGCGTTGGTGCAGGGTTCGTCGTTGATGAGGACTTGGTTTCGTAGAAGCTACTCTCCGACTTGCGATAGCTGGAGTGCTCCTCTGTGTCCGCTGCGTAGCCACTCGACTTGAACGATGACTCCATGGTGGCCTGCTGCTGGCGCGCACGATTGCCCGGCTCATCGGACTCGCTGCCGCTGTACTTGTAGCGATCGCTCTCGTAGTCGCTTTCGTAGTGTGCGCCGAGGCGATTGGGCATGACCGGTGGCGGTGGGCGGTAGACGGAGCCGTTGGATTTGGGCGCCGTGACAGGCGTTAAGGTGGGCACCGAATGCGGCAGCACCTTGCTGGGACCCTGTAGGAGATTCTGCTCCAATTTCTGCTCCATGCTCTCCACCAGCGAATGGCGACGCACTTCCTCATGCTGCTTGGGAGCATAGCAAATCTCTGGCGGTGTGCCCGGCTCAAGTTCTATGTTCACCAATCGGGTAACTGCAGCCGGTGCGGGCGTCAATGGTACCGGCTGCGTAATAGTTTTGGCCACCTGCTGCACCAGGAAGGGAGCATTCAGCTCCTTGGTGGGTGTGGGTGTAGGCAACTTGGCGATGCTGATCTGCTGCTCTGTCTTCTGCTCTACATCGCTCGTGTAGCCAGCAGTGCCGCTGGGCGTCCACAGTTTCGACATGGCCACGCCTTCCGCCGATGGCTTCGGCGATGGTGAGCGCGTATTTTGCTGTGCAGGAGTCGCCAAGACCGCCGCCGGCCGCACAATCGGCTGTCCGTACTCCACCTTGATCTCTTTGGTTAGTGTTGTTTCATGCTGCACGCTCTGCAGGTTCAGGGGCGGCGGAAAGACGGGCACACCACCCTGTGGTGGTGGCTCTCTTGGCTGCACTTCTTCCAGTATCTTGATCTTTTCATGGATGAGCGGCTGCTTGGGCAGTTGCTTCTCTGTTTTAGGCGTGTAACAGAACTCTGGCGGTGCTCCTGGTATGAGATTCATGCTTCTCAGCTCCTCTGCCAAAGTCTGAGCCTGCGGCTGACGCACCACCGTCTCCAAAGGGCGAAGTCCCATGGGCTTGGGTCGGGTTTCCTCATCAATTTTCTTGAAGTACTCAAAGGATGAGGACGATTTATGTTCGCTGGTGCTGCTCTCATATCTGGTGTTGATTTGCGTCTGCATCTGCGCTGGTTGTTGTGGTTGTGGCTGTGGCTGCTGGCCAAAAGTCGTGGCCACAACGGGCGTACAGGGCTTGGGTGGCACTGGCGGCGGGGTTTGTGTAACTCCAGTTTTGTAACTGGCCTGTGTATCGGTCTGATCCATGCTGGCAGTGTTGTTGTTGTTGGTGGTGTTGGTGGTGGTGGTGGTGGTGGTTGGTGTCTTTGGTCGCATATTCAGCTCGGGCAGGTCTAGATTTGTCGATTTGTGCTCTAGACGCATTGTTGCCTCGGTGGTGCAACGATGCTCAGTGATTACTTTCGACTCGGACAGGCCATGCAGATCGTTGGCAGTGGTTGCATCGGTTTGATTGGTCTGATATGACTGGGGCTCTGTCTTGAAGTGGTTCTGTGGTGGTACGATTGATGATATACGATATGTGTGTATGTGTATATAGTATATATTGTTGCATGAGAACCCATGTGTGTGATGAGCAAAGCGAAACGAACGACGTCGAAATCAATGAGAGAAGAAATTCACAAGATTTGTTTATTATAAATATATATAAATATATAAATCATGTCAAGAACGTAACAAGTCGAAGAAATAGTATAGTATAGATTTGCATAGAATAGATTAACAGTTCGATAAAGTCAAATATATGTGATATGTAGGTGGGAGGATAGATAGATACCAATTGCAGTCATAATAAGATCTTTTTTATATATTGAGCACATGCACACTTACTTCAGTTTTGAATTCACTGGCGGGCGCCTCATATATGATCGTCTTCACCACTTCCTGCATTCGCTCCGGCGATGGCTCCAATATGGCACAGTCCGCAATGCTCTTGGCCTCGCCGCCAGCATTCGTTGCCCTCACCATATACTTGCCCGAGTCCGTCGTTTGGGCTGCATGTGAATGAAAAGCTAGTTGAGAGAGCCCCAAGGAGCACACCAGAAGTGCTTACCTTTCTCGATGATCAGCTTGTATGAGTTGCCCTGAGCAAGCAGGCGATGCTCTGAGATGCCAGCATCCTTGAGTGGCTTATCATCCTTCAGCCAAGTGACTGTTGGATCCGGCAGTCCAGTTACTTCCACTTCCATTATTAATCGCTCACCCTTTTTGCTGACCTGCGCCTGCAAACGTCTGCCAAAGACTGGCGGAAAGATGGTCTCTGCACGAATAGAAGAATGCAATCGTTAGAAGAATTGGCCAACAGTTGCGGTCCATGTGTTGTGGTTCACTGTGGCTGCAGGCCACTTTCAGTTGAAAGCCACAACACACAGAAAATAAATATTAGCTTTTGTATGTCATTGCAACAGATCTTAAAGATATCACAAAAATAATTTACTTGTACAGCCGTCCAAATGATCAGCTATAATGAGTAATTCGTGTAGACAGGCAGTAAAAATAATTTTCTTTTTTGTTTTCAAACACATTTCAGCTAGCCACCCAGCCACACACGACGACAAATACGCGAACAGCGAGTAAATGAACAAAAACTTGTGTTCAACAAAATTTACATAATTATTGCACACTTCTGACCCCCCTAAAACCCACTCGTTCACCCCCTAATGCCAACCGCGTACCAAAAGGCAAAAGAAATAAATAATTTAGAAATGTCTGTGTAAGAAGAAAAAACTTTGCATTGGGCAAGATGTTCCCCTCGGGCTAGCAAAAGTTTTGAATATAAACAAAAACAGCGAACGCCACTAAAAACTCATCAATATGCGAAACGGTCGGCATTGACGTTTGTAGATCTATTGACGCCCCCAACAATGACACTTTAATGCTCCCAGCTGATTGATGTGGCGCATGGACGGACGAAAAAAGTATTGACATACGATATAGGCCATATGTGTGTGCCCTATTTCTTATGTACCACACATTGGTTAGCTCATTAGAGCGCGGAACTTAATTAAAAACGTTTGTTAACATTAACAGTCGAATTTAACATCAATATTAACAGCGTTGTTTTAACATTTCTACAATCTGTTATGTTTCAATATATAGCTCACATGTACGCCACGTTGCATTAGAGCTCCTAATTTAGATTAATGCGTTTGTTAATGTTAATAGTTGTCTGCGTTACTTAACAGCAAGAAGTTGTTAGCATTAATTTTACTTACTTTTTACCACCAGATCCGCTGTGCTAGTGGACTGTCCCACCGCATTGGATGCGGTCACAGCGTAGCGTCCCGCATCGGCCACGCCCACTTCCTTTAATTCAATAGTCACACGATTGAATTTGTTGGATATTTTTGTGTGTGCATTTTCAAACAGCTGGTCGCCATTTTTCTCCACCTTGATCTCAGGCGAGGGATAACCATCATAGATGGCCTCCATGCTGACATTGACGCCCTGATCCACAATCTTGCCCGTTAGGGGCGTGGTGAAACGCGGCGCTATCTCCTTGCGCAGTCGCGTTGGCGATTCGGGTATTGTCAGTGCTGGAAGCGGTGCAGCTCCATTAGAGGAGGACTGCACCAGCGTAAAGGATTTCTGCTGAACGCTGGGACTGTTCATCTCCTTGCTCTTGTGCAGCTCCTGGTATTGATGGCTCTCGACAATTTCCGGTCGCTGTTGTCCCAGCTGCTTGAGAGACTGATCGATGTGCGCCGAGGAATGATGCACCTCAGTTTGTGGCACATTTCCCTCATAGGAGTTTACCTGGGATGTGGAAGTGGTGGTAAAGGTTTGCTTCTTGATGGTCACGCGCGAAGATTCAGTATTATGCTCCTGGGTCATGGTCTGCACATCGCTGGAGGCGGGCAATGGACTGCTGCCAATAATGTTCAGGAAGGCCACACAGGTAGCTTTACCCGCCTCATTCTCGGCCATGCAGCTGATCTTGCCGACGGCATCGTGGGTTAACTGCTGTATGGTCAACACCTGACGATCACCGCTGGTGGAGACCAGAAAGTTGTGTCCATGCACCGGCTGGTCATTGAAATACCAATGCACCTTGGGCGTGGGCTTGCCCAGCACAATGCACTCGAACTTGACCACATCGTCGATATGCGCCTGCTTGTCACTGAAGAGCTCCTTGAACTCGGGGCACAGATGTCGTTCGACAATTTCCACAGATGATTGACTGCTGCGACGATTCTCAGGGGCATTCACGGACTTGACAATTAGATGCGAAAAGCACTTGGCATCGCCCGCGTTGTTCGAGACCTTGACCGTGTAGACGCCTTTGTCGCTGGCAGCCACATTATTAAGAATGAGCTTGAATATGCCCGCCTCGGTATCGGATTGGGTGGCGACACGATCATCCAGCTGCAGCTCCTTGTTGGTGAGATACCACTGTGCTTTTAACGGCTGATCGCCGCTGGTCTGCACCTCCAGCACGACCCGCTCGCCCTCATCGGCGAGCACATCGGAGAGCAGACGCTCGAATTTGGGCTTCGTTTCCTTTGGCAGCGATTGACGTTCGACATGTGCTCTGGTTGCTGGCTCCGACATGTTCAGCGGTGTCACCTTCAGATCACAGCTGCTTGACGTTTCACCCGCCGAATTGATGGCAACCACTTTGTAATTGCCCGCGTCCTCTTGGTACACTTCCTGGATGAACAGGGAGCATCGATCACCCTGAAACAGTAGCTGCACATCCGCCGACTCCTTAACGGGTCGCTCATTGTGATACCAAATGACCTCTGGCTCCGGCTGGCCCACAATCACGCAGTCCAAGCGCACGGGCTTGCCCTCAAATATGGACACATCTTTCAGCGGCATATGCACCGCCGGCCTGATGGGCTCAATATCGCTGGCCATCTCAGAATCGGACGTCTCGTTTGGCAGACGACCCTTGACAATGATGTTACAACTGCTGTAAGCCTCGCCAGCTAAGTTCTTGGCACTTAATACGTAGGATCCGGCGTCGTTGGGATAAGCTTGGGGGATTGTGAGCGTAACGCGACCGTTTTCGTACTGAAATTTTTGAATTGAAAAATTGAATGTATTAAGCATTGACTGCGGCCAGCATCTCAGTGTGCATATTCACCACGTGTTGAATTATGAAGGCGACGAGGCCTTGTGTTGAGTTTCTAGACTAATGGCTAATGCTTTCAATTTGTGCCAGTTTTTGTGCTCTTTGTATGTTTTTTGCAATTTAATTTTCATTTTACACCCATCCCCAAAAACTTATTTATGTTTGGCGCGCGGATGCGGTGTCTGTGTGCGTATCCGGCGCGGGAGTCTACTAGAGAGAGAGAGCTCCAGCCCCCTCACCCCTTCCACATAATATTTGGCTGACGTGCTGTTTATTTGGGTAAAGAAACTGGAAAATGCCTTTGTTTAGCCCCACAAATTGCAGGAAGCGTCTGAGTACAGGTGTTGTTCCATATTGAGGCAGCACCTCACAATAGCACTATTATACAATGGCACAGACATCTAATCGGATAATTGCATTATTTGTATATATAGATCGATCGTTTAATTGTTTAATCCGTTAAACGCAATGAGATCATGTTTGCTTTGTCAAAAAGGCAATTAAAAGCAATGAAATCATTTTGCATTTGGCCAAAAGCGTCTTCATATTCAAAAAATTAAATCAAAATTTTTCACATTGTATATATAGTATAGATATATACACAAAGTGTGTATATGGTACATATATGTTCCACCGAATAACGGCGCCCACAATAAACAAATTGGCTGACAGCGCCCACGTCGCACCACGACGAGAGATGACTGTGGTGAATTGGATTTGCGCCGCACCACACGGCTCGTTGCAACTGGCCGCAAAGATCATGATGCCAAAATATTGCAGCTATATGGCTGGCATCGTCTTAGCCTGTAATTTATGGTTGTGCATGTGCATCTCCCCTGTCTGGTAGTGTGTACTATGCGTCGGCGTATTTTTAAAACACTTGCCTTGAATTTTGCGGTTTTTCTATAAGTTTTTGTTGTTTCTTTTTTTTTTGCAGTAGCCTACAGCAGCGCCTATCTAATGAAGCTAATGATGGCACCTCCTCCCCTGCTGCTGCTGCTGCTGCTCTCTGGACACACGCAACGCTGACGTCAGCAGCGAAAGCGAATCAAGATATTAAACATGTTCATTGAATATTCTATGGAACTATACGCAGAGTCGTATAGTATATGCCTACGCCCACCCGCAAGATTTTCGACTGGTTATTTCGCAGTTCCAGCAAAGTTTGTTTATATAGCAGAAGATGTATGTATATATGATTTGGGGGGGAACGCGCCATCGGGGAATTGTGCTCTGTGCCATTTCATTTTCGCAAATATGCAAATATTTTTCCTGTATGCCAGACAGAATGAGTGTAACAGTGTATATATATATATACAATTTGGATCCCTAGAGTTTCAACAAAAGACTATAATGTAGATGGCTATATGTAGAGCTTGGTGCTTGGCACAAGGGTATTTGAAGTTCGTACTAAGCAGTCAACTGTATTATTACTTTTGTGAAATTTTTCCCGCATGTCAACAGATTCTCGCTTTTACTCACTTTTGAGTCGCGTGGCTGAAACGGCTTGCCATTGTGTAGCCAACAGATTTCGGGCTGTGGTATACCGCTGACCATGGCCTCCAGCTTGATCTTCTGTCCGACACGCGCCATCGCGTTCTGCAGAGGCATCTTGAAGCAGGGCAGCTCAGTGGGTTCTAGTGCTGCAAAGCCGAGATTGTGAAGTGAATAACCGATAGGTAAAAGTTTACTATGTTAAAAAAAATAAACCTACGTTCCACAATCAGACTAGCCGAGCAGTGCTCTATGCCAGCGGGATTGGAGGCACTGCAGGTATAGACCGCATCATCCTCAAGGAAAACCTCGTCGAAGCGCAACTGGGCCTCGCCATTGTTATAGCTGATGACATAGTCCGGCGAGTCGTCGATGCATTTGTCATTTTTGAACCATTGCACGGTGGGCAGGGGCACACCGCTGACCACGCACGAGAACTGGAAGGAGGTGCCCTCGGTGGCCTTGCCGGTCTCCAGGAAGCGCAAGATGCGTGGTGGCACCAACTGCAGCTCGGCGGCGTTCTCGCGCACCGTCAACGTGGCATTTGTGTCGCAAGTGCCCACCAGATTGGAGGCACGGCAGCTGAAGCGCGCCGTGTCTGCGGCAAAGGTCTCCTCAATGACCAGACGGCAAATGCCCTTGTCAAAGCTGGTCTTATAGTCCGCGTTGGTCTGTATGCTGATGCCATCCTTGAACCATTCGACACTCGGCTCCGGTGTGCCGGTGACCTCGCATTCGAACACAAAACGTTCGCCCTCGCGGGTCAGCGTATCCTTGAGCGGGCGCACAAATAGCGGCGAGGCGTAGCGAAGCTCCGTGAAGATCTGATTCACCTGAATGTCCTTGCGTATGTTCTCTGTGACAATACGCTGCTGATCCACCTGATCGCGCAGGGTTTGTAGGCGCGTTATTTCCTCACGCTGTATGCGCGCCTCGTTCTCGCGCTTTTGTCTGGACTCCTCTTCGCGCTGCAGCCTGATTTCCTCTTCACGCCTCAGTCTGATTTCTTCCTCACGCTTCAGTCTCGCCTCGTCTTCCCGTTTGGTATGCAGTCGCGCCTCCTCCTCGCGCAGCGCCTGCAGGCGCAGCTCCTCCTCCCGCTTGGCTATGTCTCGCAGCGTCTGTATGCGTTGCTCCTCTTCGCGAGCAGCCTGCTCCCGTGCGAATTGCTCTCGGGCCGCCTGCTCACGCACCGCCTGCAGACGCGCCTCCTCCTCGCGCACAGCCTGCTCGCGCAGCGATAATTGTCTCGCCGCCAGCTCGCGCTGCGCTTGCTCGATGGCCGCCTGTTGACGTTGCGCTTCCAAGCGCGTACGCTCCTCCTGTGCAAGTCGCTCTCTGGCCTCTGCCTCACGCTTTGCCTGTTCTCGTTCCGCCTGTTCGCGTGCCTCGCGCTCGCGCTGCTCCCGCTGGCGCTGCTCCTGCTTCAGGCGTTCCTGCACTGTATTTATGTCCATCTTCAGCTTGATAAACGCTTGGAAAATGTTCATCACGTCGTTGTAGAGCGTGGACACCTTATTCATGTCGTGGGCACACTGCGATGCGCTGTCCAACTTAGAGCGCAGCGCAGACTCCCGACTGGTCACATACTTCTCAATGTCATTGACCAAATTGGAGGCCTCGACGGCATCGCGCAAATACGGCACTTTGTTGGAGACGCTGTTGTAGAAGTAGCTGATCTCGCGGTACTCCGCATCGATCTATAATAGAGATAGGATGTATTATTAGAAGATCTGATGAATTGTCCAACTGCTCTTTTTTACCTTTTCGACAACCTCGAAGAACTCGTTTGCCTGGTTGAGGCTCTTTCGTTTCTGCTTCACTTGATCCTTGAAGCTTTGCCATTTATCGTTGAGCTTGCGCAGCTCGTCCTTAACATACGATTCGCTTTCGGGATTGCTAATGAGCAGCTGTTGGCTCGTCGACTCGGTAAACTTCTCAATGCGTTTCTCGAGCAGCTTGCGAAATGGAGAGAGCAGAGGGTAAATCGTGTTAAAAGTCTGCCAAAAATAAGTACATACATCACAGCTCATTCTCTTATTAACCCATTAAAGCAGCAGCAGCTAAAACAAATTTCTGGGCAAACAAGTGCAGGCCACAAGCGCAGCCAAAAAGAGCTTAAAAGATATAGATACTTTTGTATCTAGTGCCTAGGCAGAAAATCCATAAAAATCAGAACGTCAAAAGCAATTTATAACAGCAAATGTGCAGCTAAGAGGAGTGAATTTCAAAACAGCCAAGTGGCAAGCATTCAAATTTTTCGTATCTCTAGCTGTGTATCTGTATCTTTAGCTGTATCTGTAGCTGTATCTGTATCTGTATCTGCCGCACTGGCTGCAAGATGTATTTCCCAAGTTTTTAATTACAAACTAACGACAGCTGCCGCTGCCCGTTCAACGCTGCGCTGACAGCGACAACATTTTCAAACTTAAATTTGAATTTGTACTTATTTTCGAAAATGTCTCAACGCTTTTTTGGAAATTTGATGAATGTGCCGGGGCTGCTTGGCAACTGTAACTATGTGTGAGTTGAGTTGCGGCCCACCCAAAAAGGGCGGCAGCCAATGCAAAACAAAAATAAAGAATAGAACTGAGCGAGAAATTGCTCTTGCCACATGCATTTGGATGGGTTACTACTTGGTCTACCTCCAACGTATACGCTGTCTGGCCCCAGCGTCGCTGATGTTGCGTCGATTTCACAAATTTGGGCATTGAACACTATAAAATTGATGGTAGCATTAAAATACCTCGCATCCAATCTCTAGCTGTTAGTCAGGAACCCCTACTCACACGCCTCATCGGGAGAGTTCACTCACCTCTATGGTACGTTCAAAATACTCGAATGCCAGCGACGTGGTCTTGGCAGCTGCCAGACTATCGACACTCTGTCCATTAATATCGTGCAACTGCTTGCTGACGCTGTCCAGACTGCGATCGATATCCTCCAGATCGCTGCGGAATTGCTCGATCTTCTCCAGACGCTCCAGAGTCGACATTGTGGCACTACTATTCGACTCGAAGTGAATGCGCAAATTCTCCAACAACTTCAATATGCGATCAGTGTCGATTTCGCGAGCGCCCGGCGGCTCCAATACTCGCACACGATCGATCAGCAGTTCGGATTGTGTGATTAACGATCTAAATTTATCCATGCAGTGATCGCGGAATTTCTCATGCTCGGCTATGGTGCGCTCCACGCCCGAAGATGGGCCCGCTGTCGTCGTCGGCTGCTGCTTGGCAAAGTACGCATCGACCTCTCGGCGCAGCTGCACAATATTCTCGAGGAACTGCAGCACACTCTCCAGCAGAGTGCGATAGTCGTATTTGATGCCATCCAACTTTGCTTTCAGCATGCGCAAATTGTTGATCACTTGCTCGATCTTGGTAAGTGACTGCTGATCCTTGGTCTGTATGCTCAGCGTGGTTTGGATGCGCTGCTGTATCTCCTCCTGGGCACGTTCTATGTCCTGCGTCACATAGGTGAGCTTCTCGCGTGTGCTCGTCAGCAGCTGCTTGGAGTCCAAGCTGGATGTGCTGAACACCGGATACAGTTGTGTATCCACCTGCGTGCTCTTGGCCACGGTCTGAGTGAAAGAGATTAGGAAAATGTTATCGAGAGATTTGATTTGATTTATTATCTTTGCAGCTTGCCTCCTCGTTATCGCTCATGACTTTCTCAAGTAGATATTCCACTTCACGCTTTTCCGCAATGCTCGTTGTCCAATTTTCCAGACTGCTCGTCACGTCGAGCTGCCGCTTACTGAAGCCGTTCAGCGTCTCTTCCACTGCCTGTACTGAGGATTTCGTCTCGAGATATGGATCCACAATCTACGCAGCGATGTCGTTAAAAATAGCATTAAATAAAATCAGTTTCAGTTTATTTTATTTTTTACTTTGATTTCTTTTCTTGTTTTTTTTTTTTTAGTTTTGCGTTTGCCTTTTTGGTTTTTCTAAATTTCTTCCTCAAGTGTCTTGACTGACAAGTTGGAAAATTCGAGGAAAGCGCGTGGCACGTGGCACGCATCTGCCAGTGGCCAGGGTCTGACGCGTTCTGGCGCACAAGAGTCCAGACCAGAGCAGACCAGAACCGAGATAGGTCTGGCTCTCTATGTATAGACAGTCAGCGCAAATTGCCTGTTTTTATTTATGGACTCAACTCGACTCGAGGCGTCGGCAGTCAAGCGAATTTTCTAATTTCAAATCTTTCTATGTGACTGCCGCACTCTGGCGCTACTCTACAGCACCGTCCCCCTCACCCACGTTGTCGCAGCATGTAAGAGGGAAAAATTGCGTTGTCGTTTCTGATATATGTTTATGGTGAGGCTATGGCCAACCAAAATCATATTGTTGAAAATTTATGTGCCTGAGCTGGCAGGTACAAGAACTGGCTGCGTTACTTGGCTAAGATGCAATCAACACTTGAAATATTTTCCTAGCTCTATGTGCGAAATACACTTACTAAACTGTTAAGCCGAAAGAAAAGTGTTGATTGAGATCTTAAGTAGCTGCTCGGAAAATAAATGGGGTAAAAAACAGTTCATCTGATATGATAAGTACCAGACAAAAGATTACCCTACACTTAGCTTTAAAATATTTTTTATAAACTATTATATATAAACTATTTGAAGACTAATCGTTTTATATATCAATTCTATGCCTATTTCACTTTATGATTATAATATATATAAATTAGTTATATGATAAGTATCAGACAAAGCATTTTTTATTATATGCCTGCGTATTATATGTACAATATAGTTCCAATAAAAAGCGATTTTCAGCGATTTTCATCCCGAAGTATATTGTTGATTGTTTTTCTAAAGAACCCTTTTCTTTGGTATAGTTATAATACCTGTTTAGAGGCATGAGCATAATAAAAGCCACCGCCCAATGTATTTTGGCTTTTGTTTTGCAATTCGCAATGCGGGCTGAAAATAGCAAGCGTTGCATCATGCTGGAGCATATTATAGTCTGGTCTGGATCTGACGGACAGTCTGCAAATGTGCCAGCTGTCAGCAGCTGACATCAGCGGTTAGTAAAAATAAAAAACTGCACAAATGCATGCAAAGCCCTGCCCTAACATTAGAGAATTCCAAAAAACTACATAATAGGTATGTATATAATGTATCTATATATATTGCATAGATACCGATACGGACTTTTAAGTTGATGAATCGCTGGCCAGAAGACTTGAGCTCAGCGTAGCTGGCGACGATGTTGGCCCATGTGGCCTGTAGGAACTGCAGCTTGTGCTCGTCGGGCGTTTGGAGTAGCTGACGCTGCACGTGATCCAGCTGACTAGAGAGCTCGTTGGCCTGCTCAAAGAACTGAATGAGCAGGGAGACATAGTCGACTCGCTTGAGCACCATATCCTTCAGCTCTATCCAGTGCTTGTGTAATGCCTCAGCCTTGGAGTCCACATCGTAGCGCTGCTGTGGACTGAGCGACTCCAAATGCTGCTTAATGGACTCCAACAGCAGATTGATGAGCTCACCCTTGATCTGAAAAAGAGAGAGTGTTGAGCCCAGGTTTGTGTAAGCAGGTGATTAAACTTACCTCCAGATCCTGCATTAACTCATGATGTTGTAGCAGGAACTGCTTGGCCTGATGCAGATTGCGACCCATGTTCACGCTCTGCTGCAGCTGCAGCTGGCCGGAGGCACGCAACCAGGCGAGCAGCTCGTTGTGCTGCGCCAGAAATTCAGACAGTGCACGTTGAACGCGTTGATGGTCTTCGCTGCTGTTCGCACAGATGCCCTCAACATAGGCCTTGCGGTTCTCCAATTCGTCCAGCACACGCTTGATACCCTGAGTCTCTGGCTGTGTGCGTCCCACCTCGTCCAATAGGCCATAGCCTAGGCGCAGTGGCTCCTCGGTAAAGGTGCGCACATCTCGGGACACCTTAGCAAACATTGCGTAGCTCTCGGCTGAATTGGGCGGCAGCTTGACGCTGGCCAGCTCCAGCTCCAGTTTTTCCAGCACGCTAAGCGTGTGCTCCGCCTTGGCAAAGAAATCGCGTGACTGCTGCAACCAATGCTCTCGCTGATCCACGAGATCCAGGTGCTCTGTGCAGCCACTGAGCACCGCATAGGCGCGCGCACAATCCTCATCCCCAGCAAAGTGACCGGGTGCCTGGACTTTATCCTTGGCACGTGTGATCTTCAAAGCACGATCGCGCAGCAGCAGCGCCTGCTGTTTCCACTCCCGATACCTGAGCAATGTCTGGTTCGCCGAATGCTCGCACTCGCCCAGGCTGTACATGGTGTTCAGCTCCTGCTTGGCCTGCTGCAGCGCCGACTCCAGTTCGATTAGCTCACGGCCAAGCAGCTTCAGGGCCAAACACTGCTCCAGCTGGGTCTTGCGCGTTTGCCAGGCCAGCTCTAGTGCATTGCGACGATCGTGCAGCGCCTCCAGCCACTGTTGCACTTGGTGTACGGCTCGAGTTGCATCCCGCTTGATGTGCTCCGGTCGCGTGTCCAGCGTTTCGAGCTTCTCCAGCTCCTGTAATTGAGTCAATAGCTCATTGCCATTCTTAAGCGCTGCCATGACGCCGGTCAGCATCTCAATGCGGAGCTGTTTAAATTTGTTGAGGAACTCTTGAACGCCAGCCACCTCCGTGGGCAGCATTGACTCGTCGCAGGCTAGCTCCAGCTGATCCATGCGCCTAAAACACTGTGTCATCTTGTCGTGAAACTGTGTGCACAGGTGCAAAATGTGCTGGCGATCCTGCAGCAGATTTAAAATATCCTGCCAAATGATGTTTAGTGTGTCTGCCATGGCATTGACTAGCTCCGAACTGATGCGTTTGCTGGCCAACAGTTTATCGGCCTTTTGCACAAACTCCTCCATAGGCCCGGGCAGGTTCTACAAAAGCGTGTGGTCAGTTAAATGGTAGTGATTCAACAGCTTGTGTATATAGATACCTGTAGATTACGCAGCGTCTCATCGTGCTCTCTTTGCATGTGCAGCGATTCATCCAGGTTGTCGCCAAGCGCTGTGATCTTTGGCTCCAGCTCCACAACCTTGATATAAATCTTTTCAGGACTCTGTAAAAGGTTCAAGTGACATAATTCTACACAAGCAGGCAAGGACAGCTATGCTCCTTTAAGGAATGTTAACAAACTTTTTACAAAATCTTAAGACCTTACTTAAATTCTTGATGGATAGGCGATCAGAGAGATAAAGTGATGCCAACTGAGAGAGTGTCAATACAAAAAAGAAAGAAAGAACGACAGCTACATAGCGAGTCAGTAAGGGGAAAAGAGAGAGAGAGAGAGAGAGAGAGAGAGAGAGAGAGAGAGATACACTTACCAAGAAAGAAAGATCAACATTTATATTATAACCCTTAGCCCCATAAATGTGGTTATGCTAAACATTTTCACAGTCACGTTCACGGCCTCTGCTTAAGTCGTATCAATGCTGCGTTCTCATTCATGAAACTAGTCGCTGACATTGTCGAAGATCTGGTGGAAACCTGCTCAGGCGACGACAATGCTGCACACCAGCTTCTAATTTTGGTAGTCGGCGAGTTATCGATGCACAGCAGCAACAACAACAAGAGGAAGAAGAAGAAGAACAACAGCTCCCAACTCTATTGGAGCTGTGTGTGATTGCAATGAAGGTCAGCATTGACTTTATATGGTAATGGCATCCGTTAGTTTTTCCTGTTGGGATGCGCGTGTGTTCATATGTATATGCCTGTTGCACCACCCCCCGCCTCCAGCCACCAGCCGCCTGCTCTATACGAAACTCCTGCTCATACATATTTGGCCAGAGTTATGTGGTACCAGTCGCTGTCGGGGCGCAGAGAACATCTCAGCTGCTGCCACTCTCAGTGAAAGCCACGGCAGACATTTAGGTAGCGTCTGCCCCATCAAATATTTAAGAAGCCGATGCGTGGGTGTTAATTCGTTTGACAGTCACGAATATGTTTGTTTTTCCGATAGGGCTAGTCAAACGTTTTTTTATATTTATGTATTTTTATTTCTATCTGAAACGAGGCATCTTTTAACCATATCGGGCCGAGTCGCAACGTTTAGCTGTCTATTAAATTGAACTTTAATTTGTTTGCTGAGGGTCCACAGAGCGCACAGCTGCCGTTCCCAATGCATATGTTCAAGATCACCCATCTAGCTAATGACAGTAATCAATCAATTACAATGAAAACTAATAACCGTGCTATTAGACTGAAATTACACCATTGGCGCCCAGGGGCATTCAACATCCACATCCACTGTGGCACTGGCTCCGACTACGACTGTGGCTCTGGCTGTGGCTCCGGCTAGCTTGCGTAGTTGGACGTGAGTGAGTTTTCAATATGCATAAATAGATGACTGTGTATCTGGTGCTGTGTAGATAATTCAACTTCATGTAACGGCTTCGTTACACCAAAATACGCGTCACGTCAGAGCCGTCTAACTGAAATGTGAACCTTATATGGTGTATGACAGCACTATAAGCAGCCGGACCATAACTAAATTCACTAAATATTCATATATACTCATATGTATGAGTATACATATTCACTGTGCACATGGCGCTTCATTCATTGCAAAATTTTTGAATCATATTTCATGGTGCCGCACGCAGCGAGCCATTTAAATTGTGTGCATTTTGGTCATTTATAAAGCCTTTGGACACAACTTGGCTTAGCTGTAATAAAGAGACGGAAGTCTAAGACGATCATGTCAGTAGGATACGATACGATGATATAATACCCCATGGGCAACAGCAAGGTTCTGTGTGTGTGTGTGTTCGTCTGTCTCTGTGTAGCGTCCAGTTCTGAGGCGCTTAGCCCAAACACGTTTTTGGCTTTTAAATTAATACTTTGTGTCAGCGTGTAGAACACGATTTCGATATAAAATTACCTTGACGTGGTTATCGTTTGTATGAAATCATTGCGCGCTTTTATAGAGCGCTCTTTCATTACCTTCGAGTGCCCGGCTTTTAATACCGATGCCATTTGATGATTTGATTGAGTATCTCAAAAGCTGTGCACGCGCAATAGCGTGGGCGTTGGCAGATTTCTCGAAAACTTTGCCAATTCAGCAATTGGCAATAGCCGACACGCGACTTACGGCCAAATGAGAGTTAGCTTTAACAAAAGAACAACAAGAACTACCGGACATACTGACATGTTGCCCTTGTGCATCTGTGCCGGAATATAAAGTGTTAATATTTGTTAAATATTTACTTAGCTGCATTTATTGATATGTTTATTTGGGTAACGTTTTGAAAAGTTTTTTATTAATCAAGGCTTCAAAAAGACTTTATAAACGAATCATAAAAAATGGTTTGATTAAAAATCGAAATTTATTGAGGAAGATCTAGTCGCAAAGTATAAACAACTTTTGTCTAACGACAGTCGATAGGTGAGAATTTTGGGTACAGATAAAATTTAGCCCGCATCTTGCATATAAAAATATTTACGACTTGCAATATTTTCAGAACGGCGGGCATTTGTTTATAAAAACTCAATTTACCCAAGCTGGGATTTGGGTTAATAGACATGGAAAACAAGGCTCAGGATACTAACCTAAAAACAAAGAGTGGATTCGAACCGTGAACCGCTAACAATCTTGTTTTGGGTTTGCAGACATGGATTAATTGCTTTTGTTTATAACAATTATCCTGCGCACTGCCAAGCAAAAAACCCAACCGGATTTTGCTCCAATTGCCTGGAGTCCTGCCTATACCATTTTTCTTTTGAAAACTAGTGCAAACAAAGCGATTGTTTGACTTTACCCGCACAATAAAAGACATCACCTGAATAACAATGAAATGGGCCCATTAAAAAAGCATAAATCAATTATTCACTGACCCGCACACATCGCTTGCGTCAACATTACCTCGATAGGTGCCGCAGCTGCCAATTGACAATTGTAGTGCACATTAAAAAAAGATTTAAACAAATTGCCAAAAACTATAAAAACCGCATTAGCATTAACGTATTGTGTGTGAATTGATAGGGAGCAAACAGTATTGACAGATTCAGCTAATACGCATATGCAAATGTATTTGCGGAACATTGTTATTGTTTTCATTTTATGTACCCTGTATTTCAAATGGTGCGAGGCGTAATAGTTTTTTACTTGCATGTGTACATATGTGCTTGATTGAGACGAAGAGCTGAATCGACATATTTGAAATTTGAGCTATATATATTTTCGTAAATCAGAATAATTGGTTTTTTCTCCTTCCATTTACCTAAGCTCGATAAATATCGATTTATTTTCAAACGCAAAAGGTAACTGCTAGCCAGGCATTTCCGACTGAAGCACACGTGTGCTCAATGCTCCAACGCGCTTTGCGCTGTGTGATTGATGCATATTGGCTGACTGAGGCGGGGCCGACTGTTAGAGTTGATGTGGAACTGTTGTAGAGCAACGAGCTGTCGGCTAGGCTGGTTCAACTTGACTTGAATTTTGCCATAAAACATTGTTTTTGTTTTTCCCCATTAATTTGCATTGCGCTAACTTTAATGATCTAACAAAGGTTAGCGCGCGTCACTCGCGTGTGATGTCAGACTTTTGAGTTCTATAAATACACGAACAATAAACAAAATACACATAAAATATGTTTCAGTTGTACCTGCGTATGTGTGTGAATCTGTGTGTGTGTGTAACCAGTTCCCAGGCAGCAGTGTTAAATATATGAGTGGATAGGACACTATCGCGGCGCCCCAATCAAATGCAATTTAAATTTCAATTTAATTCGCAACCAGGCGAGAGATAATTTCTATAATTGTTTGTACAAATTGCTAACCACGACTCGCTGCGGAGCCAAAAAGCAGCAGTCGCAGCCGCCGCCGCAGCCGCCGCAGCAGCCGCAGTTGCAGTTGCAGCCACAGTCGCAGTCGACTTTCATTGAGCGTTTATCGGTAAATATCAGCTTTCATGTAAACATGCAATATATTTCGCATCTAACCAATACCCAGAAAACGTGGCCGCTTCGCCCGGTAATTACGGCAGCTGCTCAGCTCCTTTGCCGCTGCGAGATAACCTGGCCAGCAGATGCAGCTCCAGCTCGCAGCCAGACCGGGTGCTCCGATGGTCCGGTGCTCCGTCGATCGGGTGCTGGTGAATTTATGCCGCTGCCTTCGATTATCAATCAGTGCGTGCCAAAACTGTTTTGTCAGTTCGCGCTAAGTAGGAGCTGCATTAACTACGCCGATAGACGGGCCACAGCTGCCAAAGAGACCGGCTTGGATGCATTGCCAACTGGCAGCGTCTGCGCATAGAATACATTATTTTAACTCTTTTGCTTTTAACACTGGACATGTTGACAACGTCCAGCGCCACCTCTTGGTGTGGTTGCCACCAGCTAGGGCTGCACAAACAGCGATATGCTAATCCCAGTTGTTGACTGATGCGTAAAAATCATGGTCAGGAAAAGAAAGATTTTTTAATTGAATAAAACAATTTACTTGTGTGGATAAAGTTGCTCCAGTTGGTATATAACTGGCTAAATCCTAATGATGCCTTAAGAGGTCCACGACAAGAGCCACAATTTTATTGCAATATTCTTGCTAAGTTTTGATTTCATTTAACTTTGAACTAAATTTTTCTAAGGTGTAAACATTATCTATAAAATGTGCTAGACGAGTTTCTGGTGTCTATCAGTTGGCATGCAAGAACTCAAATTTGTGAGCATTTATGGAATGCGACGAATCAACTTTTGATTAAATAAATATTTGGTATGACAGTTAATCCTATAACTACACAACGTGCTGTGGTTTGGCTGCATAATTAGGCGCTGCAAATCACTCTGCGAAATTACTGGGCAATAAATCACAGTGACAATAAGGCAGGCCGTGATTTTAGATGGCCCATCCCTCGTCGCAAGTGCGAGAGGAATGCGCAGCTTTTCATGCGTAAATTTATGTGCCTGCCAAGCATCGTAAACATTTCTTTAACTTGGCACACGGCTTTCTTTTGCCAGGCCCGGCTCTGGCCTTATATCCAGCTCCAGCTGCGGCTCTAGCTTCAGCTGCAACTCCAGTGTCCATGCTCTGCGCAGCTGCAGCCGTTTCACCCACGCCAGCCCAAAGCGACGGCACATAACTTAAGCTCACACACACATATCTAACTTATGTGTCTGCGTGTGTATTTGCTCATATGTCTGCGCAATTTATGAGTGAAAAGCTGCGACTTTTCCAAATGAAAATGCCATAAATTCAATTAGCGCCGCCGCCGTGGTCCATAGTTGCGCTTCGATTGCAAATCAGAGCAGATCAAAAAAAAAAAAAAACCAATAAAAGAAGCGAAAAAATAGATACTTCACAGCTCCAGCTAGATAAAGCAGGTCGCCTTTGCGCACCAGTTCCCGCCATATCCATCAGATTGTTTTTAACCAATGCTAATGCCAAATGAATTTCGCGCATTAGTTCCAATTATGGAGCAACTGGAGGCGTCTGCATGCTTGGCACGCTTCAGAGAACTATTTATTTAGACTACAGCTAAATAAATATGTAAATCTTGAGGGGGCCTTTGAAGTTTTTTTGGTCTGTTTGCTTTACTTTAGACCCGTCTGCTACGCTTTTAATTGGCTGCAGTCAATTTCTGGCTGTGCTGACCAGCAAAACCATTAAAAATAGGCCCAAAAAACCATGGAATTTACTAAAGAAACAAGTCTAAAGATACAAAAGCAAATTGTATCAATTGTAAATATTCTTTTATAGAAATGTTTTGGGGCACGGAAACTACAACAATAACAACAACAAGAGCAACAACAACAAACATTGCGACCAAGACAATAAACTTTTGCGTAAATTTCTTAAAGCCATTGAGATTGATGTGTTGCCCAAGAGTTACATGTGTCTATTAAACGAATTTTATTGGCCAAGGGTTGGGCATCATTCAGATGGAGATACGGGCTAAAATATGCTGATTTATATGGAAACATAAAATGTAAATCATGTCAATGAATTACGAGTCTGTGTGTTGATTGTGATTGAAAGATTTCTAAATGGAAAACTAACTGAGCTGGAATCGGGAGATGTAGAGAATTGTTAACAAAATTATACCAAACAGGCAGAAGTTTCCCATATGCTCCGGCTCTTGACAATGCTCAAGCACATTATTTGTAAAATAGAAATTGGTTTTTCATATATTCAGCACGCTCCGAATGCTTTTCGACAGAAAAACTACTTAACAAACGCAATCAAACTTATGCAAACCACAAAAAAAGAGTTAAATATTTATCTGTAAAAGAAACTTTGACATATGCACGAGTACTCGAAGTTATTAGCGTAGTCTTGAGCACAGCTGGAAAACTTATTGTTGCTTTAATCTTTTACGAAAAGCTTTCCACAGACTATCCATAACTTTGAATGTGCTTCCGCTTTTCCCCGGCCCCCGTGTCAGCTCATCACTCTCTTAGCATAACAATAACAAGAATAACAATAACAAACAACTGAGCTCATCGAAAAGTATCTTTTAGAAACATGCCACGCCTTTAGTTATGGCTCTGTACGCGCACTCTATGTATTTGTATATGTATCTACATCTACATCTGTTTGGTTTTTTTAAAATTATTTTTACATTTTTTTCGACTTTGTTCTACAGCTCCTCAGCTAATTTGTTTACCTGCGTGTCGAAAAAAGCTGCTTTCGTATTTATTTTAAACATTTTTGGTGGCACTCCAGAGTTGCAACAGGTAAATCATCCTCTACAAATCAATTTAACTGCTGCCATTGGGTGGGTGAACAAGTTCTCGTATTGTTTTCATTTCGTATAAAATTTGAATATACATGTATTTTAGCCTTCTATATGCGAGTATTTGGCAAACGTGTTGAAAAGCGTTTTACAAAATGTTCCCAACTGACTCATGCATTTTGCAGACGCGCCAACACAAAATAAGAGAAAAAATTAAGAAAAAAAAAGAATGCGTAAATCAAATCGAATGCTAAACATATGGAGTGTTCAGAATGAGGAACCCATTGAAATTGTTGGCAAAAAAAAAGTGGCACAAAGTGGCCGAAATTTCAATGAGTTTTGGCGAGCGAGTTGAATGAACAACGAAAATAAAATACAAAAAAAAAAAAAAAACAGAAAAACAAAACCAAGCCCGTGGCGTCGTCTATAATTATTGAATGTTGTCTGGGGCACGAAACTTGTAGCTCTTCCATTCCTCAATCTCAATCTCAAGTTCAGGCCACAGATTGTAGCCTCAAGTTCGCAACGCATGTGAGGCCCAAAGTTGGCCATTGATTTGTTATTATTCCTCCTCTTCTTTTGATTGCCGGGCTACCCGTTTTCACTTTGTGTAGCTTTTTTCCTGCTTGTTGTTCTTATTGCTTTTTATTTTAAATACATTTTTTCTGGGGCGCTGTCAGGCAGGTAGCAGCTGCGCCTAATTTGCCAAAGTATCTTGCAGATACATTTCTTTTGTCACGTTAGAACGCGCACGCTCGCCTCCGCTGATGTCAGACAACCTTGAACCTTTTGTTTTAGTTTCAAATATTCGTTCCCTCATACACAAATATACACACACACACAAATCATAACTGCTATCAACAACTTTTGCTTTCGTTGTGGTGCGCTCAATGTGCTAATTGGCACGGAAATTATATTAAAGCCGGTTTAAAAAAAAAAACCGAACAACCAGTTTTGGGCATTAGTTGAATTAAAAGTCAAATATTTGGCTTGTATGTGGGATTTGTTGTGAAGTTTTTCAAGCCTCCCTCAAGGGAGGCAGTTCATTAAAGGTATATCAGCTACGTAGAGCAAATACTTAATAGAACACCTCCCAACTTTAGTTAATACAAAAATAAAATAGATAGAAATAGACAAGAAATGATAGTGAGCGAGGGGGAATCCGCGAAAGAGAGAGATAGAAACATCTTAATTTGGTAAGTGGGAGAGGAAGACAAGACAATCTCGAGCATCACAAAGAAAGGTAATACACATGTCTGAATTTTCTTGTATACCCTGCAATAAGATATCTACGTTTGTCAGGACTATCATCTACATTTTTGCCCTTTTGACTTAGCTGCATAAATTGCAACGGTTGCTACTTGGAGCCATAGTTATCTATTGGTATCTGCAACTATGTCCATGTAGCAGTAGTTACTGCAACAGCAACAACTACAAATACAAATACAACGACAACAACTCACTTGCAAGAGCGCTATCACCAGCTGGATGGGTCCACAGCGTACGACAACGGTGCCAATGGTGGTGGCACGCAGGGAGGAGGACGTCGCCTGGCTTGGCGTTGGCGACGATGATGACATTGTTGCTGAATAATTGAAGGCGTCTAGCTGGGATTGTGACTGAGAGTGTGACTGGGGCTGCAGTTGCTGGCGATTCGAGGAGCTGGCCGAGTACAGTGAAGACATCGATGAGTCTAACGTTTGGCGACGTTCCATGTTGTGGCTGTGAGCTGTGAGCTGTGTGTTGAGTGTTGTTGTTGAGTGTTGTTGTTGTTGTTGTTGTTGACTGGTTGTCTTCTGCTGGTTGTTGTTGTTATTGTCGGCTTAGCGGCTACGTGTTGTTTTGTGTGTTTTGCGTGGGCGTTTTTAATCTTTCCCGTTTAGTTTTCTTTTGTTTTGTATTTTATTTTACACAATTTCGTTTCTTTTTCGCGCGCGCGTCTTTCGCTAAGTTGTTTGTGGTGTTGTTTTTACTTTGGCTCTAGTAGAAAAATAATGCAGTCGACGTGTTAGATGTTTATGCTTAACCTAAGTTATTTGGTTATGTTTGTTTGTTTGGCTGAGTTCGTTGTTCGTTTTTCGCGATTTTCCTCGATTTTCCCTGATTTTCGTTTGTCGCGCACGCTATCAATGCTGGCGATCGTCTGACGGCCGCATCACACGGAATACGCTCTGAGCGAGTAGGAAAAAAAATCAGCACGAAGAACTATGGCAAATAAATCGACTATGACTTCATGCCTCGCGCTGCCTGTTTATTATTGTACGCTAAGCACAACAATGTCTATATATATATGTATATACATTTAGCTACCTATACTAATGTGTGTGCATTTGTTGCTGTATTTCGCATATGCGCCTGAGAAACTTTTTGCGTTTGATGCGTGCGCTGCGCCGATCTTCGCTCAGCTCTATGACAATGCTCAATTTGCGCTATTTTTGAATTTAAATCAAACTAAAGCAAAAAACTACGCGTATATTGAGTAATTCTTGGGTGCTGCGTTTGTTTGAATAGCCCACATTTGGCGGATGTGCGTCAGGCTAATCATTGTTCGTTGACTCGTTGTTCTTGTATCTTCAAGATACTGAGATACTCTCGCGCACACACATGTGCCAAATTGTTGCAATGTCTGAAAATGTTAACCTTTTGGCTGTTCTATGCTCTCGTCTGTTCAATCGATTGCAACTGCTTTTTGGCTGCCAGAAATTATGGCAGCTTTCATTTATTTTTGAATTATTACGCATACGCAATGTGAGCAGACGCCCTGCAAACCCCTTTCCGCCCATTAGTTTATGTGTGTGCGCCCGGCTGTGGCATTAGGTAATTTGTATTTTTCTAGTTTTTTTTTTTTTGAATTTTTATAGCCAAAACATTAGAGGCGATTTTCATATGAGGCAATGTAAATGATTTTAATTGTACTTTTCTGGCCCGTGTCTAAAAATAAACAGGCACTATAAAAATGAACACAGCACATGCCTGGAAATGGGGCGTGGCAGCCACAATTTGGCTGGCTGCCTGCATGTCGCTAGCCACCCCGACAATTGTCAATTTTAACTGACAGCCCCAAACTAGTCAACGAAATGATATTTATTTTTCATGTCTTTTTGCAATTTGCTTGTCATTTCGTCTGCGAGGCCCGTCGACGGGCAGCAACAATAACAAAATTAGAACACGATTTGTGCCTCAAAATCATAATATATGTTTGTGTGTTTATTTTGTTGTTTTTATTAATTATAATTTATGTAGCATTCAATGTCATTAGCTGCTAATTTATTGTGCCTTTCGCTAGCGTCACAAATTCACATTTACATTTCTATGCCAAATTTGCATTCTTCGAAAAACTATATTCGCACATTTTTATTTTCAAATACAAAAATCCGGAGCGATGAGCAAAATATTGGAAAGAAACGCGCGCGCCGCGTGCCCAACAACCGAACGACGCGAACTTCGAACAAGACTGAGGAACTGAACCAGACGAAGGCAGCTGCCAGATCGCTCGGCTTGCTGCTGCTGAGATCGGAGCGCGAGTGAGCCAACCTGGTGGCACCCGGCACCTAACCGATTCGCTCAGCTTTTGCAGGCATGGATGGCGCTCTCGATGCTCTCTGTTGAGCTCAGTTTGGGTAGCCGGCTGAGCTGGGCTGTGCGAGATCGAGAGCGGGGCGGTGGGAGTGGGAGGCGGTAACGACATAAATAAACAAGTGCTCTTGGCATTCGTTGCGTCGTTAATTCATGATTTCAATTTTAATGCCCTGCGCCGGCAACAACAACCACACCAAAACAACAACTACAACTGCAACAATGTGCTCAAGTATAACTTGTACTTTAATAACAGACACAACGAAGGGGCAACAACTGCCGCAACAACCTGACTGCATCGTGTCTTAATAGAATGCAACAGGCGGCCGCCCGCATTCACAGCTGCCTCCCCGCCCAGCCCCCATCATAGCTTAACGCTAGTTGAGCGTCCAAAATGCGTGTGGCAGGCGATGCTCGAGTGCTGACCGGGAGAGTTTAGGGTGAGTGCGACGGGGGCAGCGGTCGGGGGTTGGCTCAGTTCGTGCCGCTGTGGCAACGACTGGCTTCCAATCAACGTATTCTGTTATTATTTTGCAGCCTATCAACGGCACCAAATTTATTGAATTATATTTTCAGCGCCGCTTTTGTGTCTTGGCCAGCTTTTTGCAGCCGTCACGAGCAGCAAGCAAAAAAAAAACTGGCGGCAATTTGATTTGATTGCTACATGGCGCTTGCTTATAGATGACCGGCGAGGGGGAGGGAAAGAGTTTTGCTACAGCTTGTAAGAACTTTCATCTAAAACTCTCATGCACACATGTGCACAGTGCGCTGAGAGCTGCCCTCGCACATATTTTATTTATAACGCTTTTTATTGAGATTAATGTGACATTTGAGTGGCTGGAGCTTGTGTCTGTGTGTATGTGTGTATGTGTGTATGTGTGTGTGTGTGTGTGTGTGTCAACACCCGTCTGACAGCGCACATATTATATAATTAAAATCACTTAAAAGCGTTTGTTCACATTTATGAGCCACCCAGGTCGAATTAAAATTAGGCATTTGTTTTGGGTGGCAAATTAACCTCGCGACTGCACAGGGGTTAAACGCCAGCTTTTCCAGCTGCAGCCTAAAATTATGCAACGCTTTCGAGCAGACAATAAATAATTACATGTAAATACATATGTCGACTATATTGTATAAATTATTTATAAATTTAGCTTTTTGTGACTTATTTGCGATTTAAAAATTAGAAATATTAAGCAAATATGAATATTTTTGCCGACTCAAATTGTGCCTGCTCAAAAAAAAGAAATTAATTGCAAATTGGTGTTTAAATTATATTGGAATTCTCTAATTATCGCAAGCAAAACAGACTAATTAATTAAACTACATTAATAATTTAAATAAATACTAAAACATGCGCTGCTCTTAAAAGATAATAATAATTAAAGGAAAACAAAACAAATGCTGAAAGAATTTGTTTAGCTCATGGGCTAAAATAGCTAAAATAGAAAACATAAATAAATTAGAAATAAAATCAAACAAAACTGCCAGCAAATTCATTTTGGCAAGAAAAACGTTGAGAAAAATAAAACAACAACAAACAAGAACAAAGCAGCAAAGCAAATGGCGCGTCTTAATTAGGCGGGTTATATATTGGATATCGGGGCGAGGGCAAATCTCTTAGAGAAAACCCTTGATCGTTTGTTTCGTTATATTCTCATAGTATTTGCTGCGGTGCCACGTCGCCGGCGACGTCTGCGCGGCGCTGTCGGTGCCAGCAGAGCATGCAGCAGCTGTTGTTGCCTGGGCACTCACCTCCGGCGTGACGGCCGTGGAGACGCTGGGCATCAACTCTGTACTGACGTGAGCTGCGTCCAGGCCGTAGTCCTCTAATTCACTGTCCGATTCGATGGGCTGTTGCTGCTGTTGCTGTTGTTGTTCCTCTTCGGGCGTGGGCGTCACACTTTGGCTATGCAGCTCTGCCACGCCCACCACGCTGTCCTGATCATCGCATTTTTGTGGATGGCGCGCGGAGAAGTAGCTTAGCTCGGAGCTCTCAAAGGACATGTTCACTGGCGACTGGGGCAGCTCGGGTATTTCAAAGTTGCTCAGCGTGGAATCGTCCGCCTCGTCAAAGGAGTTCTTGGCAGAGCCAATGTACGAGCTGGTGCGACCCGAGGCCGTTTGAAAGGAGGATGAATGCGAATTGGGCGTAAAATTGCCCTCGGAGGCCGTGGCAAAGGATTCATCTTCCGTTGAACGCGATTGCCAGTCCTGCATGAATCAAATGAGACCAAATGAAAGACCCAACCGCAAGCAAAAGCAGTCGGCCGTGACCTACCTCGTTGCCCATGCCACTGCTGCCGAGCTTTTTGTGCGTCGCACTGGACAGATCCAGCTCCCCATCGCTGCAGTCTCGTATGACCGCATCCAGGGATTCAGCCACCTCGGCGATAGCGCTCAGCTTGTGCGAAATGGCGGCGCAGGCCAGCTCATTGCTGCCCGTTGGCGTCACAGTTAACGTGGCGGCAGATTCCGCATGGATGGACTCGCTGCCGGCGCTGCTGTTGCGTCCGCTGTCGTGCAGTGGGCTCGGACTGCAGTCCAGCGGCAGCTCATCCGGCACAACGCTGTAATCACATGAAAATAAATTGCTTTTAGTCTGTTGCTGCGTGGCATCTGCTGTCGAATCCAGTGAGGCGCTGCGTGTGTGCGAGGGCGTGGCATCTTCGGTGTCCGTATAGTCGCTTTGCGGATATGTTTCGCTGTCGTTGCGTATGAGCGCCTTAATCTTGTCCAGGCTTTGCAAGCGTGGCGCTTCGTCTCTTTCTACTTCTTCTATTTCTGCTTCCTCTTCGGCAGGCTCTAGTATAATGTCACATTCAATGGAAGCCTTGGCTATTTTGGTTTTTGAACTGGAAGTGCTCGCCGTCTCATCATCGTCCTCTTCATCTTTGTCCTCCATATTCGCCTCCTCTTGTTCCGTATCATCGCTGCTCAAATCTGGCAGTTCGCTGCTCTGGTTAATGGCATCCAGCAGCTGGGACAGCTCTTGCGTGGAGGCGCTTAGCGTCTCCTCATGCCCATTGATCAAATCCTCCTCCTCGCTGGCCAGCGGCGCATTATTTTGTTCGCTCGCAGGCAGCGTCTCCTCAATGGGAGCCTCGTCTACGACAATGATGGGCACTTCATCGGCTTTTGATTTGCCAAACAAATTACGAAATCGGGCAAACATTTTGCTGCTTTAGATCGTCACGTTTCTTCTCCTCGCGCCTCCCACAATTAAGTAGTTTGACGCAACAGCTGAACACGCGTTTGGCTCCGGGCCAGTCAGACAAATGTCAATTGCGGGAAGTACTCAATTATTCAGGATTACTCACACAGCGCAAAAAGGATGCAGCGAGAGAGGGACAACAATTATGCGGACACTGCTATATAAATAATACACTAAAATCAGAGTTCCACTCTGACCCACTTGTTAGCACACGTTTTCTTTTTCCAGTCGGGTTATATCGGTATCTATATACTCAGCATAAAGATTGCCGCCCGTTTCCATTCACTTGACAGCTTGACAAGTTGCCGCACTATATATACTATATGTATTAATGCCGTGTATTTATGTATTCAGTTCCGACGACTACGCTTCCCGTCGAGCATCAGACGCTCCGTGCTGGATCACGCACCGAAATAGACTGTCTTAGCCCGAAAATTCTGAATTGTTGGCGGCATATTTCGAGTGCTCGCTGTGCGGTCATTTCTTTTAGTTTTGTCAGCTTTTATTTTGGTTTTATCTAGGAAAACCTAGTCAAAAATTTGAGTGGATTTTGAGTGCTTTTCTCGGGTTGTCTCCGTGCGCACACACGCTGCCACCTCAACTGGAAATTGGTAAGAATTCGCACTCACCTCTTGCCCGTGAGCGCGTCCAGCACAAACGGCTCTTTCAGACGCTTCTTGAGCAGCCGACCCAGCCGCACCATGCGACCCACCTCAACCAGCAGCTGCTCCCGGGCCAGCAGATGACGCTGCAGACGTGCCCCAACTCCGCCACCAGCTGGGGAGAGCTCTGGCGAGGCTTCCGCATCGCTGCTGATGCCGCTGCTGCTGCGATTGTGCTGCTGGCGCTGCTGCTGCAGCTGTGCGGCCAGCTCGTGGGTGAGCAGCGGTCGCAGGTCGCGCAGCTGCCTGTAGTAGGCCTCCACGCTGCGATGGAAGACGGCGGAGACACGCAGCCGGGTCATCTGCTCCTGGGCAATGGACTGCAGACTGTGCCAGGTGCGCTGCAGTCGCAGCATAAATTGCTCCGGCTCCGTTTGCTCCAGCTTGCAGCAGAGACGCAGCGTCTGCGCGGCCTCCAGCAGCTGACAGCCATAGTTGAAAATGCTCTGCGAAGGAAGGGAGAAAAGTGGTGTTGAAAAGTGCACCCAAACTGGCTGAATACAAAATGCAGATCTCTCTCGTGCCAACACTCTCTCTCAGTCTGTGTCTCTGTCTTGGCTAAAAACTCACCCGTCCGGTTTCCTCAAACCCCTGCAACTCGTCCTTCTGCAGCTGGATCTCGTGTATGTTGCAGCCAACATGGGAGTGACAGCGCAACAGCACCGCATACAGCTCGTTCAGCCACTGGAGTGCACGGCGCACCTCCTGCTCGTAGCCGTGAATGTGGGTCACCTGCTCCAAGGTGAGCCGCTGCAGCGCCAGTCGCTGTCCGCACAGCTGCCGGCGCTCGCGGCTCGCGTCAATCTGTCGACGCAGCTGGGCAATGTCGTTGCTATAGTCCAGCTGGAGGTCACGGCCCAAAGCATCTTTCACCGGCATGGCCAACATGTCGCTCAGCTTCTCGCCCTCGCGCACAAGTTCGCGTTCGATGTTGCCTATAAAACGTGAGCAAAGGTTTGAGCCAGTTGCAACTGATTGTTGTGGGAACAACAACAAAAAACACCTGAATCTGATTTGGCCTGGGTAGGGTTCAGTTTTTTGATAAGATTGGTAAGTAAAGTGAAAAGGGAAAAGCTGGTTATGGTAGAAAACTTAATACCCTTAAATACTTGAACTGATAAGTGAAACGAGCAGCTTGTTACAGAGAGTTAAGAACTTAAGCCAAATCAAGCAAACGTTAAGGACCTGTTATAATCGAGCTTTCAATTGTGTTAAGGAATTACCCTCAGAATTTATATACTGATTATTTATTCTATACGTCAGTTAAGATGACAAAACTACACATAGCTTGTAATATACTCCTAGAATGTATTGAAATATGTTTCAAATGTTATCTAGCACGTTATCTATCTAGGCTATGCGATTGGTATGCATATGTACATAGAAATCTCGTAACTAAACTGCAGCTTATCAAAATAATGAACTGTTTAGGTAACCAAGATTGTTAAAAAATTTGTGTAAGGGCATAGCCTCAATTTAAAATTCTGTATAAGTTACAATCTATTGTATGGATACATTATTTTAAGCAAGCATATGTATATAACTTTTAATAATCTGTACCCTGGTAAGATTCAAAAGAGACTGAATAATTCTGGCCAGCAATAAACGATCAATTTAAAAAATTAAATTATTTAAATTTCTCTATGAAACTAAACTGTAAGAATCGCCAATTTTAGGAGGGCGTGTAACGCATAGAATATATATATAATTGATTCATGGATCAGTGTCAACAGCCGAATCAACAAAGCCAGGCTAACTAGTCTCGTAGCTTAAAGGCTCTTATCATATGAATTGGCATAGTTCCGTCTTTCCATACGAAGCGCCACTATAATATAGCTGTATAACTATAGAGTTATTAAAGCTTGAGCGTGCTGCTGAAATTCCTACTTTCTTGTTATGTTGTAAATAATTGTCCGATCAGTTGCTATTCGGCTAGCTTAAGTACATGTATTTAATCTGTCTGTCTGAATATCAGTAGCAGACACTTATTTACATCGGTCGCCACAACCAGACTTTCACTTGAGATCTATGGCCATTAAATTGTTACGAGTGCAGCTGAGGCACGCGGCTAGCTGACTGGGGAGTAAGTTCCATGGATCTTTCTGTAGACCCAAGACTTACCCAACAGCTGTTGGCTGGTCTTTAGCTGCGAAAGCATTGCTTCGGCCTGTTGCCAGTCCAATTCGCTGGGCTCCGCATCGGCTGCTTGGTTAGCTATCAGCAGCTGCTCCTCGAACTGCTCAAGCAGGCGATGGAAGCGCAGCGCCGTCATGAGCACCTTGCGCCGGCGTTCCAGGCGCTCGGCAAACGAACGGCACACGAACTGCATAAAGTCACGCTGGGAGAGCAAGTCCTGGCATGTGGCAATGGGGCGCTCCTTAGCGAACTGTTCGATCTTGTAGAGCAGCTCCGCGTAGCAGCCGTAGGTGTCGCGGCATTCCAGCTCCAGTTGATCGTGTGCCGCACGCAGGGTTTCGGAGGCTCGCACATCGCTGCCAACGCTGCGCTGACGGCTGAGCAGCTGTTCAGCCTGGTTGAGAATCCAGTTGGTGACAAAGGCCACACCCTCGGCCAGTGTGCAGAGCTCGCGTGCCTCACGCAGCGCGCGCAACAGCTCCAGCCAAGCGGTGCGTATGGCCGTCTGCTTCTTCTCGATCTCATTGAGGCGCAGCTCGATGCGGGCACGCTCGCAGCCAAGATCGGGCGGCAGCAGCGGCTTAGCAGGGCACAGGGCGTTGGCTGTTGTTGTTGTTGTTGCCGTCGTTGTTGCTGTTGCCGATGTGGCAACAGGTGCGGCATGTGGCGTTGTCGTTTGCGTCTCGTAAACCTCGTTAAAGCGCGCCAAGATCGCATTACCTGCATGTTGCGCAGCAAAAGAGAAATGAGGAAAAGGGTTTAATTTCAATTCCAATCTGTTTATTAGCCCTGCGTTTGCTTAGTTAACACAACATTTCGACTGCGTTTCTATTTGCCTATGCCTTATGTAAAAAGTGAAAAGCTGCGCTCCATCTTGTGCCAGTTTCGTTGCGCATCAACGCAGATATAAAAAAAGTTATATATATAACTGGCTAAGTGAAGGGTCACGATGTAAATAAAGTCACCCACACGCGCCACAGACAAACAGACAACAACATGCGCTTCAAGTGTGCGGTTTTTGTGGTATTTTCTATTTGTTGAACACGCTTAAAAGACACAGCGCAACAAAGCTCACAGAACTCATAAACGCTTCATTTTAGGGTTCAGCCAGGTGTGAAATAGAGCGTATCAGAAGTGTCTGATCTTTAGTGAAGAGAACTAAACAGGGCTTATTTTATGATAATTTTTCATTTTTTACATATTTTTGTAGATATTACAAAAGGCATAAAAAAGTGAGAAACAAAATGGGCTTAAAATTAACGAAAACAATAGAAAAATATTCAACGCAATTTATCTAGATTTTCGGAGTTCTCAGATATTAAGGAAGGTAAAAACTTTCAGCAATGGGAACTTAAGACTGATTAAATTGAATCATTTAAAAATATATAATCATGGCATTTCTAAAGTTTACAGAATCCCAATTCTCAATGCTTACATTCAGATTTAAAAGAAACAGTTTTTTCATCTTGAGCAATGCATAAAAATGATTCAACAAGATTCTGCGGCTCACATTTAACATAAAATATATTATATCGCACACTTTTTCAAGATCACATAACTAATTTCAATGTTATTCAGTGTAATAAAAAGTCAACCCACAACGCAAAAAACGAGTTTGCCAAACATTTTTCATTTCTAATTGAAACACGCACAAGGCCCATGTTTTTTTTCTGGTCGTACTCGTTGTTGTTATTGTTGGGGATTACTTGTCACATTTGCCGTCTGCCAACTCGTTTCGATTGTCGTCGGCGGCGTAGGGCATTGAAATTATGTAAATTGTTTCGCGCACCACGCACCACACAAAACGAAAGACTCAGACAACGAACTTGCCGCAGCTTAAAACTGTCCGCTTACCCATTTCAATCGCCGTCTCAATACTGCGTTGCACGTGTGTATGCAACCTGGCGCACTTCTTCAGCTCGACATCCGCTTCCGCTGGCCGCAGCGACTTGAGCAGCGTCAGCAGCTGCTCCATGCCGCCCAAAGTTTGTGCGTGGGTTTTGCTGAACTCGTCAATGGACTGCAATATATAAAAGGGTATTGTCTAGTTGTCATTGAAATGAAATTGTTCTGGCGCTTACCTTGCGCTGCTGCAGCCACAGATCATAATTGAATTGCAGCGTGCCGCCCAGCTCCTCGGGCAGATTGTGTGGCTCTATGAACTTGGCCAGGCGCGCCTTCGACAACACCAGGGGCTAGAGGAATGGGAACACAGACATGGATTAACTGCTGCTGGCTGCATTTACATGTGCATTTTGTTTGGCTTACCTCGCCTTTGGTCTGCGACTTGGCGCATGGCTCCACGTGCTTCTCCCAGAAGCCTTCCGCTCTGACTAGATACACATCGACGCTGATGTCGCCGCCAAAGAGCGCATAAATTTGCCGCACGTGCTGCCTGGATATGCGCGAGCTGCTCTCCTGGGCGTTGACAATGATACTCACTCCATTTTGCAATAACGATGCACTGCGGCAAGAGGAGCGAGAAAGAGGTTAGAAACGCTTCATACAAATCTCGTTTAGCTGCTGATTAGCTAGTTGAGTAGAGGACTGGAATTGTGTCTGGGCCAGTTGATTGATCACATAAATATGCTTGGTCGTAAATTATTTGATTTCTTATTTTTATTGTGGCTCATAAGCTAAACAACAAAAATTGCGTGCCTAAAACTATTAGAGAAAGAAATGACAAGAGTCCATAAGTCTTGAGCTTAGATGCAAATTAAGATATAGTAGGGTGATCTATCTATGACATTTCCACAGCTAAAACCCTTCCATCGTTCAACTCAGCCTGCGGCACGAATTCAAAAGCTGTCTTTAAAAACTAAAAAGTTCATATAATAGTATTAGCATATCAGAGCGACGTTTTTTCGAGGCCTAGCCCAGCGTCTAATGAAAAGAATCAAATATAAGTCCTAAATCATCTGCGGGTTATTTGCATATTTTGCTTATGCTAATTAGCTCGATTAGCGGTCTGTTTCTAGTTCTTCTTAACAGCTCTTTCCCACCTGCTCTTCGAGACTCACCTGAGCGAACGCTTGAGATAGTCGAGCGTCAGTTGCAGGCAACGTCGATTCCACAATTGTTGATCATTGAATGCATTCACAATGAATATGATTCGCTTGTCCCGATCGTAGCCGCCGGATAGATAGGCGCTGCGCATCTGCAGCGCATTCAAGACGTCCTCCTCCATGAGTTAACCGTAAAGAACTCTTTTTTAATTGTCAGGGCTTTCAACTTTGAGATGCGTCATTTCTATTAACGGGCCGGGTTCCAAATAATAATAATAATAAAATAAATAAAAAAAAAGTAACAAAGCAGTTATGTTAAAAGTGTGTAAGGGGCAAAAACTTGTACATATGACTATTTGTTTTTTTTCCATTGGGTCGGCCTTTTGTTGTTGTTGAAAATTAATACGAGTCACAGTTAGTGCTGTTGTTTTGTTGCAGCAACTGTTGCTGCCGCTGCCGCCGCTGCTGCTGCTGTTGCTGCTGCTGCTGCACAATGCATTTCCAATGCCGCTGCAGAACACGTTTGACAAGTCGCAGACTGAAGACCGAAGTCTGAAAGACTGGAACTGCACAAGACACACACATGATTTTCACTATTTTCATGTTAGTTTAAGAGCTTGGCTGCCTGGCTGCCAGTTTTGCCTGCTAGTTATTTATTTTTTCCTTTTTTTTTGTTGCTAATGGAAAATACCAATTTTGTGCATAGTTTGCTTATACCCTGTACTTTTTAAATGCGCTGCGGCAGCGTATAGCAGAGAAATGAAACTTCGAATTTCGAGAGAAGAGTTTTACATAAACATGCACAAAGGCCTTACAAAGATTAAGCTTATTTTATTCACTTAGCAACTAATTTTGCTCAATCTCTTGCATAAAATTGATGTTCAGGGTATTTTTATCTATGTACAGGGTATTTTAATCAATGTACAGGGTATTTTCAGTGCGAGCACTTTCATCTAGCTTATTGGCATTTGTTTTTTTTTTTTTTTGGCTTTTCGAAAATTACTTGACACAAATTGAAGTCAACGGGGAGGCTGCTAAACTTTTTCTATGCCAGGCCAACGGCAGCTGCAGTTTTGGCTTAATTTGTTGTTCACTGAGTGATAAGAGGCGTGGCTGCACTTACACACACACATACACACACACAAACACGTACACGTACGCTGCATATCTTTCACTTGCGCAGAAATCCTGTTTCTGCTGGCAAGTTTGTTGTCTATCTTACAGTTATGCGTAAAGTAAGTCTAAAACTTGCTCCGTTTATGGCCAAGAATTTTCAATGTGGCCGCAGCAATTTGCACCACTTGGCAACCTGTTGCCAGTAATAAAAATTGTCAAGACTTTTGAGCCGCTGACTAGCGGTTATGGCCCGCTGCCTTTTCCGCATCGAATTACAATTAACGGCAACAACAACAACTAAAATTGCAGCAGCAACAACTTCGACATAAACTTCCAACATGAATTTCGAGTTTCAAATGTCAGATTCAAATTGAATAATTTACAGTGGCAAAAAGTAGCAACGCGGCAAAAATTCGTATACATGAAAAAACTTCAAAAATAAATAAGTAATTTAGAGAGCGCGGTAGACAGCCGCGGGGCATTAAATGGCCCGCTTTTGTTTGGGGCACACCTCAGCAGGCGGCTTTAGGCCTTGCGGCACGTTAAAAATGCTACTAAAGTAGACAAAGAACAACAACAAAAATTAAATAAAATTAAATGAAAAACAAACGAGAAACCGTTTTGTGGTCAACTTTCTTGAGAACTCTTCTCTTTATGATATGGCGATAAGATCTATGCGGACCAAGCCAAACCAAGCGACGTCTCTGTTCGAGCTGTTAAATTAATTGAAAAGTTCAGCTGGCAGCTGCGAAACCCAAAGCCCAAAGCCCAGAGCCCAAAACCCAAAATACATTAGCATTACGACCAAAAAAAAAATGTGTTTTAACAGCTGACAAATGTTGTTTGAGCTCTTGACTTCTTTACAATTTAGCTGTAATTAATTATTTTTTGGACTTTTGATGCGGCACTTAAATTGCAATTTGACATTAAATCTCGTTTAAGTACTTTTTTTGTGGCACAGTTCGAGTTATTGACTTTCAGAACTGCACTTGTTCGGCGTTGCCGACCCGTGCCCGCACCCGTATCCGTACCCGTATCCGAACGTAGTCCGTGATCTCTCGGCAGCCACTCGTCGCCGTGCGTCGGCCAACAGTTCGCGCGCTCAACTGAAGTTCGTTTTGTATCTTGTAGGTTGCTTGGCGCCTGCGCTGCGCACTTTGCAACTTGGTTTGAGTTGCGAGCCGCTGCCCCAACGTTGCGTGTCGGCTCAGCTGTTTTTTCTCCAGCTGCATGCATATCAATTGGTAATCGTTGTTTGCTGCTGACTGTTGGCTCAAATATAATCAGCCACGTTTTGCCCTTTTTTTGTTGTTTTTGCTTTTTATTCATGCTCGTAAAGTGCGCATAAAACCTGTTCACATGTGAGTTGCAGTTGTGGTTTCTTTTCTGTCTGCTAAATTAAAACAAAACATGCGTTTTGTCTGCTGCAGTTGTGTGTATTGATGGGTATATTAACTATAAAGCCTGACTGGGTGAACAAGATTGTGAATTGAAGAGCTTGGCTTAGAGCAAAAGATTTAATATTATTCTATTTTATATTAATAAATAAAATATTATTATTGTGCGCATTTAAAAGAACATTTCGGTCAACTAACTACTTAAAAATAAAAATAATAATTATAATATTCATTATAATATATATAGTAATAAAAATAAAGACAAAATAGCCTTGGTCCCAATGGCATTTATCTAATCATATTTGATAGATACCAATTTTGGGTACGGCTCAAATTTAGCCCGCATTTTGCATATGAAAATATTTACGGCTTGCAATATTTTCAGTACAAGGGGCAATTGCTATATAAAAAAAATGTGTTTGCTTTGTAAAACCTTTGAAAATTTAAAACGAAACATAGTTTAAACTTAAAACTGACTTTAAGGAAGCGAAAACCAAGGAAACCATTCTCCCGCAAAGTCTACAGAAGAAAATCCAATATATACTATTGTAAAGTTAGCGTATTCAACAGTCGTTATTTAGTTGTTTGACTCTGCGTTATCTTGCTGTTTTATTCATGCTGCCGCAAACGTGGGAACTTTTAATTGTATGTGCGTATGGGATTCGAGGAATTCGTATCTGGCTGCCGTCTCTATAAAGCACTTGAAATGCAAAAGGATATTTGGTATGCTCGGACAGTGCAAATATCAAAGATTTATTGGACGTGCGAAGGCAGTGAAAACCAGTTGTAGGCTTCACTTGTTCTGAAGGCCAATAGCAATGTTGTCCCGCCTTCAAATGAGAAAAGGGGACAACAGCGGAAAACGAGCGCTGGCTAAGGTCCTGCTGTGCGACCCTTATAAACATGTCAATCACAAGTAAATTGTAGCAGACTTAATGGCCAGCCGGAATGTGGGTCGATGGATGGTGAGAAAATGCAAATGGCTGCTGTGTCAGCAGCAAGGACGAGACCATGACGCAGTCAAAGCTGTGGCCTAAGCCCACGCCCGCTGCTCGTTACCCTGGCCCGCTGCTTAGCAACAATTTATTGGCAATCTTCTAGCATAGGCGCGTTTTTTCGCCTCTTTTATTCATTTCGTTTCTTATTTTTTTTTTGGGGGGGGGGGGGAGGTAATGGGTGGATGGATGTTTAAGCGCGTGATGGGTTGAATGGGCACGTAGCTGATAAAGGGCATTCAAGGATCTCGTGTATGGTTTGTAGCTGGCTGCATTCTCAATTGCAGTGCCGAGTGAGGCCATAAAAGCTGACCGCAAAATGGCGTCGAAAGCACTTCCGGCCAAGTAAAAAACAAAAACCCACCATGCAACACAGAGAACGTACGTGAAATGTTTTCGGCTTGTTTTCCGTATTTCCCTTTTTTTTTAATAACAGACCCCATACACTGATGAATACATAAGCCCTGCAAGCCGACTGCTCCCTCCACTTTGCTCGATGCGTTAGCGGCTATTAGAAAATTGCGAAAATTGCGCGCACGTTTCAAGCAACGTCAACGTCTACGTCGACTGCGACTGCGACGCCTCGCATTGCATGCGTTGCGGCAATTGAGTGCAGTTTCAGATTTATTGCAGCGGCGAGCGCTGCACATCTAGAATTTTAAGCAGCTTTGGTTTTAGTTTCAGTTTATTAAACGGCCAGCTGAAGCTGATGTTCTCAATGTGATGGCCCCATCATGCATAATTCATTTGGCCTAAGGGTTTTTCATTTCACTGCCAGGCATCGGTGCGTGTGTAAGCTTGTGTATGTGTTTCAATAATCTTTAGTGTGCAATATTCTCCCAGGTTGAAAAGTCTGAATTTCATACACATATACATACACATAAGTTCTCGGGAAACCTCTCTTCGTAGGCAGTTTTAAGGTTCTGCCCTTTGCCTCTGGCAGTTGAGCTTTACTCAAACCCAAAGAATCACCATAGTTTCCTGGATGATTTAATTTGCAAAGTTTACCTAACTCCAGTTTGAATTCTTAACTTGATTTGAGCCTAAGGCTGCCTTTAAAGGTAAATCTTTTCTGACAATCTTCATTTTATGGAACTTGTGCATTTAATTCGTTACCTCTCATTAGTCGGTTGGCCAAGTGTGCCTCAAATTTCATTTTCCCCTTCGTAAACTTAATTTGGCACACACGCGCCCAAAAGAATGCCACATGAATTTTGGGCGAAATTGAGACGAAAACGTTTTCCATCATAAAAGCTATCAAGTTTGCTTGCGTAGGCCCTAATTTAAAAATCTAGGCATATGCAATATGCCATATGCCAGGATTTTATGGCTTCAGTCTCACCCACACGAGGACGTCCTGCGGCGTTGTGGCAGCTATGTGTGTGTGTGCACGTGTTTGCGTGTATGGTAAATTGTAAAATCGATAGTGTTTAAATGTTGTTGTTTAATCAAGGTACAAAAATATGCAAGAAATTTTGCTGTTGCGTTAATTGATTGAATTTTCCGCGCAATTACGTGGCACTGCAGAAAACTTTAAGCATAAATATTAATATTGGCAATCAAAATGTATGACAAGAAAATTATGCTTCGGAAAAGCAAATATATATTTGAAATTCAAACAATTGAGGCAATGCGGCAGCAGCTGTTTCACAACAGACATTCGCCACACACGCACGCCGGATGTTCCAAGGACAGCAGATATAAAACTTTGTGGCTGCACGACTTGTAGATATCCTTTAATCGGTAACTAGATATACCTATTCATGTTATTTATATTATATTTTTCTTATATGTTGCATATGGTTGTGCATTTCCAGAATGGAAATGGGAAACTGTTACAAATAAATTTAAGTACTTATGTTTTAAACGCCTTTTTAAATGATAATTAAGAGTTGTTTTCTTTTGCTTTTATCCTGAATATACCCCTTTTCGTGCGTTTTTGAAGGGCATTGAAGCAGCGGGAAACTGCTTAAATTAAATTAAGTATGCGCCTCTGTTGTTTCCGCTCGTTACTAGGCGGCACCTAAAAGTAGGCAACGGAAATTTGTGCGGCTGCCAGAAATTAATTTTTGGCACCACCGCCCGAAAGTAGGCAACTCCCTTTGTTGTCACGCCAACAATGAAATGATTTTCAAATGCTCTTCTGCCAACAATTGATTACTTTTCGTTTCACTTAAGTGCCTATGCTTGTACATATTTATCGATGTGTATGTAAGCTTATGCGGTTAATTGTGCAATATATATGCTGCCAGCTAGCTAAATTGCCATTCTGACAATTTGATATTTCATATCTGTGGGCTTAAGTTATAAGCCGGCTGTCAAACATTCCCTGAGTGTTGCTTAACTTTGCCAGCATGGCCAAGTCAAAGCGATGCCATTCTATGTGCTACGGCTAATTGTTCTAAAGCGCTCAACTGTCTTAAGCAGCTTACACTTGCCTCGAATTGTTGCAGCAAGGACACGCAGCAGGCACACGTGCCGGCGAGCAGTGAAAGGCAAACATATTTTAGATTTTCTTTTAACCCAGAAACAAGATTGACACATCAAGCCATCTTAAACAGGTATTTCATGTTATAAAATGTTGTTTCTTATTTTTTTCTTCACTTCATTTCCAACCGAATTATCCTCACTTTGCGCTGTTTTCAATTGAGCTTTTCCCTGGTGTCCTGTTACAGCTTGTTCTGTCTCTTCTGATTCCTGACAAAGAAGCTCTCCTGCGCCAGGCGATGCTCTTGTGTGCTCAGGGACGCATCTTCACTAGCCAACGACCAGCTTGCCACTGAAGGCGGTCGATAGTGCCTCAGAAAGGGAACTATGTACTGGGCACACAGCTCGGGACTGGTTAGATGCACGTGATGCGCTCCGCGCACTTCGTGGTATTCAAAATGCGGGTTTTGACTCTTTAATATTGAGATGGCCTCTGCGGACTCAGAATTTAAAAAGGGAGACTCGGTACCCTTAATGATGAGGTAAGGTATATCCTTAATGCGCCGTGCCATTTCAGCTGCCAAGCCCGGATTCAACGGATAGAGAGTGTAAAACTTAATTCGGCCATCCCTGGTAAAGTAAAACTTGTTTGGATATAGCTCCGACTTCTCAACGCTGCGATGAAGCAAATGCTGAGCGAACTCTGGTGGCACCGAGTTGTTGGTGCCCTTGCTAAGGACGCTGCGCAGCTGATTCAGCGTATAGGATGGTGGCTCGTGCATTGAAACCTCATCAGCGCGCTCCTCCTCCCCCAGATGCTTGTCCATAAAGTAGGCCATAATCGACAAGCCTTCAGCAGAGTCAAGTGGGGGCAGAAGAATGTCCAATGAGATGACCAGATCCACCTTATGAGGTAGCAACGAGGTGTAAATGAAGCTGAGCACACCCCCAAGGGAGTGACCCATCAACGACACCTTTGGCCACTTGTACTCCTTCATAACCCTAGCAATGGCAAGAACCCAATCGTCTGCGCTGTAGTGCATGCCCCGTGGCAGACGTGCGGAGCAACCATGTCCAACCAGATCGATGCACAACACGCCCAGGTAGTCGGGCAGCAAGGGGAGCAGTCTATCAAAGGTACCCAGATTGTCCAGCCAACCGTGAATGGCCAGAATGGGGCGTTCCGATCGATTGCCATACCAGCGACCCGCAATGTGACCCCAGGGCGCCCAGATGCGCACATCCTCGTACTTTCAGATGCCAAAATTAACATAAATTACCTCATTGGGCTATATTTTATTTATATTTTTACTCACGTCGCTTAAGGACAAAGTTCCCATGATGGTTCAATAGATACTAACTCAATTGAAACTGACAGTTTATTACCAAACCGTCAAACGTTCCTCCGTATTATCTATATTATTCCTAGCGATAAGCACTGGATTTTAATTACTTAGTGACTGTATTTATAAATAATAATAATAATAAAATTGCTGCTTTCAGCTAAAAGTGCTGACCGCCAACTGAACCAAAATGTATCTTTCAGTACCCCACGAAATTTTATCGTAAAACTTTTTTAGCTGTTTGTGAATGAAAATTGAATTGATCAGATTGTCAGGAGTTCGAATTGGTTTGATTAATTGAGCTTTTGTCAAGTAAACAAGGATAGAAGTTCCCTCGCATTCGTTCTCATACAAATATTTATCAGAGACAGATATGACCCTCACAACTTGATATCTGTTCCACTTTTCCATTATCAAATTTGTTTTAATTTTACAAAGCAGTCTTATTTAAATAAATTTATATTTTATAGCTTGAAGATGTAAGCTCAAGGCTCCGCTCAGCGGTTGGCCCAGTTCGGCGAATTTCATTTTTGTACTGGAGCGAAAGCTGTATAAAGTAAATCAAAATAAAACAAAAGCTTTTAATTCACTGTTACTTTCAATAAATAAAGCAGGCGCCAGTTATGCAGGGCGTTAATTGCTTATCAGGCATTAATCTCACCAAAAGCTTAACCGAAAAGCAGCTTCACTTTCGGATTTGATTCTGCTTAGACGCCTTCATATTGCGCTCTACGTTCCAATCAGTAGCTTTAGCTTTAGTTAACTTTATCACATTGTTCAAGTTTATTGCATATGCTTCTCCCCTTGTACCCTTATAGAGTACTCAGACGCCTTGCATAGAAATTCTCCTGTGCTAGGCGATGCTCCCGTGAGCTCAACCTTTGCTCCTCGCCAGCTGTCGACCAACTGGAGACTGTGGGCGGTCGATGGTGCCTCAGAAAGGGAACTATATGCTGGGCACACAGTACGGGGCTCACTAGATGCACATGATGAGTGCCGGGCACTTCGTGGTATTCAAAGTGGGTGTTTTGGTTTCTTAAAATGTTGATAAGCTCGTCGTCATTGGAGCTTATGTAGGAGGAATCTGTTCCCTTTATGACGAGATAGGGATTTTTCTTGATGCGCCGTGCCATTTCAGCTGCGAGGCCGGAATTGATCAGCAATACATTGTGGCACTTGGTGCGGCCATCCCTTGAAATGTAATACTTCTCCGGATACATCTGGGACCTGGCCACGCTCCGGGGCAGCAAATGCTGTGCAAGTTCTGGCGGCACCGAGTCGTTGCTGCCCTCGCTGAGGGCACTGCGCAGCTGGGCCAGCGTGTAGGAAGGTGGCTCTCGCATTGAAGCCTCTTCAATGCGCTCAGCCTCCACCAGGCGCTTGTCCAAAAAGTAAGCCAAGTAATCCAAAACTTCAGGCGACTCTAAAGGGCTTAGAAGTATGTCCAATGAGATGACCAGGTCGACAGTGTGTGGTGCGAGTGCAGTGTAAATGTAGCACAAGACGCCGCCCAGCGAGTGGCCCATCAACGAGACCTTTGACCACTTGTACTCCTTCATAACACGTGTTATGATGAGGATGAACTCGGCCGTGCTGTAGTGCATGCCCGCTGGTAGCCATGCGGAGCACCCATGCCCAGGCAGATCAATGCACAACACGCCCAGATAGTCGGGCAGCAAGGGTATCAGTCTATCAAAGGTGCCCAGATTGTCCAGCCAGCCGTGAATGGCCAAAATGGGACGTTCCGATCGATTGCCATACCAGCGACCCGCAACGTGACCCCAGGGCACCCAGATGCGCACATCCTCGTACTGTCAGATGTCAAAGTAGAAATAGTTTCATGTTAAACAGTGTATAAACAATGGCATTTGCTCTTCAAGCCGGCAGAGATTTTAATTATGTTCACCCACGTCACTCAGCGATATAGTTCCCATGTGGCTCTCTGAACTTTGTTCGTCTGTTTATAAATGTTTGACAGCTTTTTTCGGACTTCCAAAGGTTCTTCTATATTATCTTGTTATAGATTTTGTTATCGTCGAATGATTAGCTGTTAATTTTGTATGCAATTTTTCTAAATAATTTCACAGCGTAAAAAGGCGATTGAGACGATTTCCGTCGTTGAGGCCCAAGTGCCCACCGGCTACTGAGGCAAACGAGCGTTGTATGCTTGATAAAGAAGACGAAAGCTTTTCTAAGCTCTGTGATCTTTTAGCATTGCGCACTCGGGCGATCGCAAGGCATGATTGGCTTGTTATCGTGGGAAAAAGCTTTAAGTTGGGCTAATAAATACAATTTAACTATTGAACATTAAGAACTGGTATTGTTATCATGTTTGTTTTTGTTTGTTATGTTTTTGAAAGCCCAATCATAGCACGTTCTTGTACTTATTCTTCTTATCTCTTTCAGCATATTCTAATCACGGAAAATAAAATCTATTTTTAGAACCACGTGGGCCCTACGTCGTGCACATGTCTCAAGATATACACTGCGAATCTGTTCGCTTTTAACACTTCATAGTTTGCTAATATTTAGTTGCCCTGGATGCTCCCATCTGGTGGCTGGTCGATGCCTGTTTATAAATGGCACAATCCATGCAGCCAGCTGTTGCGGGTCGCTGATTAGCATATGATGAGAGCCTTGGGCCAAATGATACTCAAATGCAGGATTCTGTTTGCGTAAGATCTGCAGAGCTGGTATGAAACCTTCGTTAATAAAGTTAGACTCGCTCGCCTTAATGACCATATATGGAATGTTATGTATTCGCAGATTCAATTCCTTCACGAGCCCCACGCCAGCTGGGAAGAGCGTGTAGTGAGCCAGCCGCAAGTCCCGAGATATATAAAACTTATCCGGTTGATCTGGTGACGGCCTTGTACAACGTTCCACCAGTGGCTGTGCGTGCTCCTTGCTGACCGTGGGAGCTGGTCCCCAGCGGACCCCTTTCAGCTGTTCTGCGGTATACAGCTTGGGTGCTGGAGTCGGCTGCAGCATGCGCTCCACGCTGTTGGCCAAGTACTTGATGTAGAAGCTGCTGCTCTTGTAGGGTATGGTGAGCAGATCAATCGCAATCAGCATATCAACATTATCTCGGCCATAGAAGGAGGCGTACAAATTGCAGGCGACGGCACCGAACGAGTGACCCATCAGCGAAACGCGTCTCCACTTGAAATGCAACACCACACGACGAATAATGCTCGTCCATTCAATGACGGAGTACTGCATGCCAGCCGGATAGTGCGAGGAGCGTCCATGGCCAGACAGTTCGACGCAAAGCACGCCCAGATGGCCGGGCAGCAATGGTATAAGACGTGCAAAGCTACCCATATTGTCCATCCAGCCGTGAATGGCGAGCAGCGGACGCACCTGACGATTACCGTACCAGCGGCAGGCAAGTCGGCCCCACGGCACGCCGATGTCAAAGTCAATAAACTGCCGAGAGGTTTTGGGAATGCGCTCCGATTAGCACGTGACTCTCGAATCGAATTTTCCGCATCACTTACCCCAACGTCGCTCATCGTGGTCGCTGCCCCGCTGCCCTTTCGGTTTGAATGCTTCACGGCAACTGAACGACTCACGTACTTTTCAGCGTACTCAACCGATCCGTTGAGCCCTTCCGTCTATGGACCAAAACTTTTCGACTGGACTTGTTATCTATGCGCCCGAACTAGAGACAGTAGTGAAAAGATTTGATTCAGCTTTGCTCAAATATGAGTGTGTAACCATATGCTTGCGCATAAACTATGTGCGCCAATATTGGCCTCTGAAAATAATTCTAAAAATGGAGTCTTACGTTTCGTGCACTGTTATTGATAAAATATATCGATGAAACTGTTTCCACATAATTATGCCAATGGACTTCGCTTCAGCTGTTAACTATTATTCATTTCTTGAAAGATCCTTGAAGAAATCAATTTTCATTAAGCTGAGCTACTTATTCTTTGCTGTTCGATTTTCGATTGATTCTACACTGTTATCCATAACACATACTGATATTAAATATATGTTCATATCATTCTGTGTATAGGCTAAGTTATTTTAATTAATTAAATTTCTAATAAAAAGAAGTTCCGAATAACTAGCTCTGAAATAATTAGAAATCAATTTTCTTGGTTATTCGCTTAAGTCAAGTCTTAATAGACAATACATCTAGGCCCTACAGTGAACAAGTTAATATACATTTTTAATTTAATTTTATTTTCTTTTTGTTATTGGTTATTTTTAGGGTATCTTTTAGTCTAGCACTGCCGACTGGAGCACTTTAACTGTTTTTTGTTCCAGCATTTCATTATTGTTACTATTTGTATTGTTCTCTCCTTTTGTAATCCCTCGTTCTCTTTGTTTTTACAGTGAACTTATTTCACTTTCATTATCTATGTTTAATTCTCAAATGCGTTGTGTGTGCTTTTACGCCTTGTGACAAGTGGCTTCGTGTTGAGTAACACCTCGAGGAGCAGCAGTTCCGTTCGGGCCTGCGAGTTAAAGGGAAGTCTTGACACTGCTGCAAATCGGAGTAAATTTCCTGTGCATTGCTGGCATGATTTATATTTAATATGTGTGCTGAGTAATTTATCATGTCTGCTCTGATCTCCGCTCAAGTGCAAGACAGTTGCCTCCAACGGTATCCATGAAGGCACCCAGGCATGTAGCGGGTCCCCCGGCTGTGCGTGTGCGTTGTCATTGGAATTGCTATGCAAATTGTCTAGGGCATCTAAGCCCAAAGTGAAAGTACGAATTCCCCGGCAGCCCAACTGGCCCACTGGGCTGCTACATATATATATGTGCTAGTACATACTTTATTGTATGCTTATGCGCCGGCCTTGAATCCATAATTTGCCTGTCAACGACAGCATCCAGCCCAAAATTTGCGCACATAATTGAGTTCAAGCATTTGGAAGCCAATTATGATTTCACATTTTCCATTTTCCATCGTAGTCAGAGCTCGTGCCCTCCACCCGCCCACTTCTGTGTGTTGGCATTTCGCCGGGCGACGGGCGACGTTTTCTTTGTGCCGTTTGCCACGTTTGCGCCTTTTCACATCTCAATCAACCGCGTCCTGGCAGCGACTACTTCGCCTTGTCGTGCCTGCGCCTTTAATTGCTTCTGCCACTTAACATATGCAAATTAATTTTCCTTTTTTCTCGCCGTGTTCGCCTTTCTGTATTTTCCCTTTTCACTCGTTTCATTATTGACCGTGTCCTACTTTGTGCTTGCGGTTATACCATATTGTCCTGTGTGCCCTTTTTGACACCTTAAGTGCTGCCACCCCCTGCCCCATGACAACTGTTTGATAAATATTTATCAAGCACTGCGCAGGGGCAACAATAGCAAAAAAAAAGGGGTTAGCCCGTTTTTTTACCAACAGTCACCATTTCCTAGAGCTACATTCTTGGCGCTTATTTTTCATTCTGCTCAACGGCAGATAAACAAAACACGAGCTTCTACAGAATAGTTCACTCCACTTGACGGAGCTCAGTTCATGGCCTGACGCGTTCAACCTGTCAGCCAAGTATGTGCACAACCCTGGGCTGAACCTGAGCCGAGCTCAGCTTGGTAGATGTTTTAACAAAAGACAACGCCGGAAGTCGCCCGCCGCTCATGATACGCACATCAGCCGAACAAAGAGCAACAACCACACGAAATGGGGCAACTTTTTGCTATGCTCCTGCTATTATTCTTTATGTGCTATTGCTTTTTGCAGCCCGAATTTTCCGGCTCGAATAAGTGTATGTGTGTGTGTGAGCTTTAAAAGCAACAAAAGCATCCGGAACTCATGAACCGACCCAAAACAAACATTAAAGAAATTGCATTAAGAAATCATTTGACAAAATGTGCAGCACGTTAGAGCCCTTTTTTCTTTGAGGTTTGTTCGGTTCCCTCCCAGCGTTTTAATCTAATTTTAATGAATTATTTTCACACGAAAATTACTTAAGCTAAAAAGTTTCGTTTTGTGGTGCCATTTTATGGTTTGCCTTTTTCTCAATAGTCTATTTGGTTCACGTGCACGCGCCTGTGTGTGGTTCGCACAAGACGAGAAATTTTTGGCTGCATTTTTAATTTGCATGCGCACAAGAACCGCAATTTGGACAAGCACATAACATTTCAATACCCCCTTATTGCAGTGAAAACGTGTGTATCATATCGATAAGTTATAAAAACTAGACAGATTATATAACATTTAATTTTATTAACATAAAAATATACATACAAAACTATTTACTTACCCCAAAATTCACATAGCAGGACGGAGAGCGACTTATTTAATATAGGAATACCGCTAAAAGTAAAAAAAAAATAGCGAGTGAATTTAATAGAGCAAAGAAAAAGAAAGGGAAATCAAATACGCTAGATGGAGAGAGAGGGAAAGAGAGAGAGGGTGAGATAGTGACAGCAAGAAAGAGAAAAGAGAGAGAGAGCCAGAGAGCCAGAGAGGGAGGCAGAGAGATAAAGAGCTACAGAGATATACATAGTACAAGAAAGTTATTGAGATGAAATTGATAACATTTTTAAAAGTCACCAACGCCGCCACCTCCTCCAATGCAGAAGTCATCTCCGTCTGTGGGCCCTACTTGAATTTATGAGAATCGCATAGTAGAGCAGTAGGTGAAAATACCTTTTCTTTAAATGTCATACATACAAACAAACATACATACATACATACATACACACATACATACATACATACATACATACATACATACATACATACACACATACATACATACATACATACATACATACATACATACATACATACATACATACATACATACATACATACATACATACATACATACATACATACATACATACATACATACATACATACATACATACATACATACATACATACATACAGATTGCAAAAAATCCTGAAGAGCTAACAGCCCAACATAAATTCATGAGAATTTTAAATATAACGTAATTGCAATTGGTCTGCATTTGAAACGTATGCATATATACGCATACGTACACATATAAATATATGCATAACAACCAGAGCTTTTGGTTTTCCGCCCACTTTTCAATTGTTTCATGCAGCCTTTTCCCTCACCATTTATCTCACATCACCTTAGTCAACAACAGATGTCTAGCTCAAACAGTTTAAGCTGCGTGTTGGTCAGTAATTTGTTAGTCAATCAGCGAACACTTTTCATGGAAAAAATGTTCTCTCCGAATTTGCTTGCATATTAGTAAAACTTTTCCATAATATATTCTTATTGTTCTCAACTTGGTCTCAGTTGGTTTTTCTCTAATTTCTGCTAGATAGACGACTTTTCTAATATGTCATGGGTCAATTATAAGACAGGTTTCAATTCAACAATAATTAATAATATTGATTAAGAAACTTTCACATTATCTAAAAATATCCAAATTGTTGCTCGCTTGAATTTTTTTCAAATTCAGTTGTACGAAAGTAGGCCACCGCCCGCGCGTATGTAACACTTCTCTCGCTTTTAAGTTACTTAGTTGAAATAATTTTATTGCCGACTCACAAAAGGATGCAATGCGTTTTTGATTGCCCGAAATTGAGTCACATATGATTTTAATATTCTCGCAAAAAGTACGCAATGATCTTTTTTGATTTTCATGGTAACGCCCAAAAGTAGGCAATGGGCTTTTTTGCTTGTCAGCACGCCACGCGCTGTGCGTATACTTAATGTAAACGGCAGCTATTGTATACACTTAATGCCACGCGCCGCATTTTGTGGCGAATAAGGAAATCCCATTGCCGATAAATTAATTAGGCACAAAATTTATGATTCCAGTTGAGCTGAGTTATATTTTTTGTTTGTTTTGGTTTTCCTTTGTTTTCTGCCGGTTTGGTTCGCTTGTTTTGTTTATTCGTTTATTAGTTGCGCATCGCTGCTCGCCGACCAGTTAATAATTAATGTGGCTTATTTATGCATTGTCATAGGGATTGGTCCTATATATTTGGGCATTTGTCAAGCATAAATCTGTTTGCAGCGTGCTCAACTTCTGGATATACAGCATTTCATAATTCAAATAACTCGATTTATGTGCACAAAACTCGCAGTGTTGTCTGCTTGTTGTCTGTGGACAAGCATTTCAAGCTTTGGTGCTCTGCTTTGGCCACTTTAGCCACATGCCCGTCGTAATTTACGAGTGCCCACAGAAACGCACTTGAACTTTGTGTGTATGTGTGTGTGCGTGTGTGTGTGTAATGTCAAGACAATTGCACCAAATCGCATACCTGGTCGCCAGTTGCCACAGGCTCCGAGCTGTGAACTCCAATTTCCTATTGGCTATACGTATGTATCGATGTTTAGCTGTAGTCTGGTCATAAATTTACGTTTTTGGTTAACTGTAGTTACAACGCTTCCACACTAAAGTCCCCAGTGCATTTGGCCTCCCTTTCGGAAATTTCCACAGAGAACACGATTTACACTGCAAGTGGGGAATACCGAAAAGGTTACAGCTGCAAGCGGTTGTTGGCATTCTTTGGTTGGCTGAAAAATGTAAGCCCCTTGTGTTTGGAACTGGCCGAAAATGCAAC